TAATGAAGGAAATTTAAATAAATCTGCAGAATGGTCTATAATTTGACAGTGGTTCTTTCAAAAATTTGGAATTTCGGAATAAGAATTTATAAAGATAAGTTTTTTGATTAAGTGTTGTTACCATATTGACATATATTGAATGATATTAAGAAAATTGAGTGTTCTTTAGGTTAAAACATTATACTATAAATTGGTTTTAGATTCGGAGCAACAGTTACTAAATTACTAATATCAAGTTGTTAATGAAATAAATGATGTTATAGTCATAGATTGGCTATAAGTATAATAAGCTTTTTTAAATCTACTGGTGGGACACTTTTGGAACATTTTTCCGTACAGATTTCATAATTTTTAACGTAGAGACCAATAAATTTGACACAGTTCAGCTAGGTTCTTCTCCTAACTAACAAACTAGTTTGTTTATTTCTGATTGTATTGACACTTATATCTGAGGCTCGACAAGGAGGGTATCAAAATTACCTAAATAGTCTACACTACAGTACCATGTGTCCGGACAGATATGTACATGATATGATTTAATTCAGATAAAAGCTTGGGTGTTTTGATTTTTGATTTTTAACATGATATACAATATGTCAGCAACAAATGCTGAAGTTTTGGATATTCTATTATTCACTCTGCAAATGATTATCGCTGGTATATGAGGTCAGGCATAATGCTTTCTTGGCCCCCAAATTTCAACATCAACATTCTTGAAATAAACATTAAAATATTACCATTTACGGAGGTTGAAATAAATTTATTTACTTAATTTTAAAAGAAACATGCACTTATCGTTGATAAAAAAGTGACTGACAACCACTGAACAAAGAAAATACTAAATTAAGCATTTTCGGGGCCGTCCGGGTTTGGTGGTTGTCCGGTTTTGGTAGTCCCCAACCAGTATTAAGGCTACAATAAGAACATGATTAAGTAATAAAATAACAGGCAGCAAAGCTTGTAAGAAAGGAACTGAGTCAAGTATGTATTGGAGCCAGTGTCTATAATTAACTTTTGAAAGTCGGAATCTTCACATCTGTACCGATAACAGAAAAACCGCAGAAACACTTAACAAAATATACATGTTACTGATTTGACATACTTTTATAAAAAGTTGGTCAATTAGTATATTGATACCTTAAATTCGGCTTAATACTTGTTACATGTCAAACTGACTGACTAATATATCAATTCTACCGTAATTTGAGCTGGGAACCAAAATGTTCATTATGCTATAGACAATTTGAGGGCGTGACCACTTTTAGAACTGAACTTTTCAACTGTTTTGTTTATTCTTTGATTATTTCATTAGATAGTCCATATTTTATTTCCTTTCTTGGCACCATGACTATTTATAATTTTATCTGAGTTATCTTGTTATCATTTTTTGAAGGTTTGTAGTATAACTGAAAGAAATTGTATTTTTGTCTCAAAATATTATTTAAAATAAAATAATTAAAAATTGAATGGAAAAAATTGTATGTTTTAGTCAATAGTTAAAATTAAATAATTGAATGGGAGAAAACTGTACATGTATGTATAAGTCAATAGTTAAAATTTTGTAATTTATTGGTGTAATAATTATTGGTTTTTAACATCAATTAAGCTAATTGAACTAAGATTATAATATTATAATTATGGTATCATTAAGTATAATAAGTTTTAATATCACAATAAATGCTCACAAATATGAACTACCGGGTACGTATAATATTTATGGAATTTCAAATATTCCAAAAGAAAAAAGAAATGCTTCGTAATTTGTACGATTTTCGATATTGTTTTAAACTATGTCATGAATTTAAAATCGTCTTGGCATGAAACGATTACAATTTGGTTAATAATAATAAGCTGATTTTGGCTTTTAACGCGATATATAATAGCTTGTAAATAAAACAAATTGTTGACACGATACTTCATTGTGGGTGATTATTCTTTCAATAGATCACTGACTGATAGGCAATGTTTCTTTCGTGTCACAGTGTCTTTTTCATAATGGCTTTGTTTATACCCACCCCCCTCCCACATTTTTACAAAGCCACTACTATGGGGTGAAGTGATGTCATTGTTGAAATCATTTATTCAACACGAGCCATTGTTTATTTGCGGTACTTTATTTCATTATTAAAAATATAGCCGTTACCATAATGATGTTATTATTTTAAATATGTAAGTGTTTATTTTGTTTTTAGAATTTACGAGCTATTTTCAGTGGATATATTAATAGTGTTCTTTGAATGGATTTAAAAACAAAGTGTCTATGTGTAGATAAACATTTGGTTTCTTGTACATATAGTAAGTAAGTTGTGTTGTTTGTTTAAATTATTAACTGCCTGAAGTAATCTATCAAAGTTGATGAATGTTGAGAAAACACACAGAAAGAAGGATTTTTCAAGAAATACTGACAGATTGATAAATTTTTTTTCGTAGAAGCCTAAAGTCAGTGTAAAGGTAATCTTAATCAGAGATTTTCTAATAGATAGGACATTATAAAACCATAGGATAACCCAGATTTTTCTTGCACGCTGGCAAAATCTAGGTTGCACAAAAACTTGATTTTTGTTTTTATTTGAGATTTACAAATAATCTTACTGTCCACAACTATAACTTTATTATTGTATAATTATATACATTAATATTACATTCTATTGTGTTGATATGATATTTTTAAACACTTAATAATTATCCCTCCTTCATTATATAAACAACTTATTTTGTTAAAAAAGCTTAACATTTTTATTAACCCATTACTTCATGAGCATTTTGTGAAAAATGGCTGTTTTCATTGAAAAGTCTCCCATTACAAGTTCAAATTGCTATAATACTATAAAAACTGCTTCAACACTAATCAAACTTGGCACAAATGTTGACTGGACCATTGCCCTTGCAACAACATGATCAGGCTTAAATTTTCTGTTACCATGGCAACGAGGGGACATCTCAAAATTGCCAAAAATCACTATTTTGCGTTGATTTTTTCCATCAAAATTGATTTCAAAGTGCTGCAACTTCTCAATGGATTGAGATAGAGTCAAATGCTTTTCAACGTTGGTTACATGTTACCTTATGATCAATCTGGGGTCATTTACAGCCTCTCACAAGTCCAAAATTTTCTTTGCGATGAGGGGGAATCCCCCCCCTTCAAACCCCCCCAAACAGAAGGGGGCACATCCCCCTTCTGGCAACCCCCTGATGTATCTTTTGGTTGGGGGGCCGCGCCGAAAAAGAGGTCACTTTTTTTAACAACATTTCTCAAACAAAAACAAGTGTTTGGGGCCTAAATAAGGCATTTTTCATCATTTGAGACAACAAAAAAAGGGGGGGTGAAAAAGGCGTTAAAAGGCGTGTATATGAAGTAATGGGTTAAAGCAACCACATCAAAAAAATTTTTTCAAGGTATATTATTTTATGTAACTATTTTTACCTACATAGTTGAAATAAATTTATATATCTCAAAAAACATAATCTTTTATCAGAAAAAGACACTTAATCATGGTAATGCAAGATATTTGTTAGTTAAAATATTGATGATAATTTTTATTCATATTGATCGTGTACTGATCATTTGTTAATGATTGGTCAATCTGTCATGATGACATGTACATCATTTCTACCACGGTGACAAATATTCACACTTTGTATATCCTCGCGACACACACTACATTTATGTGTCGGCCCCTCCATCATTCTACACATTCATATTATCTGTCAAAATACCTAAACTATTACACACTTTACATCTTGGCTAATTGAAAAAACCTGTGTCTACATGTATGTGTAATTATATGTATAATTATTTATCATAATTAAATACAAAAAAAAGTCTGTGAGATGAGATTTTAATTTTTTTTTGGAAATATCAAAAAAAATGTAAGTGTTTTACATGATACAGTAGCTTCGTGTATGGTGTATTTTTGGTTACAAGAAATTGTTTTGGCTGCATATTAAATATTATTTTCAAGTCTGAGGTCAGCATACTGACTAATTATTTTGGTTGGTTGAAATTTGTTGGTTTACTGAAATTAGCAACTTTTTGACCTTTCTCATTGACGAGAAGGTCATTGAAAGATTTTTTTTTCAGTGTTTCAAAGATAAGCAACATTTAGTTAATTGTGATTATTTATCATTACTTTTTAGGTTATTAAGTTGTGTAGTACTATATTTAAAACAATGACAAGACAATTTTAGTGTTTTAAGAATTGTATCAAATTTTGATAATAAATATAAATGACCAGCTTTTTCAAAGAGACTATTAAAATAACAAAGTATGAATGTCTGATTCTTTATGTCTGGCTATGATTATAATAATTACTTCCAATAATCTTTGTGTAAAGTTGCCTGTGATGTTAAAATCCTTTCCTATTTGGGCTTCATTGTGAAACCTTCCTTCTCAGTTTATGTTATGAATTGTCATTTTAATTCAAATCTAAAAAGTTAGAAGTTGCTGTGTCAGGGAAAAAAAACTATTTGGAAGAGCTGACTTTCTACTGTTACAATACTATGTAGTAAAACTATGTGGTAAAACTATGTGCTACTAGCAATTCATTGCCAACATATATCTGATAATAAATCACAATAAAAGCACCACTTCTAACTTGTTACTACAGAAACAATGCCAACAGTTCCAGGGTCATTTTTTGCCATGTTACTAATTCAAGTTGGCAAGAACTCATGAATGCATACAAAAAAAAGCAAACTGAATTCACCTCAACTAATATAATATCATTATGTGCTTTATAACTCTTCATGAATGAAGATAAATTTAGTTATGGCTCTTCTTAATTGGAGGTAAATAAGATTATTTTTCAAGACAAATAGTTAATTATTATTTACCAGTATATGAAGAAATGACACTCTATGATTGAAATTATGTGAATAAAATGTTGCTGTTTATTTTTGGAGATATGTTAAGTCTGACCTCTTCTTAATTAGAGGTAATACTCAGAAGACAACTCTTCATTTTTGGAGGTGACTACAATTATATCTCTCTATTCTTTCAGTTGTTGTCAGAAATCGTCGAGGTAGAGGAAAATAAAGATGACGTCTCGTTAACATGTGACCAGCGACGGCAACAACAACAACAATATTACAGTGACCGCCAGTCTCAGAGGCAAGAGAGTACAAAACCAGTCAGACGTAGCAACAAACGTAGGAGTCTTAGTTTACCAACAGGTACTCTAATCTTTATATTTCATATTATATCTATTGACTCTTTCCATCTTATATTAAATGGACATGTCCTTCTTTCAATATGGACTACACCATTCATCATATTTCGAGAAGTTGCTCAAAATAAGTAAAATGGCTCAGTGAATAGCAAACAGTGCAGACAGGATGCCACAGATCTTGGTCTGCACTGGTTCAGTATGGTAAAGGTTAAATAATAATTGATGCCTTTATGCTTGTAATAAAGTATATAATATTATGATAAATAGATCTTAAATTAATGGTTTGTACATGGAATCAATCAAATCTATCTGCCTGGTTAATACAGGAGCTTCACCAAAATGTCTGCTTCTGAAATAATGTATGAAAAGGTAAAATTCGGGGTCATTTACTATAAGCTAAGCTAATATTGTCTCAAGCATGACTTTTGGAATCTTAATGTACAACAAAAACAAACTCCAAATAATTTGAAATTGTCTAATAGTCGGGTTTGTGCATGCCATCAGTCTGTCAAATTTATTTGCGTTATTTTAAGGTCAATTTGATAGCTATATGAAATAAATATTTTGTATTTGAGGCCAATTTGGTTTTAAAGATTTTAAGATTTGGACATTTAAAGGTAGTTATTCACCCACATATAAATGTAGTAATAAGGATCCTTGTCAATTACCACAATATATATACTCACTATCCATGTATTGATAGTGTGTTATCAATGGAAGGAGAAATGATATATTTCACTCATTTTGTAGAATGACCACTGGGTACTGTAGCTCTTCTGGAAGGAAGCCATGTGAACTCTGTGTAAACCTGAAACAATAAAATTAACATTATTTGCCCATCTACAGATATATCATATTTATTAGTTTACTGGCTGAAAACCTGTAATTTATAGCTTCATAAATGTTTACATTGAAAACATGAAGAATGAATATATCGTGGGGGTCATACATAAAACAACCTTGTATACATGTAGCTTTATAATTTTGAAGAACAAAATCCTTACTGGACCCTTTGTACTAAAACAGTTTGCTTTTCATTGGATTTCTATTTAACATAAATATAAAAGTTAGTGAAAATGCTTCGTAATATCTGAAAAAAAAAGTTTTTACGTCTAAATATGAAAGATTATTGAATAGGCTTTAACCCTTACCACCCTTAATATCTTAAATGAACTTGTAGATCTTTCATTCAGTAGAAAACCATTCATCATTTCTAGGAAATTTTTAAATATTGATTGAAGGGCACAGAGGCTGATGTTGGTCTGTACTGGCCACATGGGTTGGTTGAGTTGCCGCCAGAAGGCTAAGTTCGACTCTTTTCTGTAATTTGTTCATTATAAGTTGCTTTGCAATTTTTATGGCAGAAATTTGCATTCTGGGAAGGAATGTTATTGCCAATCTAAAAATTGACAATATTTTATCTAAGTAATGTGCAACAGAGAGAGAATTAGCCACTTTGAAATTCCACTTTGCTGCAACAATATCATGGCAATTTATTGTGAAATTTTTACTATTTCCGCTCCTTTAATGCTCCTTAAATGTTGCAAATATTTGTGAAAAATCATGCTCAGTAGTTGATTTTCCCAGAGAAACTTTATGACACAGTTTGGAGATTGAGAAAACATGCAGATTTTAACAGTTTTCAGCATATCTTCTGGCGAATTACTTAAAATGAAGGAATTTGACATGATGAAGATAATTTATTTCAAGACAATTAAGCGAAGCATGACTAAAATTTCCACTGATAGACAGCAGTTTTTCTCCACTGATAGACAACAGTTTTTGGGGAGGCTATGCCGACCCAATGTTAATAACTGTCTGTCAAATCTTACTGCCGCGGTAATCAGGTCAAAAAATAGTACCTTGATTTTTTCTAAGCTGACTCATCACTCATCACAGACATTTACAATATGAAAATATTTTCATTCTTTAATTTCATATCTGCAATTTGTAAAGATAATAATTCTCTGAAAAATTCTTGATTTTTGTTTAAATCACTACTCCGTGACGTCATACTGCCACGGTAATCAGGTCAAAAAATAGTACCTTGATTTTTTCTAAGCTGACTCATCACTCATCACAGACATTTACAATATGAAAATATTTTCATTCTTTAATTTCATATCTGCAATTTGTAAAGATAATAATTCTCTGAAAAATTCTTGATTATTGTTTAAATCACTACTCCGTGACGTCATACTGCCGCGGTAATCAGGTTTAGGCATACGTATACGTCTATATTAAATAGTTCTGGTATGAAAACCCTTCAAAATAATAACTTTATCCATATTTTTTTAACAAAAAGCATAAATGAAAATTTATAAGTAAATGCTTTAATTCAGTGGCAAATATTCTTTATTATTTTTGATAACAATTTTCCAATTACTACGCAGCGACCAACTGTTTATGACGGGTCATTAACTAGAACGTTGCAACTACGTATTCTCAATATCATGCATGTGCTTTTTATGTTATAAACTATTAATAGTCCTTAATATTTTTTAAAGACAAATAATTGTAAACTGTCGCTTACATCAGAGACATGGATCATGCTTGCGTGATAACTAAGGAAAACTAACTTATTTGTACACCCCAGGAGGCTGTACGCGGAAAACGCTCATAAACCGCTAAATCATATAGCTGTTTAGTAAATATTTTGCATACATTTAACTAAAAATTCACTGATGGTGATGAACATATAGTTTAAAAACATTTTATTCTTTAACCATTATCGCCGAAAAAAAAAACTATTTAACTACAAAACCCCTAAGGACCTCCGACAAAATCCCAGCAAAATATTACATTTTACATTAGCAAAATAAAAAAAGCAATACTTATATTTTCATCTTACATAATTCATTAATCAAACTTTTAACATAAAAGTATCTTTGGTAATTGACAGATCCCTACTCTGATCTTTTATTTGTATAGGAATAAATTTAAACATGTGCTCTTTTGTTTAGGAATATTTTGTAGTGAAAGTCTTATATATTCACTAATCTCATAATTAGAATTAGACAGGTTAGGAATTTATACAAACAGTTGTTTAGTTAACTATGCTCATTTTAATCCCAATAGAAACATTCAAATATTTGTGGTAAAAAACATGACCAAAGTACCTAGTAGTCGTTTACCCGGTGGTGATCCCATTAAACTGATTATAGATTCGAATTGATTAGAAAACACAAATAGAAACATGTGTTTCCGTACAACAAAATCGGAAGTAAAGTGAACAGTTAATTGACAGAAATATGTGGTCAAATATGTTTTAACAAGGAAATAAGTATTTCAGAGAAAGACGCAAAGATCAGTATGACCCCGTATTGTGTAATTAGAAAGTTTATTCAATTCTAGGGCATACATCATAATTTGATAGTCCATTTGTAATAAAATTCAAATTTTCAATACAGATTATGAGATACATAAAAAATATTAAAGAATAAGAAGCTTTAATTAAAAAACAAAAACAAAAAAAACAAAAACAAAAAAACCCGCATACATATACAAATTACTTACAGTCGAGCATCGGGAAGTCATTAACATATCTTACGAAACTTTAATTTGAAACCGATATTTGCTCGCGCTGAAGTGATAAATGTTTATTTGAAAAATAAAAAAAAAAGAACTTTTATGGTTGTGTTCTAAAAATAATGGGCGGCATAAGAGGAATTTCTTATTCATTTTACAACACTTGAAAAATTACTACAGAAAATGTGTTGTTGTTTTGTTTTCAAAAAAAAGTGTGTGTGTTTTAAGTTTATTTATACTCGGCGCCGGAATAACCATATGTCCGAGATTATAGCATCTGGGACGTCTTTTTCAAGCAGATTCTTCCTGGAAGCCCATTCTTCGTTCTTTGGTGGTAAAGGAGACGACAATACCGTCAAGGCATCAACTTTCTGACTGACGACAACAAAAACGGCATCTATTAGCGCCAAACCTCCAGAGTAAGTCACGACAGGTCAACCAATCACCTCTGGTACTTATGATGACTTGACTATGACCTTCCGTGTGCCTTCTCCGCGACGTTGCACGCCTCTGGAGGTATTTGGAGAAGTTTCAACAAAAACTTCCAAAACACGCCATTTATAACACCATTCATAGCACTGACGGCTTCGATGTTCTCATCTATTTGCGGGAAATGGTCGACAGGGAAAACCCTACGTAATAACCGCACACCCTGTTAACAACAGATTTTCCGCAGTATATATTTCAAGCTAGTGAGGTTTAAAAATACACGTAAAATCTATCGATTAACTACCATAAGTTGGTTGAGTGTTGAGTGTTGGCGGTAAAAAAAGAAGATATAACTTCCTGATCAATTTTCACTTAGGTTGATTCAGTTTTGAATAAGCTTTGCAGAGATGTATTTTTTCAAGAAATATTTAGCTTTAATATTATCCGACGCCGTCAGTAATGAAATGGGATTAATTTTCTGAAACGTGATTTTATTCGAGATTTGCTTCTGAAGAAGACAGCCTTCTGTCTGTAGAGCATGAATGTTAATACTCATCACAAGACAGTATGTTATTGATCTCAATTATGGTACATCTAAACGTGTATAATTTTTATGTTCAATAAAAATGTTGCATCACGTGCAGTTGTTATTATCATTCAATAATATTAAAATGACATAAAATATTTATGATGAACAGTCCTAGAATATTTTGATAAGGAACCGTCAGTTGTAAAATGTTATTGTTATCTGATAATGAACAGTCGTCATACTTGCTGGTATGTCATTTATTATTGACAGTTTAGGTTTTTCAAAATTTGCATGATTAACAGTCCGAATGTAGACCTTAATTAAATGTTCTGGAATATTAACAAAATGAATAGTCAACCTCATTAACCATATATATGAATGGTTGAACACAACAGTAAGGATAAATAGCGCAATGTGCATATCTTTTTATTTTGGTAGCATATTTTAAGCAAAAAGAAAAGAAACTATAAGTCTGAAACATTCTCTCATAGCCTCCCCATCAGTACATTCAGTGCTTTGATTCTCTAGGTTATACATGATAATGACTTGTACTTGAATTCAGTCTGGGAATAACATCCTTGTATATAGGTGTAACTGTATCCTCACATATGTTACACTGATTTCCCCTTTTACAAAGGCCATCTGTCCTTACTGGCTACTTCGATTTTTTTTTGGTGATGTAGACCCTTGTTTTTTAACATTTTATAATTCAGCAATCATCAATTGAAATATCAGTGTGTTGGTTTTAATTGTATGTTCAATGTAAGGCTGTAAAATTCATATCCCCTACAGAAAATTCAAATGATCATCCACTGGAAATGTACCAAATATGATTAAGGCTCCTTTAACAGAGACCAACTGTTCAAAAGTCCATACTTTTATTATGAAATAATAATGAAATAATAATAAAAATGAAACTACACACAATTTATTTTCTATAAATTCTAAGTCAAATTTTCCAATAAGAAATCAATGCATGTAATTTATTGATTAAATATAATGTGCACAAATATTTGCAGTACACATTTTACATATTCTTTGATGTTGGAAAATTGTTTTATTTGCATAATTATATCCATATATATATTTTTTGCAAGTGTAGTGAACAAACAATATCACTAAACATACAGGATCTTTATGTCATAATGGTATATAGACAGATAGATGATATTTAAATTTAATTTTCTTTGAGACTGTATTAAGAGACTCCCTGTCATATGTGACCTTTTTCTGAAGATCCCTTGGAAAGTCACATATGACAGTCTCGACTGTAATACACATTATACTATGGGGAAGTCTATATGGACATATTTTATTGTACATTCTGAGATACAACATCTGTTCCCAGTGTACCACAATATAACAAAAAAAACCTACTCATGTTATGATGAATATCCTAGATTAAGAGTAAGATATAAACCATAAACTGTCAATGTTGATAGAGATAATTCTGATATATTCAAGGTACCTGATGATAGCTTATAAAATAAACTTGACTCCAGGTCCCTGGTTCAAAAACATGCCAAGTAATATTTACTTGGAGGAGGGGGGGGGCCTAAAACATTAACATTACTTCAACCTGCATATCATCTTTGTCATTACTAGCTTTAGCAGATTTCTAGATTGACAAGATTCTACTGGTGGTGTATGCTTCGGTTTTATAAAGCTATAATATAATCACAGATGGAAAATATCTTTGTCTAACAAATTGTTCTAGAGGGTTAATGCACATGTTTCTTGTGCTTTTACATCTGCTGAAGCACGAGAACACATTTAAAGCCCAAGCCCAGAGTGCTAGTGCGATATCATGTGACAGATATGTTTTGATAAGAATACTGGGGCCGTCATTGTATTAAGCTGGTTTCACTTTGCGCCCTGAGTCGATGAGTGTCCTCGGCACCTTTATAATTGACTTCTATCAAATGACATTACTCCTGTTCTGCTTCATTTGGAGAAGTTGGCAGTTATACTTGTGAAAAAAAAACAACAACAGAATTTTCGCCCATGGTTACAATTGTAGTATATTACTGCCAGACTGGCTTATGAATGAAATAATGTTAGGCTCTGGTACCATTGGCACCTTGCACGACATGTATACAGTTGATGGCCAGGCAGTATATTTTTGGTGTTTATCCATCATAACTGGCTTAAATTCTGGTTGTATTGTCAAAGTATCACATATAAATCAGCTTTAACATCAAAAGGTTTATGTTTAGCTAGCTTATATCAGAATTTGTTTGATGTTGAGCTTCTGTAGTTAATAATTCAACAGAAGGTTTTTAGAATTTTCAAAAACTTTAGATTTTACCATGGAGCTTATTATAGAATATTGTATGTATATCTGTGATTTTACTGAAGTAAACTTCTGTAATTCTAAAGTAGAAAATTTCAAACCCTCTGTAACTTGAGATGAGGGGATGTCTCTTCCAGTTGGCCTGTTTAGTGGTTTTACCTGGCTATTTAATGGTACACTTATAACCTGATAAAGGGCATTGATTTGTTTATAAAGTAAATATATATCTTATATCTTATATCTCGGTGCCCTCAGGGGGGAGGTATAATAAAAGTGTAATAATAAATGATAATCTAGATGACATATACCTGTGGGGAGGATAAAAGTAAGATAAATGACCATCTTGATTACCTATTTTAATTGATATTATATATTGATATTAAGAAATTATCATTATTACTGACAGTGATATTTTTCATAAAATACGAGGCCAAATATAGGCCTATTCCTTATTGACAAAACTATTGAAACTATTTTTATCTTCTAAATTGGTTATTAAACCACCTCCCCCCACCCCCCTCAAAAATTTTTTTTAAAAAAATGTAAAGATTAAATTTCCCTCAACCATCCAAAACTTGACTTTTATATGATTTTAATGGATTTGTGAAATTTCCCTATCTGTTTTCATAGATAAGAGTGTCAAATTTAAAGCAATTTTATTGATGATTACAAATAATATTTTATGGATGCATTAAATTTGTTTTAAATAAACCATCTGGTTAGCTCAATAGGTAGAGCAATAGTTTGTGAATCAGGCTTCCCGGGTTAAGTTCTGGGAGGGTGCACTGGTCTTTTTCATTGATTGATCATGAAATCCATTCTATAGTCATTCACACTGTACCTCTGCCCTGGCATGTACAGAAGTTATCGGTTCCTTGTGAAAGTGAAAACAACTGCTGGGTAGTACTGGTAAACTGCTTGACAGCCTGCCAAGGAATGATGCAGTGACAGATATGACTGTGCTCTGGAGAATTCTGACGTGATTCAGAGGTTAAACTACCAACACCACAACCAATTTGATTTAAGTCCCTTTAAAGTGATCAGTTAGTTTACGATGATGTTGCAAATATTAATTATAGCAGAGATTGACATACAGGATTTAATTAGCTCTTTAACTCATTAGGCACTGTAATTATAATAGATGTATTAATAACAAGGCGTTGTTTACATAGTCACTTATCTTGAAGATCGTAAATTGTGATTACACAACCGCCTATTGACTTAAACTATTGAATCATAAAAACCCTTTAGTCCCAATCTTTATCTAAGATTTTTTTTGTCAAAATACACATAATGAAATTATGACATTCGATACAGCGCACATAATATATATGGAGAGAGATCTGAATTTAGTCTGATACCTGGAGCAAAAAGATCCCGAAAAGATAGTCACGCTTTGCTCGGCTTATGTCAAGATAGAGAATCATTGTGAATTTATTATATTTTTCGTTAAATATGATAAAAAAAAGACAGCGTTACAACAACTTTTATTTACAAGTCCTCACATTCCTGAATAAATTATAATTTTCTGATAGAGGTACATGCAGCATGTAATAACAGTGTCTGTAGTGGTCATTAAATTTGTGATAACTGCGGTATACTATTGTAACAATATTGTAACTCAGAGGCATGTAACTGGATATCCTAAAAGATGTTTAATGTTCTATTCTAATTTGGATTGCATTTTGAAAGTGATATTCATCGTGGCTATATCTTTTTGCATGGTACGCAGTTTTTTTTTATACTTATATGTTAATTTTTTTATCTGTATAACAAAAATTGTGAACGAAAACGAAAAAAACAAACTTGGTACATTTGGTATTTAAATTGTTTGGAAAATTAATGTTTATTTTGTTGTGTGCTTGTTATATTTCGTAAAGTAATAATAAAGAAGGAATGAAAAAAGAGACAGAACATGTAATTCTGTCAAGTACAACTTAATTGGTTGTTTTTGACAATGTTTCACACATTAACTTTTTTTACAGGATAATTATTCTTATCAAGTCGGGACATCTGAGAGATTTATTTATTATAGTTTTTAAAGAGAGGATGTAGAATGTGAGTTTCATTATTCATTAACATAATTGGGATGGTATGCACAGTGCTATGTTGTTTTGTTGATTTTGGCAAGGACTGTAAATCATACTGGCTTAAGCCTCTGTATAGGTCAGAGGTCATATATGAATGTTAATCTATGGTCTATAAAATGACAGCTCTGGTCTTGAGGTTATAAAAACTTTTTGTCTGAGTTCTCTCTCAAATCTCAGGATTTTCATTGGTCAGTGTATATTCTGTGGCAGTTTCTGACCAATCAAATACCTGAGTTCTGAGTTTGAGTTTAGAGAATTAATTAATAACCTCAGACCCAGGTCTTCAACTTGCATATTTTTTCATCATATTATTTGTGTCATTTTGGTACCTTGTATTTTGCAGTTTTGGAAGCAGTCAAAGTTTGTGATGATCACATTTAGATTCAAAGTATATCAGTAGTGTTAAATATCTTATCTTATTTATTGCAGGAACTTTGGCATTTGGCGATGCTAGGATCGTTTATAAGAATGGACATTTCACAATCGAAACAATGGACAACTCAGAATATGATTGTAATGAGTCAGCAGATTACCATTCTAGTTCCCGGCATCTTGACAGTAATGTAGATGACATGTGGGAAATGCCGGATACCAGTGGAGATTCAAGGGAGACAACTGATATTCACAATAAACCTCATATGAGAAGACAAAATGCAAAAACTGTATTACAAAGTAGTGACTCTACCGAAGATGTGTTCTATAATGAAACTGAATTAAATATAACTGGTGATGCTAATGTGCTAAATATGGGTCGGACAAATGACGAGGTTTTTAACGAGTCGTGTTCTAGTCGTACATCGGATATGTCGGTTGATAGTTACTATTCTGAAGGGAATGGATTTTGAGTACAGATGAGTCTGTAACCGATTCTCAGAAACTTAGTAGTTCTAGTCTTCCTGAATCGAAAGATGTTGAAGTGAAACATGTCATGCAGCGAGCAAAACGGACGTCAAGTTTTCGAGCTGCACAGGAACGTGGAGCTCTGAGACTTTCTGGGATAGATGAAGATAAAGTTCATAACAGTACGAGGGCTAGATCTGTGTCACTAGATAGTCAGAAATCTGAATTGAACAAATCACCAAAAGTACAAAGTGTGCAAAATCAAAATCCAACATTTTTGAAGAAAGTGATGGCAAAACGGAAAACTCTGAACGAGAATCTAAATATATCAGGGTTTTCAAAACAAAGTGAGTCAGCTAAAGAGTTTTTCACAAAGAAAATGACATTGAAAGGACTGTTTAGAAAGAACAAATCAGATTCCTCAGTTAATAGTCCAATAAAGACTGAGCATCCAGTAAGTCCTCCAATAGCTACATTTCAAGATGATGACATTGGTAGTGTTGATACCCCACCTGGTTCTCCGTACCGTAATAGGAATATACGTCGCAGGCATACTTCTGCTGATATACTCAAGACATACCCTGATTCTAGTGAAACTGACTCTAACTGCCCAACTCCCACGCAAGAAAGGAGTAATAAATCAAGACATTCTATTTCGTCCCCTTCAACTCCTTCACACGAGGCAAACTCATTCTTGAATCTCAGCTCTCATGCCTCCAGCCCTCAATTTCGCGATGATGATGAGATGAGTATTACGTCTGCAAGTAGTTTTGCTAGTAGTATTCACTCACCACCCCTTGAACAACCTCATAAACCAAAAACTCCGAAGCCTGTTGGGGCCTCTCCACGGAGAAATCAAAGTTTTAGTTACCAGCTTTCTCGTTCTGGTTCCCAATCGTCTCAAAGAAATGTGATGAATTCTGTGACTTCATTAGAAAGTGACCAGTATGAACCAGTGCAAGACGATGTTATAAGAGACCCAAGGTGCGAGTGTGTGTTTAGATCTGAGGAACGTAAACGCAGGATGTCTAATCGTAATGTACGAGGGTCGACCGACTCAATTACCATGTGCCAATTCTGTAAACAAATGGAATTTTATAAGAGTGATAGTGCATTTTCAAACTCTTCATTTTATAAACAACAGTTGACTGGTAAAGAAAAACAAGGTGATGATGGTGCTAGGATAAGAAAAGATTCATCAGGGCGGAATAATTATGACAGACTGGGAATTATATCGCAAGCAGACGTCGCGTCCAGTAACAGCAATGACAGTGGTATACAACGTGACGCAAGTGTGCACTCCAGCAATGAGTCAATAAAGGTAATTATCATTGTTTTCTTTTCATTTCTTGATTTAAATTAATTAAAAAATAATGCCTAGATACAAGCAGGAGGGATTTTATATTTTTTGCTTAGTAAACATTGAGTTAAACACTGAATTTGTGAAGATGGTCTTGATGTGTTATATTTTGGAACTATTCATTAAATATTGTAGATATTTTAGGGTTCATACTACTGTGGCTATGGGCAGTATAGAGCCTGGTCATAATCAAAGACTGACCTAGTTCTTTAAATATGATAATGGTCTTTAAGACTTACATTGCCCTGCCAGTATAAATTAGAAAGTAAATAAAATAACATTTTAAACAATTCATAAGAAGTTGATTAATTTCCTCAATTTCTATTGTCAGTGTGGACTGGCTGTGACACATAATTTACCTCTTTGTATCCAAGAAATTTTAATGTGAGGGCTATACTGTTACACCGCAAGTCTGCACATTCTTCAGGTAACAGGCCAGTTTTATACACGTACAGTAATCAAGTCAACCTGCACATCCTAACAGTAACCAGTTCAAACTGCACATCCCAGCAGTTGCCAGGTCAACCTGCACACCCCAGTAGTTACAAGGCCCAACTACACACCCAATCAATAACTAGGTCAATATGCACACCACAACAGAAACTGGCAAATCTGCACACTTCAACAGTAACCAGGCCATTATGCACACCCAACAGTTGACAGGTGAACCTGCACAGCAGTTTATAGGCCAACCTGCACACCCCAACAGTAACTAGGCAAACCTGCACACCCCAACAGTAACTATGCCAACATGCACACCCCAACAGTTACCAGGTCAACCTGCACACCCCAGCAGTTACCAGGCCAACCTGCACACCCCAACAGTGACCAGGCCAACCTGCACACCCCAACAGTAACTAGGCCAGTCTTCACTCTCCAACAGTAACCAGGCCAACCTGCACACCCCAGCAGTTACCAGGCAAACCTGCACACCCCAACAGTAACCAGGCCAACCTGCACACCCCAACAGTAACTAGGCCAGTCTTCACACTCCAACAGTTACCAGGCCAACCTGCACACCCCAACAGTTACCAGGCCAACCTGCACACCCCAACAGTTACCAGGCCAACCTGCACACCCCAACAGTGACCAGGCCAACCTGCACACCCCAACAGTAACTAGGCCAGTCTTCACACTCCAACAGTTACCAGGCCAACCTGCACACCCCAACAGTTACCAGGCCAACCTGCACACCCCAACAGTTACCAGGCCAACCTGCACACCCCAACAGAAACTAGGCCAAGTTGCACAACCCAACAGAAACTAGGCCAAGTTGCACATCTCAATGGTCTCTGATCATGCTGTTTGCTTTTTAATTAATGTCTGTCGATTAACTGAGGACAGTTCTAAATTCAAAGACTACACAAAGTTTATCACTGTCTTTACATAGAACACATTCCAAGCTTTATCATTTGTCCACATAATTTGGTTGTTAGATTTTTAATTTGCATTCTCTGGTTATTTTTAACACATAAATTCTTGATTTGACACATGCATGTTTTCATGTCTTGCCTAAATTAAGTCTGCATTAATCTTGTATGTAAATTTCATACAAACTTGAACAGCATGTTGTGTGTATGATTTATGAAAGAACCTTACATAGAATCTCACCATGAGTATTAAAATATAGAATTACATCCATGATTGATATAGATTATAAGAGTGGTTTGATGAATGGATGAATTTTCAGATTTCTTTTTCAGGTAAGATAATTTTTACAAGATTGTAAATAACTTTTAAAAAATAGAAATAATCTGTATATTCTGTTAAGGATTATTAAGAAATGTATTTTCCTTTATATGGTCACCCTGCTTAATTTGTATTGAAGAACAAGATGTTGCTTTGAATTTGGAATTGTCCAATGATTAATTTTGTTAAGAAATTAAAATTCTTAAATTTCAATTTTCTAAATTTTAGTATTGAGTAGCCCACTTTTGTGTGTGTATATTGCTAGCTTTGGTCAAAACTGGTGGCATAGACAAGTCGTTTTGTTGATACATGAAGACGAAAATTGTTACAAACTTGGTTATATCATAAAACTAAATTAATAAGTTCAATATTGAAAACACTTTAAAGTTTATGATTCAAGGTATTCTAAATAGTTTCTTTCATAAAAAAACTCAACATTCAGAATAGAAAAAGATTAGTTTTATACCAATATTTAGTCAAAGTTAAAATTCATTTTAACATGCATAGCAATTTCAAACTTAAGTATATAATTTTGATTTCTTTTAAGAGTATTTTAGTCAAAAGGAAATTTATTGATGATTAAAGATAACCTACTTTCTCCTTCATATTTGTAAAAAGAAAAGAATATCAAAAGATGCTTTTTTTGTTAGTTCTGTTATATTTTAAAAATCCATGTCACTGTAATTTCAAATTATTAGCTATTTAGTTACACACAAAAAATACATTTATACATAAGTGGAATATTACACCATACTGTTATATATATGTAATTACATATTTAGTGACAAATTTATCGACAGTAATGGCCATAGGGCATAAAACATAACAACTTTTTAAAATTTCAAGGAAGTGGTCTGATTAATTGAAACTTCCTCCAAAATTTTAAGACTTTTTTGTAAACACTGGAGTACCACAAAGACTTTTCCTCTCTCATATACTGTTATAGTAATTTAAAATGCTATAGTCACATAGATGCAATAGTTCATAAAAATAAAATTGAAACATCGCATGTTGCTATCTATTGTATTGAAAAATTTGGATTTTAATTGGAACATAATCAGTTGACTATATGATTTAATAATACAGCAATTATTTTTCCTGTATTAAAGCTCAATTGTCAGTGATATGTTTTAAAAAATCCATGATATAAATCCGTGCAAACTGTTCAAATTATAAAAATGGAAATTGAAATGTTCTTATTTCTTGGAGTTATGGCATTTATTGCATTTCTGATCTACCTTACTGAGTATGTTCTAAATAGAAACAAATAGGAAAAAAGTAAATATTAGGGAAAGTTATTGAAAAGAAAACTGATTGGAGCTGAAAGTGGAAGATGAACAAGATGAGCAAGGCAAAACTGTTTTCTTTTTGTAATGGAAACCATTAAATAGACATTTTAGAGTGGACCTTTGACATTGAGCTATATATCTTATAAGTGATGAAAAATTGACAAGTCTTTGAGATATCTAGAGTTTATGAACTAGTTTGTGAAAGTTATCAGACTGCAACCACAGTGACACAAATAAAAAGATTTGTCATCAAGGACAAAAAGGATATTAAGAATAGGAAAAAGAAGACATACTTAAGTGCTTTCCTAAAACAAGAATGGTTTTGGAGCCTCTGTATAGATTTAATCTTGGAAATTTTATATTTGTCAGTTTTTTATTCACTACTATATTCTCAATATGGAAGGACATGGCTCGCCTGATCCTGATTTTTGAGCTTGATACCATGTACAAAATGATCGTCTGGTTTCTGAGGGAGGATGTCCAACATAAAGTTGACATTTGAGTTATTACAAATTGGCTATACCTTTACAAGAACATTTGAATAGGCAGTTTCTTTTCAAAAAGCTTAAGAAGGGAAACACAGTGTTTAAGGAAAATACAAAGGGATGTTACTCAGTTTCAAGAATTGATGAAGGGAGGTAACTTGGTTCCAGGAAATGATGGCTGTTTCAATGAAAAGATGATAGATTGTATGCCAAGAAATGATGATTGTACAAAATTTATCATGAAGAAATAGAAAATTGAAATTGTTTTGAAAATTACGCACAGAAACAAAAATTTAAAACTTGAATTTTGTGTATTGATTAAAACTTCTGGTCAGGAAAAATCGTGATAAGTCCTGGTTCAGTAATGCATCATGATCAGTGGTGTCATAAATATAGATATAAGGAGAATTGAATTTCTCATCCTTTCTGTACTTATTACAATTATTGTTAATTTTTTTACATTTCGGTTATATTTCACTGAATGTATCTTAATAAAAATATGTTAAGAAAGTGTTGAACAATGCTAAAGAAAGGAGAAAAACAATGCTAAAGAAAGGAGAAAAAAGGACATGAAATATTAAAATAAAGAGATTGATCTACCTGTCAAAGCTAGTTTAAAAAAATCAGACAGATTGATACATGAAGCAAAAAAGTACTGTAACAAATTTGTTAGTTCAGGTTGACATTTTGATGAGTTAGATTAAATTACATATTGATGGTATAAGTAATTGATTAATCAAGTTACATCTCACCAAAACTGACTTGAGGTATTTTCCCTTAAAGAAAAAAAAGTACTCAAAGTGTTGCCATTTAGTCATAATAAAACAAAACTGAATTCTGATAGGTATTAGTGTGGAAAAAGAAGTTAGAACTGAAAATTGAAAAACATATTTCATTCAATTAAAGGATTTTTGAAATTTGTAGCTGGCTTTCTTTTAAAAGATGGATTTTCATAGAGATTGGCTTATGAGAAATGGTTACTGTTCACAATTCAAATGAGTAGGTGTTTTAAAAAGACAGAAAATTGTGATATTTCACATGCAGGATTATTTCTTAGCTGAAATTCGATGTAAACAAAATTCACCATGCCTTTCAAGTCTCTGTTTAAATGTTGCACAGACAATTTGAAAGGTACCTGGAATATTGGTAATGACTCGTTAAACACTTCGCAACACAACCTGGTCTCACAGATCCCAGGCATCGATGGCTTTGATCCTAATACTGAGAATGTGTATGATAACCACACTTCTATGTTTAGGACAGTCGCCAATGACGACATGCCTGATTTTGCCAATCTGGATCACCTGACCTCCAGCCCAAGGCGAACTGTACAAAATGAGTATTGCAGACCAAAACTTGGAACGAAGAAAGAAGCAAGTGAGCCAGATGATACTAGGAGATTAAAAAGTTCAAAGAGGGGAAGTTTGAAAAGGCTTTTGTTTAGAGAGTCTGCAATAGAGTGGAGTCCAAATGACAAAGTTCAGAGTGAGGTAATACATCATTTTGGGAGAGGAGAAGTTGCAGGACTAGATGATAGCTATGTAGGTGATGATGCATGTACAAAAGATGATTGTAGCGTTTACCAATGTGTTGAATTAAAATCTTGCTGCAAATTAAGCTGTAAATATGCTGTCAATATGGTGCGAGAAAGGCCTCAAGCCTCAGGAATAAATCAAGACATTGAATCTGAAATACCATCAGAACCAAATGAGGGAACTTGCAAAAAGAAGAAAAAGAAGAGATGTTCAAGTCAAGGCAAGAAAAAGTCTTTGAAATTTTCACTCAAGAAGACTAAAAGTGATAGTGGGTTACCAACTTCTACACCAGATTGTTCATTTAGATATTTCCAAGATGAGCATGATAATAATTATGATGAAGTTGATCAATACAAAGAGAATGACCTAGAATATGATTCTGAGGGACATAACTGTGATGATCATATCTATGAAGATGTTGTTGTACATTTTGTTAGAATTAAGGATTCAAAACCTCACTTGAATACAGATCTTCCTGTTGGAATAATTGCAAAAGGTGATCAAAGTAATTCTAACTCTGAACAAAGTCATTATGCTACCTATAATAGTTATGAAACACATACTGAAGATATTGATTTACTAGCTGAGGCTTCTGGTGTTAATGACAAAGATAATGGACATTTAAATCAAAATACTGTTTTGGTTGAAAATGAATTACAGGATTGCTTGGATGAAGAAGAAAATAAAGTTGACCCAGCAGAGAAAATGGTACAAAATAATTCTCTTGCAGATACTGCACCATTTGATAGTATGAATAAAGACAAAAATACTTTCAAAAGAAAAATTGATTTTGATGACATTGTCAATGTTGCTTGTATTGAATCTGAATTAGTAGATGATTTGAATAATAGAGATGAAACTACTGCACAAAACAATATTCACTCTTTGAAAGAAACAAATTCAGATAAAACTACTTCACAAAGCAATATTGGCTCTCTAAATGGAATAAATTTAAGTTCAAACGAAACTTCTTCACAAAGCAATATTGACTCCTTAAAAGAAACATGCTCAAATGAAATTACTTCACAAAACAATAATGACACTCAGGAAGACACAAATTTAAGTTCAAATGAAATTACTTCACAAAACAATATTGACATTCATAAAGACAAAAATTCAGGTTCAAATGAAACTACTTCACAGAACAAAATTGACTCTTTAAAAGAAACCTGTTTAAATGAAATTGCTTCACAAAACAATATTGATGCTCTGAAAGAAATATATTTAAGTTTAAATGAAACTACTTCACAAAGTTATATTGAATCTCCAAAATTTAATGAAACATATTCAAGTTCAAATGAAGCTGCTTCACAAAACAATATTGACTCCTTAAAAGAAACATGCCCAAATGAAATTACTTCACAAAACAACATTGATGCTCTAAAAGAAACATATCCAAGCTCAGATGAAATTTCAGGAAGCAATATTGAATCTCTGAAGGATACAAATTCAAATGAAAATGTTGAAGAAAGAGAGATTTCTAATGACACTAGTATTAAAAGTGGCTACACTACAAATCTGTCAGTGCTTAATAAGAAACCAGACAAGTCAATGATACCCAAAAGGAGTGCCAGCATGTACGTTCCTAGACAAAGAAGTACCACCAGTGCATTTTGGAGAAGAAATATCAGAAAGAGGACCAAAAGTCTTATTGAAATTGACATAGATTTTAGTGACATCGAGGAAGAAGCTGAAACATTTATGTCAGACACAGAAGTAGAAAATGAAGTATTTAAAGTAGATACAGAAAAAGGAATTCATAAGACAGATTTAGAACAAGAAATGTTCAAGTCAGATACAGAAAAAGATACATGTTATTCGGGTATAGATGAAGAAACCTTTAAGTCAACCACAGAAAAAGAAACATTAAAACAAACTATAACAATAGAAACATATAAGTCAGATTCCGGAACAGAATCTTTAAATATAGATATAGAAAAGGAAGAATTGACATTAGAAAAAGAAACTGTAAAGACAGATGAAGAAGAAGGAAGACAGAAGTCATATAGAAATAAAATGCCATTAAGTAAAGATAATAATGTTGATTCTGTAAAAGCAAATATTGATTCAGTTTGTCTTTCAAACATTGAATCTGCAGATGGGATTAATAATGGAAATGATAACAATCAACAGAGCACAAATGAAAATAATTTAGATCTACATATTTCCCTAGAGTCAAACAAATATGCTGTAAGTAATGGGAGGCATATACCAGTAATGCTAAATAAGAAACCAGATAAATCTTTGATTCCTAAAAGGAGTGCCAGTATGTATACTCCAAGACGGAGAAGTATAGCAAGTGCAAATTGGCGGAGAATTTCATCAAAAAGAAGTATTAGTCTTTATGACAATGCCTTAGATATAGATATTGATTTTAATGAGATAGATATACAAAAAGAAATTTTGAAGTCAGACATTGACATAGAAAATGCTAAATCTGTAATAGACAAAGAAACTGCCTTGTTGGATACAAGAAAACAAACTGTGAAGTTGGATACAGAAAAAGAAGGTTTTGACTCAAATATACAAAAAGAATCAGATACAGAAGACGAAATGTTTGAATTAGATAGAAATAATCAGACAAAACTTGAAAATGACATATTAAGTAAGAATAATATTGTTGACACTGAATCATTTGATCCAGTAAATGATCAGGAAAACGCTGCTGACATCTGCTTAGACATCACTGATGATGATACAGAAAGTGATGTAGCTGTCAATTTAGATGAGGTAGATATGGAAGTAGATTTAGATGAACATTGTGGTTTGGAATCAATGTACAGTGAAGTTATACAGGAGAATGAGTTTGACGATTTTATTGATGAATTTGATAGGAAGTTATCCTGGCTTTATAGGACACAGGTACACCACTATTTAGTCTAATACTTTTCTGATTTGATGTAAATTGAATAGTCCTTTTTCTCTATATAATGAGCTAAGAAATTACATTTACTTAGTTTATAAAACATAATTGAAGGTCAAGGTCAAGTCAGTAATAATCTAACCACAGTTGCCCTCTAATGTTGCTGATATATTTGCACAGAGGAACATCTAGGGTCATCCGCCACTGCTGAAAGATGAAGGGTTGCTGTTTGACCTCATTGAATTCAGCAGTGTGAAATAAAACAAAACTAAAATAAAATGAATAATTAAATAAAAAAAAAACAGAATCATAATCTTGAGTCTGAGGTTTGTTGAAACACTGCATGGTAGCATTATTGTAAAATTGTTTAGGGCAATACCCTTTGTCACACAGAACTTATGAAATGGTCTTGTATAGAAATTAAACATATAATTTTCATTATAAATATATTCAACTATATTTAGCACTGAAACATCATAAAAGTGAGTAATAAAACAATATTTTCCTATAATCTTATCATGGGTTAATAAATAATAAATGCACTTGACATATACTGACATATGGTATAAATTAAACAAGAGGGCATAAAGGACAAAAACAATTGACAAATGGTGGTGACGTTTTACGTTTGGTATCTTACGTCTGCTGCAGAGCATGGTCTTGACTAACAGGGATTGGTGCATTAATGATGTAACTGCATTGAAATAAAAAAATAAGATATGATAGTCCAGCATCAAACTCTAAAAGTATATCATTATTTACTAATATTATATATGTGTAAATCTTACCAAAAAATGAGTATGGAAAAACTATTATTAATGTTGAAAAAATCCAAAAAATTCTGACTTTGTTAAAACAACACAAAAAGAATCATGGGTGTAAAGACTTGTTTTTCTTTTGTTTTGTTCGTTTGAACTTATGTATGAAATGTTGTTGAAGGTATGAGTTTAGTAAAAGATCACAATTTATAGAATAAAATATCTTTGCTTTACTTTGGGCAGTGTATACTTATAGATTATAATAATTAGCATTTGAAATTTTTAGCACAGTACACAACTTTGGTGTCTTATAAATACTGAATGTGTTAATAGGACAATTTGAAAATAAGCTACAAAATGAATTGTCAAGATTATACATTCCTAATAAACTACAAGATGTGTCAAGTAACAAAGTTGGTAAGCTATTTGTAGATGAGTTTTTACTTTTTCAGAGAAAGAACAGGACAGAATATGTTAATTTATCATTACACCTGTAATTAACATAACATTGTTAATTTCCTTATTACAGGGCACAGCAGATACTCGTATCCGATTACGTAGGAACAAGTCATTGTCCCCACACCCTGACCGACCCAAGTCAGAAATCGGTGTCCGATGGGCAGACGGTGACTCAGGAGATTATGACATCACGGAAACAACTGTAAAATTACGCAATAAAAGTGCTAGAGACAGGCCGCGGCCTAAATCTGATCTGGGTAGGTTCATTTTGTTCTTATATTCTTTGCTGCCGTCTGCTTGGCAGTATCAGATCTTACCAACATGTTTATTATGTTCATTTAGTTTGGATACTATAGATTTCATCTCTGAATTTTAATAAATTTTCAATAAAGGGCAATTACGTTAATCATTCCATCATCAAATGACATTTATAGCTAATCTTTCAATTTTACTAGGCTTTGGTTCCTAATTTTGAAGAATTTGCTGTTATTATAAATAGGTCACTAAAACTATAATCTTAAAAAAAGAAAGCGAAAAGAAAGTAAACATCCTTATAAGGTATTTTTTACATTTTTATCTAAATCACTTTCACTTTGCTATGGTAGACGACTCATGGTCAATTTGCAGGATTTTTAAGTTCAGTATGTGAAATCAAGGAAGATAATTCATGGTTTAAAATATTGTGGGAGATCAATACAGTAATTTTATTTACATTTTGTAAGGACAATGTAGTGATGGTACAACAATATGTATTTCTCATATCAGGCCTGGAAAATATATCTTTCAGCCTGGAAAATATATCTTTTAGTCTGGAAAATATATATTTCAGTCCAGAATATATATCTTTTAGCCTGGATAATATATCTTTCAGCCTGGATATAATATCTTTTAGCCTGGAATATTTATCTTTTAGCCTGGAAAATATATCTTTTAGCCTGGATAATATATCTTAGTTTATCAATAAGTACAATAGGAGACCCTGAAATATATCTACATAAAAATCTTATCTGATTATCTTGTGCAGAGTGATGACCCCTGGACAATGTGTCACTGTGGACAAGTCATGAAAATGCTTCTACATTTGTGACATCTCTTGTTGGCACTGTTGAAATTATATTTCCATTGTCAAAACTGTATCTTTAATCAAGTTTATTTCTATTTCTTAAAAATACAGGAAAACCTCTTGTAAAGACCTGTCTAAAATAATTGCTAAAAATCTTTTTTTCTCCTCTGAAAATTACTGCATATTGCTGGGTATCGCAAGAAAATTTAAATTTATCATATTAAATAAATCCAGCTTATGAACTTCATTAAGTTGATCAAAAATCATAAACTTGGTGCCATTCATAGAAAAATCATGAATGCTTTGATTTTCATGAAATATTTATTACTTGAAAATTCATGAATTTTATGAACCTTTTTTCAACAGCACTGTGAGTGACAACATTACTACATGCTGTCTTTTATTAGATGGAATATTGGGTACAGGTTTGACTGTTCTTCAATATCAAAAAAAGTTGTAAAGAGAATTATGCTTCATTGACCATGCTTTTTAAAATGATACATTGAAATATAATAAACCATGACAGTGAGCATGTGACCAGTGTATACAAGTGCATAATGACCGACAAGTCACTGATCATTAATAAAACATGGTTGGTGGGGGGACAGTACGTGGACCAAATGATTTATGGGTAATAAGAAGTCAATTTATGACGAGACTTGTTTGTTGTACATACGTGTTGACCCAAAAATGTATCATAAAGTAAATATTCAAATATTTTTCCAGCGTGAGGCTTTAAAATTTCTTAAATAGAAAGATTAGTTACACGCCAGTTCTGTTTTACTGGTTAATAACATACCTGTAATGTATTTACGCCAAAGCTGAAACTAAATTAATTTTCCTATTACTTTGTGTACACTTACATAATATACAATAAAAGTAATGCAATTTATGCAAAATTTCACAAATTTCGGATTTTATTATGAGCATGAAGAAAAGACGATGGTGGATTTTAAATATTGTATTTTATTCAAGTGATGGAATTATTGATAAATAAAAATAATGGATTTAAATACCTGATTAAAATCAATCATGTATATTTGGATTGAATATTATTTTTTATTGGGTCATTAGTGATTTCTGATTGATTACGTAGATAAAGCTACTGGAGATATAGTAAAGAATAGTTTTAATAAAATCAGGGTCTTAACATGTTTATTTAGATTACCTAAGAGAGGATTTTGGATAGAGGTGCCTTTTCAGTGGGTATTCGGGGAAAGAAATGTATTTTTATTAAGGAAATTTAAGAGAAAAAAAATTAGGGATTTTTAAATTGCAACAAATAAGTTAAACAAAAATGTCAAGATTATAAAAATGTATAGTTTCTGTAGAAAAAAAGCATTTCATGATGAAAATAACATACAGTGAAATATAGTGGTGAAAAATAGTGGTAAAATGTACAATATATAATAATTGAGCATATTTTAGTGACGATATTTGAGTGAAAAATGATAAGGAAATTGTGCTTATTCTTTTGATGATAAAATAAAATTGTCAGTGTAAAAATGGATGACAATTTTTTGGGAGTATCGTCAGATATGGTTGAGGAATGGAACAATTATTTCGATTTTATTTGGTCTCAACCTCATGATTCAAAAATTCTCAATCTTTGGATTATGTGTAAGTACACATATCTACAAACTGTTACAAATTTGTTGTTTAGTTTTCATGAGAAAAAATTCAATTATCATGAAAGGTTTCATGTTTTTTTTTTTTTCACAATTTTCACATTTTAGTTTTTATTTCAGATTTACAATTTTATACATTTACAATTAACGGGTGTATAAGCTATATAATTGCTGGTTAAAATTGTACTGGTCAGTAAAATTAAAGAACTGCAGCACAATCAAGCTGTTTCCATTTACTATTTTAGTTTCTACAGAGTTCTAAGAAAACTCTGAATTTGAACACCTCGAAGAATAAGTCTTAAGCTCTGTACTAATACACATACACACCATCATAAATTAAATTTCGTCGCCATAGTGCAATAACGGAATAAGTCCTTCTAAATTTAATAGCAGTTAATCAGTTATTGCACCAAGGTGACAATATAGGCTTTCGTAGAAGGCTACTAGCACTATTGTTTCCTCATTAAAAACTAAATAATATAAATTTGTTGTTAATATGATTATAATGATACTTTTTACCATGACAAAATTTATTTAGCCAGTTGCAGACGGCACAATATAGCTTTATACACTTTAAAGTAGCATGCCTCTAGATGTGTAAGCCGTGTCACGACAAAACCAACAGAATGCGTTTGCGACCAGCATGGATCCAGACCAGCCTGCTCATCCGCGCAGTCTGATCAGGATCCATGCTGTTCGCTATCAGTTTCTCTACTTGTAATAGGGTTGGTAAGCAAACAGCATGGATCCTGATCAGACTGCGCTGATGTGCATGCTGGTCTGGATCCATTGCTTGTCGCAAACCCATTATGTTGGTTTTGTCATGGCGCTGCTCATTTATACTTAAGAAATGTATGAATTTTCAGTATCATCGTGATACAGACTGCATGTTTTATGTAAAATTTGACAAAATTCATTATTTTTTGTCACCAAATTTTTAACCTGTTACTAAGCAACATAAAGGTTATATAATTATTTCTGTATATTTTGGCAATTATAAGTACTTTTTGTACTGATTCTCAATTAAGCATTTTTTTTAGAGTAAAACAATTATATTTTTATGTTTGACAACATTTTTACCTGTTAACAACATTTACAATACATTTTGTATGTTAATTTTTATAAAACATACCTTACCTCTGAAGGCATGCTGCTTTAACAATAATCACATTGTTACTATATTTAGAAATCATCGACATTGATATTTCAGAGGATAATATTCACCTATTTGATGAGCTTTTTGAGGAAGTTTTAGAAGATTTTGAAACAGGTATCATCAGTATACTATGTAAATATGGTGATATTGTAAACATGTACATATATACTAGTATTATATCCTTGCAAAATTTTCTTTTGTTGCTGTTGTTGTTTGGCTCATTTATTTTTAGTTCATATCATTTTTTATTTGTTGTGCACAGGCTACATATATTATTTTTGTTTGATGTGCACAGGTTATATCATATTCATAGTGTTTGATTGGGTGTTTAGTTTCTTCTTTTTTCTCATGCATCAGTGTAAGCAATCATATTGTTTTAAGTTCAATATAAAATATAGGCGAATAGTTAAGGTCACTGACTTTGACCTATTTGCCATATCAGAATCCAGAGTCTCTATTCAGACCAGAACCTTAAGGGATATATTCCTTAATTTTCTTTTTGAATAGATAATCTGGTTTCTTACATGTTTAAGGAAGCTATCTAGTAAGCATTTGCAAGTTCTACTCAGGAGCCTGCTCATTGTCTTGAATAATGAAAAACTTAGGGACACATAGGGTCTATGTCCATTAGCCATGTTGTTGTCTGGAATAATGAACAAAGGAGCACTTGGGGTATATGTCCATAAGCATCATATATGTTGTTCTCTGGAATAATGACAAAGGAGCACTTGGTGTATATGTCCATAAGCATCATATATGTTGTTCTCTGGAATAATGACAAAGGGGCACTTGGTGTATATGTCCATAAACATCATATATGTTGTTCTCTGGAATAATGACAAAGGAACACTTGGGGTATATGTCCATAAGCATCATATATGTTGTTCTCTGGAATAATGACAAAGGGGCACTTGGTGTATATGTCCATAAGCATCATATATGTTGTTCTCTGGAATAATGACAAAGGGGCACTTGGTGATATGTCCATAAAAATCATATATGTTGTTTTCTGGAATAATGACAAAGGGGCACTTGGTGTAAATGTACATAAGCATCATATATGTTGTTCTCTGGAATAATGACTAAGGGGCACTTGGTGTATATGTCCATAAACATCATATATGTTGTTCTCTGGAATAATGACAAAGGAGCACTTGGGGTATATGTCCATAAGCATCATATATGTTGTTTCTCTGGAATAATGACAAAGGGGCACTTGGTGTATATGTCCATAGAAGCAATGTTGTTGTCTGGAATATAATGAACAAGTCAGGGGCACTTTGGGTCTATGTCCACAGCCAGGTTGTTGTCTGGAATAATGAACAAAGGGGCACTTGGGGACTATGTCCATCCGCAATGTTATGATGTCTCTACGTGACTCTAATGATATTATTGTGACTTAAAAACCAACTAAATTAATGAATAATGGGCCGTTCCATGACAAAACCAACATAATGTGTTTGCGACCAGCATGGATCCAGACCAGCAATTAGCGCCTCCGCACAGTCTGATCAGGATACATGCTGTTCACTTACCAACTCTGTTACAAGTAGAGAAACTGATAGCGAACAGCAAGGATCCTGATCAGACTGTGCGGAGGCGCTAATTGCTGGTCTGGATCCATGTTTGTCGCAAACACACTATGTTTGTTTTGTCATGGCACGGCTCACACACGGTATTATACATTTGTTGTTATTCTGAATATATTTCTTACAATATAGCACATTAACTAAGCTTTATTCACTGGTTTATTTTCAGACTCTATGTTTTTGGAAAACAAGATCAAGGCTTTACTTAAAATTGTGTCTTATCCATTTTGCCTGTTCGATTTTTAATTCTTCAAAAAAATAATTGTTCAACTGAAAAAATGTGTAATTCATTATTTAATTTGAATCTTCAAAAGACTATCAAAGTTAAAAAGTTGAAAGTTTATTTCTATTTTCAAAAGGAAAATTAAAGACTAATTATTGGTTATAAAGTCATTAAAATCTTGGAGAAAAGGACAGGCATAAAGTTATCGCAGGCTTTGATTTAGCTGTTTGGTTTTGTTTAATAATTATTGTTATAAAACGCTTCCTTTCTGTTGCCGATTATTTTACAGTGTATAGAGTTCCATAATTGCATTTTGTACAATAAAAATAGGGCACCCTTATGTAACATAATATATTTGTATTATAGTTTTTGTAATTATTAACCGTCTTGCATGCTTCGTTGAATTGCCAAACAGTAGAGTTTATATATAAACACAAAACAAAACAAGGTGTTTTATTGAATAGACAAGTTTATGTGTGTTTAGATATGAATCTAGATTGTTTTAGATTAGTTTGTTAAGATGATAAGTAATATCGGATTGATCAAAAACACCTGGTTGGAATTGTGATGGATTTATTTGAAATACTAGGTTAGTTATTATTAGTGGTGAACCAATTTTTTTTCCTGTCAAAAAAAAAAGTATCAAATTATGTTTCCAAACATTGGAATTTTTGTATGAATGGTCGACTTTTCCAACAATAAAGTAAGTGTCTTAAAGAAAGGAAGATCGGTGATTCTACTCATGCAAGTAACGGTTTGTTCTTGAAATATTATTGCTAGTAGGGACATCTTGTATCTTTCTCTGCTAGGAGAGTCACCTTAACACTGTGTTGGTGTGAATGGCCTGTTACTGTGTTGGTTTGACTTTTAATTCAAACAAAAAGAAATAATTAAAAAAAAAGAAAAATAGAGCAAACATTCTACAATGTATATCTATAAAATATAGTCAAGTTTTGATTTCAAGATAGGAATTCCTATTTTACAATATAATCTTTTTGAAATGAAAAAAGATGAGAAAAAGGTTATTGCCCTTGATTTTACAAACTTTTTTCCTTAGGAATTCATATTATAAAATAATTAAACTATGAAGTTCCACAGAATTTTAATTTCTGTCAGAAGAATTAATTATTTAAAAACAATTATTTAATTAAGGGATATTTTTTTCACAAACACACATTATTCACATTTTGGGGAAGTATAGTTTAAAATTTCTGCAAGTTTCCATTGGTTTGTGGGTTGTTTTTTTTTTAAACAAATTTTAAAAAAACAACCGCAATTTATATTGAATAATATTGACACTTTGTAAATAGATTAAAAAAGCATATTCACTTCCTGATTTAAGAGCTTATCAGACAAAATGTTGTGAAAGCAATGTGAAGTAAAAATAGGGCACGTAAGATTGTACTGTAAACAAATCTGCTGTTAGGATTTTATTTCTTAGACAAATTGTAACTGCACCAATTTGGTATGTCAATATTTAATTCAGTTTTATGCCTGATTCAGTCAGGAAGTGAAGTTTGATAAGTGTAATTTAATACCTTTAAAATTTAATACAGCTTTTAACAGAAATTTGTGATTGATTTTCTCCCAAGTAGTTTGATATATGAGATATCCATTGTTGATGGGAAAAGGATTATAATTATTATGAAAGCGTAAAAACGAACTAATTTTCTCTCCAGTATAGATTCTGGTAGTACTTTACAGGATAATGTACAGACTTGCTAGACGCAATTGCTAGGAACATTCAGCCAGTTTAAAGGCTTGAGCCTATAGTCTTTATAACTTAATACAGGAGATGTCTTACAGATCTTATATACTCAAGTATGAGTCTTTGGCGCTTCACATGTCTTAAAGAATTAAAGAACAGTTATAGACAATAGTTCATACATCATTCAAGATCAATCTGTCTCAGGTCTCCATCTCTGTCATAAAGTCAAATTATAAGGTATACAACCATTCAATTTTAACTTGTGCTCTGTACTCTAGGCATGGAAGAATCAGTATCAGGTATTTTCATATAAACTGAGGAGGTCAAATTTGGCTGCCTGTTAATGACAGTTATTCTTCTGTTTTTGACAAGTCTGTCCAAACACATGTGCTAACCCCTTTCAGAATAATATCAGGAACTTTTTGTGTACATATCATGTACTTTATACTGCCATTACTTACCCTTCCTGTAATATTTGACACACCTGCGATTATAATATATGGGGCCAGGCCAGCCTGAACATAATCTGTACAGCCATTTAGCCAGGCCAGCCTGAACATAATCTGTACAGTCTAGTAGCCAGGCCAGCCTGAACACAATCTGTACAGTCTAGTAGCCAGGCCAGCCTGAACATAATCTGTACAGTCTAGTATCCAGGCCAGCCTGAACATAATATGTACAGTCTAGTAGCCAGGCCAGCCTGAACATAATAAGTACAGTCTAGTAGCCAGGCCAGCCTGAACATAATCTGTACAGTCTAGTAGCCAGGCCAGCCTGAACATAATCTGTGCAGTTCAGTATTACTTAAAACTCTTTTCCATTGTTGGCTTAATTTTAAGTATTGCAATGTTGATATCCCGTAAAATAAAAATTGACATTTCCTTATTCCAAAGCATATGGGTGAGTCCATTCTATGAATTATAAGCAAGAAGTGTGTCAAAGTTTATTATGTTAGTACAATAATTAGTTATATACAAGTGTACCGTCATCTCATTTTACTAATGTTGTTTGACCGAATCCAGGAAGTTAGAAATATACAAGGATTAAATATATTCACTTTATATATTGTTTACATCTTACCGTGAATAGATTTATACCATAAGTTTCAAGGAAATCAGTATGTCATTAGTTATTGGATGATATTATATTATATTGATATACTAAGTTATTAAACCATGGATGACTTGGACTTGTTTATGATACAAGGTATAAAATTATATTTATTTTTTCGAAAATATACAAGAATCGTGATGAAATTTTAATGTTTTGGAGATTTAATCAGTCAGCTGTTTCTACTTGATAGAAAATCATGCAATGCTTCAGGGGCCATAAAGTTTTATGAATAATAACATATTTTGGTACAAAATTACATATTTTGGTACAAAATTATATTACCAAAAACGTGAAACTTGAATTTATCTGATAATAAATAGTCTTTTCCCAAGATGATGGTTAAGATATAAATGAGCCGCGTCACGACAAAACCAACATAATGGGTTTTCGACCAGCATGGATCCAGACCAGCCTGCGCGCAGTCTGATCAGGATCCATGCTGTTCGCTTACCAACTCTATTACAAGTAGAGAAATTGATAGCGAACAGCATGGATCCTGATCAGACTGCGCGGATGTGCAGGCTGGTCTGGATCCATGCTGGTCGCAAACCCACTATGTTGGTTTTGTCGTGACATGGCTCAAATGACTCTTTCAAACATTTTAAATGAAACTTTTAAGTATGATTTTATTATAATGCTTTATGTTTTATGTTTATTGAAATTCCTTAAATATATTAAGATTGCAACAGAAATGTCTTTCATGACCTTTTTTTAAAAATTAGCTTAATGAAGAAAATGGGTTGAATTTTATTTTTTTTAACATTTTTGCATAGTTTCTTTTCACATAATTTCTGACTGAAAGCTATTGTTTATTGTCATTTGACAGTATAGGGAAGTTTTATAGTAAAAAGTGTTTGATGTTTTATATTGATCATTATTTACCATGATTAATTTTACCACATACACATGTAATATCATGTAAAATCATACAACTGCTATGAACACTGTTAATACAATAAGCATTTTGTGTGACACTGAGCAGTGCCAAACATTGATCAGGGTTGTATAGATGCTTATTGAATTATCAAACATGTAGTATATGATAGAAGATAGTGATGACAATGATGAGATGACTGAAGCAAGCAATGTTTGACTAACTTAAGTATGAGTATAATAATGTTTCTGAACGTCGCTGCGTATGTTCTATTTATAGACGTTTCTTAACGTCGCAATGTATTTAGTTCTATTATAGATGTTTCTTTACGTCGCTATGTATGTTCTATTTATAAAAGTTTCTTAACGTCGCTATGTATGTTCTATTTATAGATGTTTCTTAAAGTCGCTATGTATGTTCTATTTATAGATGTTTCTTAACGTCGCTATGTATGTTCTATTTATAGATGGCAGCTCATTTTTGTCAGAGAGAATGAAGGCCTTTGGTAGCGAGATTAATTTACAGCCATATTGCTCGTTACGAAGTCTATATGAGATGAAGCGAAATGACCTTGACAGACAGAAAAACAGACGGGTTTGTATAACTTCTTCTTGTGTAGATATATTTGATTAGTTTATCAGCTTAAACAAAACCAGTAGTTACTGTTTTGCAGTTAAAGGGACTCCTCTGAGGTTTTTTTGACATAACAGAAGTGGTGATAATTTTCCAAGAATAATGTTCCATTATAATTATGTAGTTTTTGGACTAAGAAATTGTGTGTAAAGTTTCAGATTATTAGCTCACTCCGTTTTTACAGAATAATTATTCTAATGATGATTTAAGTTCAAGTTGATATTCCAAGTGTACAGTGTAGTCTACAGGTCACCAGTAAATCCAGGTCCAGTGAAGTACACAGGTCACCAGTACATCCAGGTCCAGTGTAGTACACAGGTCACCAGTTCATCTAGGTCCAGTGTAGTACACAGGTCACCAGTACATCCAGGTCCAGTGTAGTACACAGGTCACCAGTACAGCCAGGTCCAGTGTAGTACACAGGTCACCAGTACAGCCAGGTCCAGTGTAGTACACAGGTCACCAGTACATCCAGGTCCAGTGTAGTACACAGGTCACCAGTACATCCAGGTCCAGTGTAGTACACAGGTCACTTGTACATCCAGGTCCAGTGTAGTACACAGGTTACCAGTACATCCAGGTCCAGTGTAGTACACAGGTCACCAGTACATCCAGGTCCAGTGTAGTACACAGGTCACCAGTACATCCAGGTCCAGTGTAGTACACAGGTCACCAGTACAGCCAGGTCCAGTGTAGTACACAGGTCAGGAGTACATCCAGGTCCAGTGTAGTACACAGGTCACCAGTACATCCAGGTCCAGTGTAGTACACAGGTCACCAGTACATCCAGGTCCAGTGTAGTACACAGGTCACCGGTACAGCCAGGTCCAGTGTAGTACACAGGTCACCAGTACATCCAGGTCCAGTGTAGTACACAGGTCACCGGTACAGCCAGGTCCAGTGTAGTACACAGGTCACCAGTACATTCAGGTCCAGTGTAGTCCACAGGTCACCAGTACATCCAGGTCCAGTGTAGTACACAGGTCACCAGTACATCCAGGTCCAGTGTAGTACACAGGTCACCAGTACAGTCAGGTCCAGTGTAGTATATCCAGGTCCAGTGTAGTACACAGGTCACCAGTACATCCAGGTCCAGTGTAGTACACAGGTCACCAGTACATCCAGGTCCAGTGTAGTACACAGGTCACCAGTACAGCCAGGTCCAGTGTAGTACACAGGTCACCAGTACATCCAGGTCCAGTGTAGTACACAGGTCACCGGTACAGCCAGGTCCAGTGTAGTACACAGGTCACCAGTACATTCAGGTCCAGTGTAGTCCACAGGTCACCAGTACATCCAGGTCCAGTGAAGTACACAGGTCACCAGTAAATCCAGGTCGAGTGTAGTACACAGGTCACCAGTACATCCAGGACCAGTGTAGTACACAGGTCAGGAGTACATCCAGGCCCAGTGTAGTACACAGGTCAGGAGTACATCCAGGCCCAGTGTAGTCCTTATATTTTGCTTTTAGATTTTTCGTTCATAATTTTTTATTTTCTTAAACCCTGTCTTGTACAATTATCTGATAAAACTTGAATTGTTTTATAAAAGAATCTTGCATAGTTTACTGATGATCATTATACAAAATGTACATACTGTACATAAGTATTATAGTCTGAATCAGGTCCATACTTTAATATCCTTCAATATTGTTCTGTTTTTCAAGTTTATACAATCAAAGGAAATAAGTAATTTAGAAATTATTGTTAAAATTTAATTACACATAATGACTTGTTAATTATGGTAAATCGCTTTTTATCAATGAAAATACTGGGGTCATGGTTAAATCTTCATATTTGTATATAATTATGTATATTACACACAGTTGCCATCTTATGATAAATTTATAGGAAAGTGCACTTCCTGTTACGGTGAATCAACTATTATATGAATAAATTTACTGGAGATTCTCTTGTCTTGATTCAGGGCATTTAGTCCAGAGCTAAATCATGATAATTTGGGCAATTTTTTAAGGGCGCTATTTTGGTATTTTGTATTTTAATGCTACCTATTTATAGAGTTGACTTTAGTGCATTAAGTGGTATTTTGTTTTCTGTTGTCCTTGGCAGGAGAGGGAGAATAATTGAGTCATTATCTACAAATAGGTGGTAAATTTAACCATCATTATCTGACAGTGTCATTCCCCACCCACTTGATTATCATCGTGAATAAATACTTTAGAATGCATCTGGTTGTTACAGTGAAAACTAACATAATATGGCCCTAGTATATTTTTTGCAGTTAATTTGTTCTTTGACCCTGATTTTGTAAAATGGAATACATGTAGTTGTACTTTTGCTTTTTGTTTAATTTTAATTTCAACAAATTATGAAGGACTTAACCAGATTGCACAAAATATTGTTACTATGGAGCAGAATGATAAAAGCAATGAAGATAGAGTGTATCATTTTATGTGTTAAAATATGTATTTTTTTGTTATTGTTAGATGTCAACTCCACACCCCATCAAGTCACGCCTTCAGAGGGCTCCACAAAAATTGCATAAACAGCAGCCACTTGTGCGATCCAGCAGTATGCCAGAAAGTCTCGAAAAAATCCACAAACGTAGAAAAATGCATCATCTTCTAGGTAAGAGCAAAAGTCATATGGTGAAGTTTCAAAATTTCACATCAACAAATCGGACCTATCTGTAAAACATACATGTGAACTTTTTTTGACGATCAAGTGGGAGATTTTTCTTCAAAAAGAGGGAGATTTTAGAATTTACATTAAACAAAGAAGGAAATTCTGACATTAAAAATAGGGAGATTTCTTAAATTTGTGAAAATACCCCTTATTTTAAGATAAATCTTTAAAAAATATAGCTGCAGAAAGTGGGAGTCTCCCGCTAAAAGTGGGAGAGTTCACATGTATGGTAAAAGACCACTTACAGTTAAAGCTGGTCTTTGTTTCTGGGTGGTTTTTAGAGATATTAGTTATTGTATTATAGGTAAAAAAAAATCAGAACATTTTAATTAAATATTATATTTTGATTTCATTATTGTTTTAGGTATAACAAAATTATACTTCAATAAAATAAGTAATTTTATAACCTGAATGTTGATGAAAACTGGTTAAGAGATAAATATATTAGACAGCAAAATATCACTGAAAAAAAAAAGGATAAATGTCACTGACAGCCTAAAATAACCAAAAGCTAAAAATATCTGGCTTCTTTCATTATGAACATAAATATCCCGGGCTAATATCAATTAAAGAAGAATGCAGGGTGACCTGTCTGGTTTAAAGGACATCAATCTATTACTGTAATAATAGTCAGCTATTTTGTACAATTAGCAAATAAACAAGTCATACATAATCCTATTATTTCTACTATAATGCCTCCTCCGAGATTTCTCATACCTTTGTCAAGTGGATAATCCTTAACAAGGGTCGGATTAGGATTATTGCCATTGTTATCCACTTTAGTGGATTATGCAAATATTTTTGTATCACACTCTTGGTTAAAGGAATAAGGTAGCCAGTGTTAAATAGATTAGGAAAATTAAATTAGGCCAAAATAAAAAAAGTATTTTTTTATCTTCACTGTCCTATTGTTGAAAGAATTTTTTATGATTCATATGAATAAATATAGTGTAGTTGAATAATTAGTGTATTAATTATACTTTAACACAAACACAAAACAGCCATTTAGAGAATTATAACATGCTTTTTTGATAGACTAAATACATGTTCTACTCTAGGAATAGAACATAAACTTTCATATGTTTTGATAGGTTTTTGAAATATATTTGTGGGCTTTAGCTATAAAGAATATTTCTCTTATTATTTAAAAACAAGGCCCATGCTTTATATCATAGTAGCCTTAACATAGCCCTTTAAAAGGCATCTTAACAAATTATAAGGCGGTGTCTACACCTATTCAAGTTTCTTACATGTCACATTTAGATAAGCTAAATAAATGGCCCTTTCAACATTTTTTCAGGCACAATTTTTACTGAAATGTCTCATTAAGATAGCCCAGGATTTATACCTTTGTCTTTGCAAGACTATCATGTTTCTGTAAAATATGTGAAAAAAGCGGGAAAATGATGCAATTAGCTAAAACAGAATGGAGTAAAATTGAAAAACTGTGACAAAAATTTATTTTGATGCAAATTCTTTATTCGATGAAAGTTATTCACTAAATGAACGATCATTTTAAATCCATTTTGACTCTACTTAAAAAAGAGCTCTTTTTCATTTTTTTACGATGTATTTATTTTTATTTATTTTATTTTTTTTGCTCTTCTGTGTATCAGCGTATTGATTTGTTCCTTTGACCAAGACATTGTAATCATTTACTGAAATTCAAAGGACATGTACACTGAATCAACAACAAAAAGTCAGAAAATAATAAAAATAACAGCACTATCAAACCTTCGGGCACATGTTTTGTGTCAAACCGGTGTTATCAGTGTCTTGACAGCCAAAAACTTGTAGAAAAATAGAACGTGTTCTAACTTTCTTGCAAGAAATTATCTTCATGGATGTCACATAATTTCTCGTTAAAAACCATTCAAGTAGGGTGTCTACACTATCCAATTCAAGAGAATATGATACTTGCATTCAAGACTTGGATAGGTGTAGACGGGCACTAATAAAGAAAAATCAGTGCCTTAGTTACATTAAATGCTTTAATCAAAATTACAAAATAGCCCGTTATTGCACTAAGGTCACTTATTATTTAATTAATGTTATAAATTATTATAGATCAGTTGTAAGGTGGGACCTGAAAAACACTAGAAAAGTTTCTTCGGCCTTAGTTTTAAGAAAACATTATCAACAGATAGATAAAATGAGATTTTCATTATAATTGTGTGGTGATATAATATGATTTGTGTATAAAATTACAAATTACATTTCAAAATGTAAGATATAAGTGCTTGTTTTTATTCTGGCAGGTCCTCAGATTTCAAGATCTGCACAAATTAAGTTTGAATATTTTTTGATAATAAAAGTGAATTAATGTTTTGACAACTGTGTATTTAATGTGGATCTGTGAAAGGATTTAGTAAACAGTGTTGATGTTTAAATGGTCGTAAATTTTACTTTTTTGTAGGAATTTTTTAATTTTGTAGGAATTTATTAATTTATTCTGATGGAAAACAGTTTTTTTATTTTGGGTGTTAGAGAATAAAAGTGAAATTAGTTGTGTATAAAATGGCATTGGTTATCTAAGAATATTTTTCCCCTATATCAAATTTTTGTCGGAATATTATGTTGAATTTTGGAATAGAATAATTAATAAGTGGTAAGTGATATATTGACTGGAATATGAAATGTGACATGAAATTTCCAAGATATGAAAATACTATATGATCTTGTTGATAAATTTGAATTGAGATTTTTTCTTGTTAAGTGGAAGCGAATTTGTTAGTGCATTGAAGGAATATTTTACAGATATTTTAGAACTTTTAAGTGGTTATTAAGTAAATGAATTTGTACTTATTTTTAATTTTGAACAAAGGACCATTTTTAATTTGAATGAAGGACCATTATGATGTCTGCGTGTTTAAATCAACAAAATTAGAAGGGTATAAATACAATACAGTCAGAGTTTATGTACACCTTCAATGTATCGAGAAATGGATACTGGTTACACTGGTGCTTAAGGGAGCGCTGGTGCTAGGGGGGTGTGAGGGACATTGCCCTTATACATTATCTCTTGTGAACAGACTTAAACTGACTATTTCCCGAAATATCAAATGTTTTTCCCAAGTCATGCTGGGGACCTTTTCCCAAAATAGCTGAAAAAGACCCTGTTAATACATGTATTATAGACATACCAAATTTAAGTTTAATATTCATGTCATAACATTTTAAAAAAAGATTTGAAGGTATACCAAACTATTACAGTTTTTATGATATTATCTAATCAGTGCAAATTTCAACTTCATGTCACTAATATAAACATTGTTATCAACAGTTTTTAACTACTTATCTAAACATATTGATGTATAAAACTATATAAATATATCCCTACAGAAAACAATAAAGTTCAAGCTGATAAAAGGTATACTTTAGCAAATTAAGGTATGCTTCATAGTACATACAAGTCTTAACCTTAAACCTTTTGATTTTGTTTTGGCTTACTAGTATTTGTTTTTAAATTATAAAAAGAGGCTATTACAAATTGGGCATTGGCATATATCAGTTCCTGGTGATTGGGTGAAAATGCCCTGTAACCCAAACCATTGTGTTTGATATATCGCATAAAAATTGACCAGAATGTTATGTTTCGTATATATGAAGATAAACAAACATTTGTTTGTTATGGCCCGAATATTTGGTCTTATATTAAAACACCTACAATTGAAAATGGGCTGTCCCAATTTTATAAACAGGGCAAGTCCATTATGGTGATATAGCAATTGGTACTAAGGTGTTAAAAAAACAACATTAATTATGTGATCTGAGTTCATACAGAACTTCATTTTTCACAGTATGGGAAACATGACCTGCGTTTCATCCATCAAGTGATGATAATCTAACTGAAATGAAGATAGTTGCTTTATATCATCCTGGGAATCGATTCAATTTCACTGTTATCTTGCACTCAATCCTTGATTAAATTTGTACCCAGTTTTTTTTGCATCAGATGCCAGTTATAGCAGAAATAATCAAGTTTTAGAAATGATAAACACTATGTTTGTTTTTCTCTGCTGATTTGCTGAAAAACGATTAAGATAAAGTTTTCAATTCTCCATGTTTTTTAAAAATTTGTGTTTATAAATTTTTAGTTTTTCCGTATTTCAAAAAATTGTTTTGAATTTTCTTATGAAATTTCTTTTTATAAAAATATTTTTGTAATTCCGACATTCAGTTTAATGTTTAAAGTAAGATAAGCTGAAAATCGCAACCAAAATGAAGATATTTCATATACAGTGTTTGATATAGACTATATCTCACTGATTGGAGTATGTAATTTATATTATATAGAATTTTACATTACACAATATAGGACTAAAATAAATGTATCAAGATGTCATATGGGAAACTGTAGGGTATATTTACGATAGAGTATTGGGTTTTATAGACATAAGTGCCAGTAAAATCTTACCAAAGACATACAAAAATCATGTTCCAGAGAAATTAGGTAACTCTTTGTTATTGCAGTAAGCATACAAACTTGCTGAACAATTGGTCTTTGAAATAATTCTGTTTAAAAGAACAAGTACATAGATTTCTACCATCAAGCTATGTTTGAAAATGTAATAAATTGTTGTTTAACAGTAGCATTACTGGTAACTTTTTCTTTTATTTTCAGATTTCCATTTAGACACCCTATCTCGCCACATAGACATTGACACCCTCTCAGACGAGTCTGACCTCTCGTTTGACCAGGCTAGCTTACAGGAGAGAAGTATCAGTGTCCAGTCATCTAGTAGTCAACTTACTGCCATGGATGAGGTACACAGTTCTGTTATAATTGACCAATTTTTGTTTGACCAATCAGTGATTACTTTATTTTACTTAAAAAAACAACATAAAGAACTAAACTCAAGAAAACAAAGCAACATTAGCATTTATTCCAAGAAAACAAACAAAATAATCAATAAAGACAAGGAAAAAAACAAGCACTAAACCTAAGAAAACAAAACATTAGCATTAAATCTAAGAAAACAAACAACATGAGCACTAAACTCAAGAAAACAAAACAACATAAGCACTAAACTCAAGAAAACAAAACAACATTAGAAACTAAGAAAACAAACAACATAAGCACTAAACTCAAGAAAACAAAACAACATAAGCACTAAACTCAAGAAAACAAAACAACATTTAACCGAAGAAAACAAACAAAAAAAACAAACAGCAGAAGCACTAAACCCAAGACAACAAAAAACCAGGCAACATAAGCACTAAACCCAAGAAAACAAACAGCATAAGCACTAAACCCAAGAAAACAAACAGCATAAGCATTTAACCCAAGAAAACAAAAAACAACATATGCACTGAACTAAATAAACTGCATATTCTGACATGATGTTTAGGAACAAGTTTGAACAGTTTTTTGATGAAAGCTAGATACTATATTGTCTGTAAGAATCTTCACAGTATGAAGTTTTAGGGCAAATCAATTAATGTAAGCAGTTTGAATGGCACTAATTACTGCATAGTGATTGCCAGTTTCAATTATCTGGTATGGCAGGGATATTTAGTTCAAGGCAAAATTTTCTTTGAAATATTTTATCATTATTTGTCTGTTCTCAATGCAGCCTGATTAATAATTGAATTATTTCATGAAAGTAGTAATAGTATATACTTAGGGTACAGAAATGCAGTATAGAGTGGGTTGGAGGGGGATTAATTTGGTTTATATAGTGATGGTTATTTGGCAGTATTACTATAGTGTAATGGGAACCATGTAGAAAAGAGAAGTTTATTTCTAAACAAATGATTCACTGACGTGAGCCCCCAAGCCTAATTCACCCGTGGGCACCGAGTGAAATAAAACTTTTGGGGACAAGGACAAAAAAGGACGTAAAGGAGGTATGAATGAAACGAGTCTAATGATAATACAACGGCGCCAATTACGGGAATTAAATTGGACCAGAAGAAGGGAAAATGGGAGGGGGCCAGTTCGGCCGGCATATCTGTGTTGTCTCACCAGGCTGTATACCGAAGGCTGCACTATTTTACCATTTTGATATCAAATTTCCCTCCCATCAATATTGAACAGTTCTAAATTCAAAGCGGGACTAGTCCATTATACAAATATAGGATGGTGAGGTGTAATATACAAAATGTAATTGGGAAAAGTTTCATCATCATATTGTAACCTGTATTGCCTAATTTCCTTATATGGAAAGATACTATTGTTATCATGATTAAATATCACAAATACAGCTTTTTAACACTTTATGAGAGTTGAGACAATACCGCTTTAACTCTATGATTACATAGCGTAAGATACAAGTATGCTGGTCTGAAAGATGCATTATCAGCTTTTGTTAATCGCCAAGCAAAACATTGACGCAAATTTATCAAGTGTTCTGTTTATAGATTACTATATTTTACTTACTATGAACTTGGCATGCATGTAAAGAGTTATATAGTAGAATGATTGAAATATTTCCTGACCCGCTGCCCTGTTAACATACTAATGACAAGACCACTTGAGTCGCCGAAATTGTAACGCAGGAAATAGCATAACTGATTTTCAAAACAATATTTCTTTGTTTTACGTTATATAAACTCGAGGTTTCTTATTGCGGTAGCGTGTACTTGTCAAAGTTATTCTTTTAATGTTTAGAAATTAGAAAATGTGTTCGAGTGGTGTACTTTAAACAAGACAAAAATGGTTATGTTTTAGCTATTAAAAGAACATTGTATAAAAAGTTTATGGCAGATATGTTGTAACTATTTATCTTACAAACGCTGGGTTACAACACAATTGTATCGAAACCTCAATTTGCTCTTCTTTGTTGAAGGTAGAAATATTCACTGACGGTGCTTCTCCTTAAGTCAGTGGTTTGTCTTATAAAGGTGCAATCCAGATGTGATTCAAAGTAGAAAGTAGTCCCTTTTTCTGTGGTTTGGGGTTGGAATATTATAAATATATATAAAGGAAGTCCCACTTTAGTCTATAATATAATTTAACACTATGCGCATCACTAGAAGGCTTCATTTGATTTTGGTAGGGGATTATTAAGTCATTGTTATGGATGACAAAATATCTGGTATTGATTTACAGAGTAAAAATATATGTGATAAGACATGAAAAAGTTCAATCAGTTAAAGCAAATTGGAATTGTATGCAAATTGAAGTTCAGTACAGTAAGGGTTTGTAGATTTCAGTATTTGTGTACTTTCAAGTATGCACATGTATGGTAGATATTAGAGGAAATGAAAATTTAAAATGGTAAAATTTTGTTGAATTGCAAAGGGTTGGGTTTTTTAGGATGTTTTTTGTAAAGTTTTTAACAGATAAATTGTTCGTGTTGAATGGAAAAATGTGCATTTTTACCTAGTAACAATTATATTTGTGTATTCCAGGACGAGGATAACTTGACGTATGCTGAGGCATTATGGGATCATATTACGATGGACCCCGAGGAGCTGGGCTTCCGGGCGCAAGACGTAATAGAAGTTCTCGACATGGCAGACAAAGACTGGTGGTTTGGTGTCATAGATGACAGAGAGGGTTGGTTCCCTGCAACCTTTGTCAGGGTGAGTAAAGTTCAGTACAACTCTTGTGGGTTCAATTCCTAGGTTGGGCATTGAAGTTTTTATGTTACTTTAAAATACCAATTTTCATAGACTTCACCTTTTTTTTCAATTGTAAAGATGTCTAATAAAAAATTCATTATCCCTCACTTTTCTATTAGAATTATTTAAAAAAAAATTTAATGATGAGATTTCATTATGAAACTGTCTTAAATTGAAAATCTGCACAACGTCAATAATCTGAGATAGGTATTTAGACATCTCAAATACATATGTATTATTTCTGATGTCTGATGTAACGGAATTTGAATTAACTTTTCCAGCATTACAGTAAACAGCTCTCAAGCAAAGAAAAATAAATGTCTATTCCATATCTTGAAAAAGCATGATGAAAGGGAGACAACCCCATTACTTAGAAATTGTGCAGACGCAGTATTTAAGATTATTTTTTTTTTCTCAGAAAATATTTCCTCCTGCATTTGATTACAACTGTAATTTATTGCCTTTGTGGAAGCTATAATTCAAAGATAATTGAAGATTTGTCTTTATGCGCTCACTGAAATTACTTGGTAATGATAAAATTTATTTTGGATGCAGCATTTGGAATAATGGTGTCCGTCTGCTAAATTTCTATTTATAGAATACAGACAGATTTATTTTATCAATTAAGACATGCTGCTGCCATCTAATATCATGTGATGTGGAGATTTATGTAAATTGTCTGAAATTTAATGATAGAGCATTAAAAAAATTAATTGATTTGTTGAAGTTTAAATTAAAATTTTATGTCTTATTCTCTATTGTTAGATGAAATTTTCACTATGTAAATGATTATTTATGATACACCTATAAAGAGTTAGTGTTATATAATTAAGATGACTTAACAAAATAAGTGATCATTATTTTAGATCTTTTGTATTTATTCATTTGTATTTATTCATTATATTGTGGCTTCGCTGTTTGTTTCTTTACTCTTACTTTATGCCTTTTGAACCTTACAGTAATTGTTGTGGGTTCAAACCCTGCTAGGGCATTAAATAATGTGACTTCTAGCATGGTTTCCTAAAAATCATTAAGTAACTATTGGGGTCAGATTCCATCAGAAAAAAAAAAGCAAAAAAAAACAAACCTATAAACTAAGATGTGACTCAAATTGCAAATGAAATACAAAATGTGTATAGAAATATATATAGAAAACTAAAAAAGTGATAAGCAGTCTTATTTATTTTTAATAAAATATAGAGAACCAGCCTAGGTTATGATTCAAGTTTATGACAAGCACAAATTTATGTATTTCAGATTAGGGTAAATCAGGACGAACTAGACGATGACCTTGACCTCGATACAACCATACAAGATAACTTGACGACCAGTCCGAAGTTACGACGTATCAGTATGTTCAACAAGAACCAGGCCAGAAGTAACGTCGTCAATGAGATTATAAATGCAGAAAAAGAATATGTTAAACACCTGAAAGATGTCGTTGAGGTAAATAATTAGCAAAATAATAAGCATATCTCTTTAGGATCTTTAATCTGTCACATTACTGCAGTAATGGGGTAACTCCTATTGAATTAACTGAGGAATTAACTTGTTACAGCACAAAGGGGACAGTTATTACAATATTGAGAGGCCACTATGGCCAAATTTATCATGATTGTTGGTGTTGTATCACATGCTCCACCCCACTAAAGGTTCAAATCCGGCCAGAGACTTTTCATATTTTTCATTTATGGGAGCATGCTCAGCTAAATTACTGAAGGTCAATGGATTTACGCAGTTGCTCCGCTAGTGTCTTGACTGATGCATGAAGGGAAATCTTCCGTCACAAGTAAAATTTAATGCATAGTGTTGCTAAGAAAAAGAATAAGATTCTTTTTTTCTAGAAATAGGCGTTTCATTCAAGAAAAAAAAATTCAAAGTGCACCTTACTAAAATAACTTTGTTATGCATAGTGTTGCTCATAAAATCTTGAATCTTATTCATTTTTTCTAGAAATAAGACAACAACAAAAAAAGAGAAACGAAGATCAATATGTTCCATTCTTGTTAACAGAGTTCTTTGTCTTTTACCAAGAGAATTTTTTTTAGAGAAATTCAAATATCTTCCAAAGAAAACAAAGACATGAGATATTTAGATTTTATAACTTGGCACCATTCTAAAAGTGGAATATTTACACCCACTTATTATGAAGCAATAAATTCACAACATATTCTGTATTCAATGCTTGGGGTATAAAAATAAAGACCTCTTAAAAGATTCTTATTAATACCGAATGTTTTTTTTTTTTAGTTAATTCATCTTATCAAATGGTAAATAACATTTAATTTTCTTGTATGCTTGCCAAAATGTAGCACATATTTATTTATATGAAATAATGTGTATCTAAAACACTTGTTTGCGGCTTTGATATCTAGGTGCCATGAATTTTGCAAATTAACTTTATGACTACGACTGAGCGTATTTTGTTGTTTAACTACAGGGTTATATTCAACATGCCAGAAAGAGAACAGAAATGTTCCCGGAGGAAAGAATTGCACTGATTTTTGGCAACTTAGAAAAGATATACAGTTTTGCTCAGAAGTTTGTCTCCCAGTTAGAGATGTGCATAGATGTTTGTCCACATTTAAGTGAGATAGGTCAATGCTTTCTAGATAATGTAAGTCAGTTTAGTTATTATAAAACCTTTTTTTAAATTGTTAAACTTTTAACATACGGACATGTAATACAGTATGACATCTGTACAACAACACCCTGGAAGACTGAGATTTTGGTGGAAAGTCAGTGAACAAATATTTAAATGAAAGCGTTTACCAACTAAGATTATGGGCAAGGGATCACACTGCCAAATTGTTAAAATTGCTGATTTGAATTTCTTACCTATCACTGCTGTGTGTTTGAAACCTACCATAGATGGCAGTCTTTCCATTCTTACATTTTGTGAAGGCTACAACTTACCGTAACTAGTATTCCGACTCATGTCTGAAATGTTGTAAGTAAGGGCACTGAGGTATTCACCTCCTTCAGCAAAGCTGGGAAAATTCAGCATATACCCTTTGCAGTGTTGTTGTGATTTGAAGTTCAGCAATTAAGAATGAAGGCCATATTATTATAAATAATCTTTTAAATATTGATAGTGCCTTCTTTAGTTGAAGTGAACTGTTGGATAAATGTGCCATTGATTGAAATGATTAGAAGTTTGTGAGAATAACAGATTAAAGAAGTAGATTTAATGTAAGAGTGTTATACGTGACTTGACAAATGTTTTACACGATGGTATTTACGTGATATTTCAGGAACGAGGGTTTGAGATCTACTCTGATTACTGCAACAATCATCCGTCCGCTTGTGAAGAACTTGACGAACTCTGTAAAGATTCCAAATATAAACATTTTTTCGAGGTAAGTTTTCTGAAAATTTCACGTCCTGCACTTGTCTGACAAGCTTCTGCATGCCAGTGAAGAAAAACAAGACTGTGATTGATTAGTTTGTAAATCAAGATCAACCTGAGTGCAGTATTTTGTTTATCTTTGTGGTATTTTCTCTTTCTTTGCTGTGTTTTTTAGTGTATTTTCCTATGAAAATTCTTGAACTGTTTGAAGAACTTAGATATTTAGATGGTGAAGAATGCATATATATAGATAAACTTATCTAAGAGAATGACAAACTAAAAGTCGGTTATTGAAGGAATTTCAAAAACATGGTCTTTGAGAAGTTATCTTTGTTCAAGTGGATGCTGACTGAATCCTTATTTAAAGCTGTAATATATGAGATATAATCCAATGAAGTTTCAATATATTTGATCTGTTTTTAAGTCAACTATTTATCTCCCGTTAATGTCAAACACATTGCAGGGACATAGACATGTCTGCGCGTCAGAATCGCAAGAAAGTAATCTGTAACTGTATCTATTGGCTGTTTAAGTCAAGAGTATGATTTTGAAATAATTGACTCTTGTGAAACAATATTGCAAAAAAATATTTGATTGATATTTAACCCTTAACATACTGAATATCTTGTATGGACTTGTCCATCTTTTAATGTGGACAAAACCATTCATCATTCTTAGGGAAATTTTCATCTAAGTATAATCAGTACAGAAAATGATTGGATCGCAAAAATAGAAACATTTTTTGCTTTCAGACTAACAATTTAAATCCTCGAGTCAATATGTAGATTCAAACAACTACATTATAACTTGTTGATAAGCTAATATGCTACCAAAAGAAACCATACTACACAAACATCATTACCATGTACTGGCCTCATTCAAATATATCTTAGACTTGTAGTATGAAATATTTCACAATTTTAAAATTCTGTATATACATGTACGTTTTATTCTAGGCTTGTCGACTGTTACAAGAGCTCGTAGAGATTCCACTAGAAGGTTTCCTACTTACTCCAGTACAGAAGATTTGTAAATACCCATTACAACTAGCCGAACTTCTTAAGTACACTCCACCAGATCACGCCGATTATCAGATGGTTAAAGATGCCCTGGCGGCCATGAGAAAGATTGCCACGTTAATCAATGAACGAAAGAGAAAAATGGAGAGTATAGAGAAAATTGCAGTCTGGCAGCATTCGGTGGTCGACTGGGAGGTAACTGTCCTTTTAAAATCATTTTCAAAGGGAGATAACTCTTACATTTGTTGGCAACTAAATGGTAAACACCGTAAATTGGCAGTTCTTATTTTGTTTCCTGACTGACTGATGTTACAGGTGTCTGTACTCCACAAACTTTGCTCTTTCTTGTTGATCATGTGATATTGATTTGTTACGTTGTCAATGATATTTTTAGAGAGGAAAATTTCGAATTATATCATTAATGAAGGGCTGCAAATCATGTTTCATTTTCATTGAAATTTAACCATTATCTATATCTTTATGTTAAATATGTAATATATAAAATGCCATGTTGTGAGACAGTTATATTATTAGTTATAAAAATATTTGACAGGTTATATGGGCCAATATAAACAGTTGATTGCATATATAACCTGAACCGCTGGCAAACTTCCTTTATTTGAGAAAAAATGAAATTCCTTCATAAATTGACAGCAGCGATATAAACAGATTATATAAACTTCACGATTATCCAATGAAAAGTGATGTTACAAACTTGCAGTATTATCTGTGTTTTCAGGCTCTATGTTAAAATTCTACATGCATATGATTTGGCAAATTATGCTAGATCCAATGCATATTAAATTCAAATTCTATTATTTTTAGAGTGATAAAAGGTATCGAAATGCCAATAATAGACATAAACTTTTGTTAAATGGTTATGAAATTCTTTTCTATAGTGATGAACAATTCTTTGCTGCATTTTAAAAATCACATAGGTAAATATTTATATATTTTTTTTGTAAATTGTAGGGACCAGACTTGTTAGAGGGTAGTTCTGAGTTGATATTTTCCGGAGAACTTAATAAGATCAACACTGCAGGCTGGTCACAAGAACGATTTTTCTTCCTATTTGACCATCAAGTTGTCTACTGTAAAAAGGTAAGTTAAATGCAATTAAAACTGCATGCTTCTTGACAAATGATTAACTTTACAGGTTTTATACAAAACATTAAAAAAAAATTTACTGTCTTCATCAACAAATTGCTTATCTTTACCTTGGAATTGTCCTTTAAATTTAATCTTAAATACGTACTTTGGCTTTGACTATATTGACATATTTATATTTATGCAGTATTGAGAGAAAAAATCTTGTTTTCCTTTGAGAAGCACTGAGAAATGAAGAATTGATAAGTTTCAATGTATTTAATTGAAGGGAAACAACTCAAAAATTAATTTCGATACTGTTTTAAGAAAGTTTTAAGCTGATTCTTGATTTGAATTCTGATCTCTTTTTACCGCAGATATTCTGTACAGATACTTGAGAATATGATGATGGTACCATAAACATGTCCAAAACTGACCTTTAAAAATTATTTCAGAACTTTTTGTTTTTGGTTACATGGATTTAAATTTTCATGTTATGAATTTTTCAGGAATTGCTCAAGCGTCATGTATTTAGTTATAAAGGAAGAATAGATCTAGATCACTGTGATATTATAGATATACCAGATGGGAAAGGTATGTACTTTTATAATTTTATCTTAATGTGTATAAAGCTATATATTTGCTGAAAAAATTGTTGTTTAAACTTTCAAAAATACAACTTTCAAAATGCTTGTATGAGATTGATCTAAATTGCCATAAAAAACAAATCATGCATACATGAAACCATTGCTAAACAGATTAAACCCTTCATACAATAGCAGAATAATATTTTGTTCCGGAACTTTTTATTAAATTTACTTTCAATATTCATGTGTATGAAATAACAGAGACATTCAATGTTACAATTCTTTCCAATCAACAATAAGATTATGGAACCAATATAATTTTACTGATGATAAAGTATATAAAAATAACTAAGTTATAGCTTTATACTCTTGAAGGTTATATCTCACAGTAAAACTTATCCCTTTTAGTCCTTTATAATTTTGTTTTGCAAACATAAGTATTTTTAACTACAGCCATTTATGAATAGATGGGAGACATTTTTATGAATTTACAATTCCTGTATGAAAAAAAAAACAAACTCATAACATCCTTCAAATTTGCCCCTAGAAAGCCTGGGCTCAAATTCTACAACATTTATTGCAGTGAGTGGGGGCATTTTGATTGTGATAAGGTAGATGTTGTTTTTTTGTTACATTTTCACTACTAACTGGATAGCTTTATGTTTATTTCTTGTAAACATTTGCTTACAGATAGTCAATATAACGTGACGGTGAAACATGCATGGAAGTTTCACGAGACTCTAAAAGATAAATGGTACCTCATTTACGCAAAATCCGAGGCGGTAAAACAGTCGTGGCTGAAGGCAATCAGAGACGAGAGACAAAGGGTGCTCCAGGACCAAGAAAATGGTACAGTTTTTAGTTACTTTAATTTTTCTTACTTACTTTTGTCCTGATTTTATTTCTATGATTTTAGAAAAACCTGCCAAACAATTATAATGATATACATATAGAGGAACTATTCACAGTTTCAAATTCAAATTTCAAACCCGGATAACCCGGATAACTTATTTACATAAGGTCAGCAGGTAAAGAGATAAAATATGTGAGCAGCTAGTGTGAATTTTGTAACACATTCCAATCATTATAAAAGAATTTCTATAACATGATAAAATACCACATTTAATTATTAATGAATTTAAGTACATGTGCTTGAGTTTTACAGACAGATTTGTCTAGCAATATGTTTTTATGAAGTGATAACAAAACATTATATTTTGATTAAACAGTAAAGTACATGTTTTTTATCTTACATTACAGATTTTTGTGTACCAGACCATTGGAAACAGACTGTATTAAACAAAGTTCGCTCTCAGTCACATTTGAAAGGTTTGTTTTAACAGTTTGATTACTTGTTCAGCTTTTTTCTGAATTTTTGTGTCATGTCCTAATATATATATAATCTAAGTTGAAGGACTTTGATAGTTTTTCCTGTAATTTAAAAACCCGTAAGAATTTTAGTTTTCTACAAATAATTTCCAAAGAAACACAGATATTAGATTGTTTAGTAAATATGAACTACTTTGTTTAGTAAATATGAACAACTTTGTTATGTAAATATGAACTACTTTGTTATGTAAATATGAACTACTATGTTTAGTTAATATGAACTACTTTGTTATGTGAATATGAACTACTATTTTTAGTTAATATGAACTACTTTGTTTTGTTAATATGAACTACTATATTAAGTTAATATGAACTACTTTGTTATGTAAATATGAACTACATGTACTATGTTAAGTAAATATGAACTACTTTGTTATGTAAATATGAACTACTATGTTTAGTTAATATGAACTACTTTGTGATGTTAATATGAACTACTTTGTTATGTTAATATGAACTACTTTGTTTATTAAATATGAACTACTTGTTTTACAGATAAACAATCAGGGGGCCGTATGTCACATGGACAGTTATTGATGCAAAAAGATTTGAAAGACTTTACGTATTCTACTCTACCACGTCATAGAACCTCACAAAAACATGATAAAAAGAAAGGATGGTTTAAATTTGGAGGAGGGAAAAAATCTAAAAGATGAAATATTTAATTCTCCTAGATACTAATACTCTTCTCAAAATATTGCATACGGTTAAAAATGAGGCAATAAGTATTTTGCCTACTAAAGGAGGAAAGAAATTTTGTGACAGAAATTTGAACACCATCAGTAAGACAGGAATTTGTGCACCAGCTGTAGGACAGAAATTTGAGCACCAACTGTAAGACAGGAATTTGTGCACCAGCTGTAGGACAGAAATTTGTGCACCAACTGTAAGACAGAAATTTGTGCACCAGCTGTAAGGCAGAAATTTGTGCACCAGCTATAGGCACCAGAAAGTGTTCTATTTGTTTCATGTCTTCGGAAAGATCTTTTGTGATTAAAACTACCATTATCACTGGTGAGGACGGGTTTTATATGTAAAGCTACATCTATGGTTTAACCGTTTTAATAAGGGAAAACTATCACGGAATGATGAAATATAGTTGAAAACTGAGTGTAATGTTACTTGATATTACCTGGACAGAAAATAATGTGTTAAATTTAATGAACTTACTTTGCTCTACAAACACTTCTATGGAATAGAATAATTTTGTCTTAAAAGACATTTATTGGATTTGTGCAATAAGATGTACCCTGCATGGTTTTTACATGTGTAACATGAAAAATACGTGCTTGTGTTTTAAATATGATAACTGCATAATTGATAATAAAATAACATTGACAGTATTTTATGATATAATTCATGTTATAATTTGACAGTTTTTTTTTAAAAATATTTGTATTGCTTTTATTATTCATAGAAAAATGAATCTTTTTTATTATAATGTACATGTGTAATGTACATGTACATGTAAAATGTGTATTGAAGTGAAATGATGTACTAAATTTAATTGGATTCTAGTTCTTATCTTTTCTTTCAGACATGATTTCTATGTTATTCAAAAGTGACATCAATTAATTGTGATGTCATTTAAATGGTTCAACAATTAATGGCCTAATATTAGTAGATTCAGAATTATGAACTATGATAATTATCACCATCATTATATTTAAATTTGACCAAACAATTGTTTATTTTTAATCAATATCATAAATGTCAATGGCTTGAACTATTCTTTTGCTTATGTATTGAATACATAATTCAAAATTTGTTTAAAATGCCTTAACTGAATATGACGGGTTTTGCATTTTTTTAAATTTTTGTTTTTGTTTTTTTCTGACATTTTTATATTTCATAAAATTTTTACATATAGATAGAATGGCCTAAAATGATAAATCAATGTTTAATATAGATAGGTAAACTGGTAAACATATACAGGTCAATACTTATATACACTGCCAAACCTGTTCCACAATTCATGATATTTGCTATTTTATAATCACTATCAGCATAAATATATATTTTTGTTTTGTATTTAGATATAGAATAAACTGCTGTACAACTGCTTATGATGATATATAGATCTTAAAGTGTGATAACTTAGTTATTGACTTAGGTTTATTTCATAATACATTAAGACCTGTCTTCAAAGACCATTTATTGGACTATCTTTGGTGACAGGTGACTTCTAAACACAGGTTTAATACATTGCTGATATTGATAAAATCATAATGGAAAAAAACAAAATATGGTCTATAAAAGGTCTCTGATTAAAGGTGGCCTTTCAATGCAAGTTTTACTGTATATCCATTGAGAAACATGTTTCTAACGCAGTGAGTAAGCTGCAGTCATTATGCAAAGCATATAAGGTGCTTAATTATTTTTTTTGTCATGGTAAATTCCTGACTTTTTTATGTCGTATTATGATATATATATATATATAATGTAACATTATAATATATACATGTATATATATATATAGTTAGTTTTTATGTGAATGCTTATTTATTATTTCTTTAAATTTTGAAATGTGTAACTTGTTTGTATATGCCATGGAATTACTTCTCAATCTGTGACTGGAACATGCTGATGTTTTTTTATTTGTTGTTTTTTTTCTTTATGTAATGATTGAGTAATATCTGTAACTTATTCTTTATTCTGTTATAAGAGAAGATGCTATAAAAAGTCAAATCCAAACTCAAAAAAAATAAACGAAAAAAATATATACAAGTCATCTGTGTTTTGTTGTTATTTTAATGTCTAACCTTTGAAATGGATGTGTTGTTATTAATAGGAAATATTGTGTAGAACCACAAAAAACTGTAAATAGATAGTTACTGAATTTACATTATTTAGCTCCCTTGAAACAATGGGCAGCCATTGTCGGTCCATTATTGCAAGATACTTCAATTAGTTATCTATAAATGAATAAATACATAAAATGATCATTTAAGTTAATTGTCGAATTCTTTCATATTTGTGAATACGAGGTAAAGCACCAGAATCAAACTTTTTTATCGACTTATTCATAGATGATTGACTCACAAGGGAGGTAATGCATGTTACGTGAAAACTTAATATCTTGTGTGGGTTTTAGCAAAAATGCTTCTCTCATTTAACACACGTATTAATATTTTTAAATTCAGCAGCTATTGCTAGTAGGTAAAAGCGTTTGCTTTTGCTATATTCTTAACATTTGTATGTGATTTTACAAGTAATTGAGGCAATAAAATAAGTTTAAACAAACCATTTAAATATCCAATCTTCAACCAACTGGACTTCATTTGAAATAGAAGTCATCATGGCGACCGATAAGTTAACGCATCTAAAACTTTTATTTTCTTCATATTCGGTATACCTTAGACATTTGCCAAACAAATAGAGTCGTAGAACACTTCTAGAATCATATGACGCTAGACAGATACCCAAAGTTAATTTAACATGTATGGGTGGGTATCCGACGATAAAAAATAATAATGTAATACATTTTTATATACAATAGTATTTAAAGATAACGACCAAATACAAAAGTCGCATCCAATACGCTTGTCAGGTCGTCATTCTTACGAATGATCTTGAAAAAATAACACTTTAATGGAAATATTTTTGATGATGTTAAGAAAATAATGCCTCAGCAACCATATGCATCAGTTTGATGTACAATAAAAATATTGGTATATTAACTGTCCGTGGTGCTAGTTTCGGCCATAGATTCGCACAATTCTGCCTACTTTTGCACAATTCCTGCATTACACGGTGATTATGTTTTTTTTTAATATAGGAACAAACAACCTAAGCAAGTGTATATACCATTGCCATATAGTTCAAGTGCGCTTCCTTATATCCAATCAAGTAATTGCTTTTAAAATATTTCTTTTCGTATTATCCAAGTGTACGGCCTCTTTAACAGTACAATATCAATTTAACACCATCTTTCGTTTTAAGATTGGCCAAACCTGGCAGTATAACTGAAGTAAAGAAATTTGAGATAAAAAAAACTACGCTTAAAAGCCCATTTAGCCCTAAAGAAGTTAGCTTATATTTTTGATTGACGAATGAAACATATTTTGTATTTTTTGCCATGGATTAGGTACTTTGTGTAGAAAGCAGATATGGTCAATGAAAAAACAAACAACATTTAAAGGTAAAACCATTTTCCACACAACACATTTATTTACACAATAGTTTTAACACATACTAATATCTAAAGCAACTTTCATTCAGTAATATTACAAAGCCGATACTTTCTAGTAGATGAAAATGACAACTGAAATAAACATAAACAGACGTATGTTCAGATACACAGCACGTGCGCGGATGATGACGACGCACGAGAGTTACGTGCACATGGAGCATGATCGCTTGCAGTTGTATCGTGCCCAGCCTCTGTAGTCACCGCATGCAGTGTCTAACTCGTACAAACTACAATATGTGAGTCTATCGTAACATGGTGGACTGTAATCTATTGATAAAAGAAAAACAAATATGATAGATAAAATAATAATTGTATAAAATCTAGAATTGTTAAAATATCAAATAGACAAATTTATATGATTATATTTTTTTTCGAGAATCAATACATAATTTAATGCATTTATAAAAGAAAAAAAATGTTATTTGTTATTGACTTGTCCGTATTTCAATCTGGACAAAACTATTCATCAGTTTTGAGGGAAATTTCAAAATATGTATTGATTGAATACTGTTTTCCTAGAAATTATTTCGCGCTTTTCAAGTTAGCGCTTTTCGCGAAAGGTATTGTCCCGCAAAAGTTTAAAGCCGCGAAAAAGTCACATGTAACAAACTCGCAAACATTTGTAGTTTCAACAAATTATTAATTAGTCGCATGACCAGATGGCATATCAGTAAAACAATTAATTATAAAAGAACTTGAAATGATTTTAGATATTTTGCTTATCAAAGAACAAATATAAAATATCAAATAGATTGATAAGACAACAAATGTATCACTCATATATAATAAAATCCAAAATGACAAACATGCAAAATGATTAATGAATTAAATAAATTGATATTAAGCCATAACTTACCGCAGTATCCACACCTAAGTGCACAATGAGCACGTGCCCAGGGCTCGTACAAACCTGTGCAGGCCGAGTCCTCGTAGTAGTCACAAGTGTCAAGCATGTCACGACAATCACCTGCAGGTGAAATCATTCTGTTTATATCTATCAACTCAAATTTAGGATGTTGAACAGTCAAATATTAAGCATATACAAATACATGCATACTGAGATTTTATACTTGTAACTGCCGTATGAACACATACGCGGATGTTTCCAAATTAAAAGTAATTTGAATACTGCTTAAGTCAGTGTTTGGCACGTGTACGGTAGCTTCCACCCATGAACAGGATCAAGAAAAGCGGTCATGCAACATTTCCAATTTGCCGAAATTGGCGTTCTTTTCTATTCCTACTTTTTGTTTGTTTGTTTGTTTGTTTGTTTGTTTGAGAAATGTTTGTTTGAAACTTTAAATTAAAGCACATCAAGAATTGTTTTAAACTTACAGTTGACATGAATTGAAATGAAATCAATTATAAGGACGATGCAAAATTATGAAATATTAACTTTTAATATTCCAAGATATTTTTAAACTTTAAAAGTAAAATTTAATGAGAAATACGTTTTGAGAATGTATACATACTTAGACTGCCGCTGCCCTGGTCAACATTTGTGGAGTTAATAATCTCGGTGTTGTTTCCGCAATCAACCTGTGGACAGCACTGACCAGGCTCAGTTACGATGGTACATGCTGGGGGAATGCTGGTATAGTGAGGGCAGCTGAAACAGAACAATAAACCGTTGTACAGGCACTGGCCTTTGAATATCTATCTATTATGAAAGCTGGTTTCTTGAAGCATTTATCATTTAGAAACATGTTATTTATGGCTGTTCGCAACAGGTTTTGATTGTGGTATGAGAGAATGCGTAATTGTGTGAAGTTTGTCCTGCAGTTTGGACACACACTGAATAATAGTCATACAACTTTATTATTCTAAATCAGTTTAAGTATCTAACAAGGAAAGAAAATTTGGTTTATTTTATTGGGTTATACGTCGCATCAACACTGTCATTACCATATGGTGACTCTCAAGCTTTACTGGTGGAGGAAGACCTAAAGTGTCGCTCCATGCATTATTTCAGACAAACAAGTGCCGGTACCTGAGTAGCAGACGTACCGTAAGCTTGTAAGGATAGTTTCCTCACATAAAACAAAATCAAAGTCACTGATAAGATTCGAACCTACAGCGACAACAGACCAACGACCTAAACCACTCGGCCATATAAGTCCATTCTCTTGTATTGTTGAAGACCTTGGTGGGCATTCGTTTGTTCTACCAGTATTATACCGAATGCGTTGGTTAAAAGGCATAGAATGCGTTGGTTAAAGGGCATACTTACACATCAGTGCACAGAGCGGTGTTACTGTCTGTGTCAAAACATTCACAATCAAATTGGCACGTGTCTTTCCAGTGCTCACCCTTGTTGAATGTCTGGTTTTTGAAATAACACGTGTCTGTAAATTGGATAGAAATATGATATGATTATATTACAATAAGCGTAAGTAATACCTTATAGGCCTCAAAGCTAATATGACAGTTTTCAGTCCAACGAAAACTCTGAACTATAAAGCAAGAGCCTTTGCACGAGTACATGTACATTGATATAGTTAAATCTGTTTTTATGAACATAACTGGACCAGATAATTCTCAACAAACACGTGCATGTAAACCGGATCAAGCTCGGTATACCAGTGCCTCTAAACCGGATTAAGCTTGGCATGTCCGTGCCTTTAAACCGTATGAAACTCGGTATTCCCGCACCTCATATGATCTAATGCACACTGTACTTGTTTAATTGATAAGATTATAACACAAGAAATAAATACTAACTTGGGACAGGAGATTTCTGACCACTTATTTTGTAACTGTTCGAGCTGACAGTGATAATACCACCGGGACTCTTGCTCAAGTCTGGTCCAACCTGACCTGTACCTGTAAAAAAGGATGTACAATAAATGTTTAGGCCATATACTGTTTCAGTTGTTCATATTAGTATAGATTAAGTACTACAGAATATAATTTGTCTATAAAATAAGTTTACATTACATTTAAGTCTTTCAGCAGGAAATTCTTTTTATTGCGCATGCGCATGATTCTCATCTATTGTTCAGAAAAGAAAGAAGTTTTGATCTAATTCACAGAAAACAACAACAATTATCAACATTTTTAATAAAAGTAGGTCCGTAATAAAGTAGGCACATTGGGTTAAAACTAGGACTCACCGCTTGATGCCGTTGTTGTCTTCAATGGTGGGGGACCAGTTGGGGCATCGGTTATCATTCCACCAGTTGTCATCATGGGTGGTTGACCAGTGGTACCCTGTACAGTTCCGTTGATGATACTGATGATTGAGGTTCCGTAGATAATCTGGGTGGTGTTAACTATTTCAGTTGTATTGACAACAATGGGCGCATTAGTACTTCCCGCCATGGCGCCAGTAGTGGCTGGTGGAGCGTTTGTCGTGGCTGGTGGAGCATTTGTAGTGGCTACTGGTTCCGCTGTGGTGGCTGGACGTTTTGTTGTTATTGGATCTTAAAATAGAAAATTCATAATATTTTTAAAACGAAATCTTTCTTACAGTTTTCTTTAAAAAAAAAACTAAATGTAGTTTGTACATGTTATGTTGGATTAGAACATTTAAATAGAGCGTTTGCCTAGCTAAAGTTTGTTTCCGAAAACGTTAAAACACAGAAAAACGGAAATCCGTAATTCACGTACAAGACGACAAAATTGAAAATAAGTGCAGCCTCGAATAAACTGACCCTGTTCTCCAGATTCAGGCGCCGCCCGTTTGTTATTTTGGCCGTCTCTTTATTTACCTTCGTTGTTTCTTTATCACCCTTTCTTTAACACTTTGTTTTCTCTTATATATGCTATATTAAATTCTTGTTATTTTATTTCATCTTATTATACTCTCCAATCTAGCTTCATCTTCTGTTTTCTTTTCCTTTGTACATAATACTTTTTTTTCCTTTCTCACACGTGCCACTTATATTTTCAGAAACAATAAAACATATTGAATTGTTCTGTAATACAATAAGACGAGACCTACCATCTGTACATCTCTTTAAGAAAAGTGTTGTATCATTGGTGAATTCTTGTGCCACGAACTGGAGTGGTTGTTTGTAATAATACAAATAACATCTGTAATAAAATTAAAATCGGATGTGATAATACAAATAACATCTGTAATAAAATTATACTCGGATGTAATAATACAAATAACATCTGTAATAAAATTATACTCGGATGTGATAATACAAATAACATTTGTAATAAAATTATACTCGGATGTAATAATACAAATAACATCTGTAATAAAATTATGCTCGAATGTAATAATACAAAGAACATCTGTAATAAAATTATGCTCGGATGTAAAAATCCAAGTAACATTCTAGCATGTAACACAATAATAGACAAATGCAATAATTCAGATAACAGACAAACGCAATTATACAAATTATAGACAAATGCAATGATACAAATTATAGACACTACTACATTTTGTATCATTATCAAAAGTTTATAAACATCGTCCTTACAATTTACGTACTTTTATATTATTTTCATCAGGAAACAAACAAGTGTCCTCCATCAAATTACAGACCCCCTGATAAAGTTTGTTAAATATACCACTTCAAGATTCCAAGTTTTATTTCAAGATATGTAAAAGTCCCACAAAAGCTGGAAACATTAGCAAACTTTTAACATAAATACATGTGCTCATGTAGAATCACATATCATAATAGAATAACATAAATACATGTGCACATATAGAATCACATACTATAATGGAAAACCGCTATTGAGATTTCGAACATATTCATAATTATTTAAGCTATAAATTAAGCTAATAATTAAATCACCTGTCAAACTCATTGTATGTGAAAGCCCAGCATTCATAACCGTCGTTGAGCAATGACTGGGCACATACACCCTGGCAGAAGTCGACGTCACCAATCAGATGTACAGACTCGTTTAATGTGATGTTGGTGTTCTGTACGAGCGCGATATCTGTACCAAAATCTGTACTCTTGATGTCTGTTTCGTTGTACTCCTCGTAATGACACAGTCCTGATTTAATCATTAGTTAAACGTATGATTTTTATGTATTATTTTTTATGAATATATTTTTTGAGCCGTGCCATGACAAAACCAACATAATGGGTTTGCGACCAGCATGGATCCAGACCAGCCTGCGCATCCGCGCAGTCTGATCAGGATCCATGCTGTTCGCTTACCAACCCTGTTACATGTAGAGAAACTGATATCGAACAGCATGGATCCTGATCAGACTGCGCGGATGCGCAGGCTGGTTTGGATCCATGCTGGTCGTAAACGCATTACGTTGGTTCTGTCGTGACGCGGCTCATATATTAATTTGAAATCAAAGTATTGTTTTAAATAATGCAGATACCTAAACGTACATAACTGAACGACCATATTAAATAAATTGATTTACCTATGTACCTGTTTTTTTTTAAATGATAAGCTCACAGAAACTTTATTTGTGCGCATGCGTACATAATCATTATCATTATTATCACTTTAATGTTGTTTTTGTTGTTTTATTTATTTCCTTTCTCTAAAATCTACTTTATTTTAAAGAAGTTCTCGCCAATAATAAATGTACATTTGCAACATTGTTTCAAAAATGACCATTTTAAGAAGTGCAAAGAATAACTAAAGTACAAAAAGCTCTTTTAAAGCTTGCAAAGCATTTTTAAGCTAATAAGCATAAAAATATAACATAATGCTGACGTCATTCATAAGAAGTGCATCAAAGTTTATTTTATTCAATAATTATTAAAAAAGCATTCCGTACCCATCATGATTTCGTTACATAAACGTTTTATATAAACATCCGTTTTTAAAGTTTAATTCGAAGAAAAAAAAATACCCATGATATAAGTTGGTTTAAAGAAATATACATCTTTAGCATCGATTTCCAAATTTAGTAAGTTTTTAGTTATACATTGATTTATCTATAAAGAAACATAAGACATATCACGTTGCCCATGGCAACAACTTTCCTTCATTTTTCTTACGTGCTTTTATTCAAGTGTACATGTATATGTTTTTGTAAAATAATCTGAGTTTTGAAAATGTATGATTCTTTTTTGTTATCTTTAAGATAAGAAACATTCAGCGAGATGTGTGGAATGCATCTTTAAATGAGCCACGCCACGACAAAACCAACATAAAGCGTTTGCGACCAGCATCCGCGCAGTCTGATCAGGATCCATGCTGTTCGCTATCAGTTTCTCTACTTGTTATAGAGTTTGTAAGCGAACAGCATGGATCCTGATCAGACTGCGCGGATGCGCAGGCTGGTCTGGATCCATGCTGGTCGCAAACGCATTACGTTGGTTTTGTCATGACGCGGCTCAAATGAAAACAGTTCACAATTTAATGTGTTATTAACTTACTCTGGGTGGTTGTCGGTGGAAGTGCTGTATACGTGGTACAAGGAAGAGAGAAAAAATATCATAAGCAAAGCACAATCAAATATCAAGCACACTCAAAAATAAGCAAAATCAAATATTAAGCATAATCAAATATTAAGCATAATCAAGTATCAAGCATAATGAAATATATAAAAGCATTTGGATTGCAAAAATATGCAAACAGCTGCAAACGTTTAAAGTGTTTCAATATCATCTTATCAATTTTAACAAGTGCATGATAATATTTATATTAAAATAAGATTTTGAAAAGTATTTTTTGTAACTGGAAGGAAAAGGTTGATTTAAAATCTTTGCGAAACACAAAAAATGAGAGATAATAAAATTCTAAGAATATAGAGTTGTTTCTGTTATATAGATATAAAAAATACCATGAAATCATTTTAAAATGAAAAATGAAACATGCAGAGATAAGCACATGCAGGAAGCCTCATTATGAATAATCGGACACTTCCGGTATCAATCGGAAGCGGAAGTCGTATAACTTACCTGTCGTTGTTGTTATATCAGTTATTGTTGTTGAAGGCACTTTAGAGAAAGGAAAAAGGGAATGCAAATTAAATGAACGGATATGAACATGAAAGTACAATGGAAATGATGGGAAAGAATATAACATTCATGCAAAGAGAGGAATAACATGCATTTTTATCAAACTATAAAGTTGAAAACTGAAATAAAGAACATGCAAGAAAATGACTATTTTGATTTAAAGCAGCACGCCTCAAGATTCATGTTAATTTTCATAAAATATTTTGGAAATGTATTTAAAAGTAAAATAATATGAGGTAAACAAATAAAGTAATGTGCATATTGCAATCGGCACTTACAATCAACGAAAATTACCAAAAAGTGTTCAGCATATGCAAAAACAACCCTTACTGCGTTACTAACGCAGTAGAAATATGGTGATAAAATAATGCAAAATCAGTCCTAAACCTACATAACATGTAAAATATAGATTTGATCTTGAATATTTAACCATTCTTAAAAATTTAGTGCACTGTTCTCAATATTGGTTTTCTTGAAATATGTTGGCTCATCTGGAGGCGTGCAGCTTTAAGAAAAAATACATCTAGCGTCAAAATAGTTTTAAAATTTCATTTTCGAAAACATTTTCAGACAAAACCCATAAACAAATTTTCAGATAAAATCCATAACAAAGTTCTTCCATTAAAAACATATTTTACAGCGACACTTTTAGGTCAGCATCAATAAAATCAAATATGTCCACTGTGGTCTGTTTTCTTGTGGGATGCAGACTTGGCATCCATTTTGTAGGACAGAAAGATACGATACGGTGTCTCGGTCAGAAGAATGATATTTTGACGTTGCGCGGAAATTGTTGCGATAAACGCCTTATCACCGTGGTGAGCAGATTTTATTTTATGAATCAATGCTGACCTAATAGTAGCTGAAGTTATATTTTGAATATCTTACACGGTGCGAGAATGATATATCTTTTTAAAGGGATATTTTTAATGACAAGTGTGTGTCAATTAGATGAAATAAATGTTCCAAAGAATGTTAAAGAGCGGAACGATCTCAATGGAGAAAAAAATGATTTCAACCACTAAATTAAATGAAAATCTGATCATTGTCAAGAATAATGATAATTGTTTATAAAGTCATACATTATCTGGACAATTCCTTCTTTGTTGTTTTAACCTTTCTTTGTGTAACATTGGATGGTTCAATTTTCAGTGGTATCAAAGCTAACTAATTACAGTTTCTACTTAAATACGTGCATTTTGGCTCAAAATGATACATGTATACAATTTCTTTGTATTTCCAAATCATGACATGCAAATTGATTATACCCTCCATTCCATTTTTTCAAAAATATAGCATGCAATTTATACAGTAAAAAAAGGTCAGGAAGTTAAAAGAGGTTAAATGACTAATGAAGGTTTTTTGACATGCACATTATGCCATTCCGTGTAACCTATACGAATCACCTGTATAACTTACTTGTGGTTGTTGTAGTTGGCTCTGGAAATGTAATACATGTTTTACAGTGAAAATCATCTCATATTTTTAATTATTCATGTTATACTTTTTGTCGTGTATTGCAATATCCTTTATACCTTTCTCGTTTTTTTTTTAACTTTCTTTCAATTGAGAACAGATTGTGTTGAAGTCACATGTCTTGAGTGGTAATCAAAGATAAAGAACTCCGAACAATGTTTTATTTCGGCCTCAAAAAATTAGCTGTTTTAATCCAAATTCCCATTGCTATTTCTTTACATATTTAAAGCAATGCTAAAAGTTGTCAATTGATATCATGTTTAACCGAATTCTTGTCATTAAAAAGTGTCATTTTTGGTAAAAGTCTTGCGTGAAGCCAACAGTGACAAGGCCCTATATACTTCTGAATTTAAAATGCATGAGGGTATTTGAGTAGAACTACAAGTATCATTGTGGCGTAAGTTAGAGACATAGCTCAATATAAATTGATAACTGGTTTGTAATAAAATAAGATAATTTTATGACTTGACATTGTGTTGCTTCTAAATAGTGATGAAAAATGCTTTAACATCTGTTACCTGTTGTTGTTGTCGTAGGTTCTGAAAAACAATAACAAATGTTTAACAACAACAACGACAACAAAAAACAGAAATTACGACACGGATTTAATAATTGTACTGAAAACGTTTCTTTCAAAGGCTTAGATAAACAGCAAACCCGTTTGTAGACGTGACTTGCAAAGATATCTCTGTTTGCTATCATGTATAGATAATGAAAAATATATAAGAAATACAAGTAACACATAGACTCGGTGTATTTACAATTCAGCAAAATTTTGCCAAGCGATGCTCTTGGTGATTTTTTTTCAAATCTTAAAAAGCTGTAAATGCATTATGACATACATGTATATCATTTGGAAACAAGATTGTTAAGAGGGTAACATTTTGAAATGAATGTATAAATGTATAAGTATCGGGACAAAAAATCATCATTCTATGTTAATCATTACTATGCATAACATTTAACATGGACTTCTGGACAAAACCATTCATCTTTTGACGGAAAATTTCAAAATCAGTACTGAAGATCGAAAGAATAACGAACGTTGGCGACCGAGCGGATTTGCCGTTTGATGTTCGTCTATACTGGTCGCAAAGATAGAACTAGTCGCCACCAACAGGCTTATTATATTGGTCGCAAAGGTAGAATCGGTCGCCACTAACATGCTTATTATTCTGGTCGCAAAAATAGAATCGGTCGCCACCAACAGGCTTATTATATTGGTCGCAAAGGTAGAATCGGTCGCCACTAACATGCTTATTATACTGGTCGCAAAAATAGAATCGGTCGCCACCAAAGGGCTTGTTATACTGGTCGAAAAGGTAGAATCGGTCGCCACTAACAGGCTTATTATATTGGTTGCAAATGTAGAATCGGTCGCCACCAACAGGCTTATTATACTGGTCGCAAAGCTTGAATCGGTCGCCAGCAACAAGCTTATTAAAATAACATTTACTTACCGGTTGTTGTTGTTGTTGTAGTTGGTTCTTAAAAGATAAAATTGAATAAATTATTGTAAAGTAAAAGAAATACATTAAATAAATGCAACTATATAATATTTCAATGATTACAATGGTTTCGATAATGCATAGGCTTTAAATTGCACAATAAATATATACTATTTCACCTTGTTTCTTTTCTTTTACAAAACGAGAAAGAGAGTTTGCACATATTCAAGAAATTATCAACCTGATATGACGTATCAGTGAAAAGAACAAGATATATGTATATAGATATATAAATACATATATGATATATAAATTTGAAAATTCATGTTAAAGTTTATATCGTTATTCTCAAGCGTTGCTTTGTTCACAAAAGCTATAAACAGTATTAACCTACCAGTTGTAGTGGTTGTGGCCTCAGTTGTTGTTGTTGTTGTTGGCTCAGTTGTTGTCGTTGTTGCTGCAATGGTTATTGTTAACATATGTTTATCATAATTATGTAATATTTGAAAGTAGGTTATGCCTATTAAAGTTGTTTGTTATTCAGTGACTTGCTTTAAAAACCAGTTTTGAAAATAATAGATAATACTCTTTTTATATTTCATTGTCAATTGAATTTAAGTCGAATATGCGATTTTCACGTGCTACTTAAATTTTCATCATATTGAGGCACCCCTTGTTTTGCACAAAACTTTAGCATATTTTTAATGGGGCTACTTGTTTATTATCTGTGTCTTCAGATTTTAAGATATTCTCTCTCTTTTTGGTTAATATTTAAGCCCTAGACGGTCATGTGAACATATATCAAGGTTCAAATAAATTAATGACACTTCAAAGTCAGTTATCGGTCGCCACCAACAGGCTTATTATACTGGTCGCAAAGCTTGAATCGGTCGCCAGCAACAAGCTTATTAAAATAACATTTACTTACCGGTTGTTGTTGTTGTTGTAGTTGGTTCTTAAAAGATAAAATTGAATAAATTATTGTACAATTTAAAGTATTTAAAGAAATACATTAAATAAATGCAACTATATAATATTTCAATGATTACAATGGTTTCGATAATGCATAGGCTTTAAATTGCACAATAAATATATACTATTTCACCTTGTTTCTTTTCTTTTACAAAACGAGAAAGAGAGTTTGCACATATTCAAGAAATTATCAACCTGATATGACGTATCAGTGAAAAGAACAAGATATATGTATATAGATATATAAATACATATATGATATATAAATTTGAAAATTCATGTTAAAGTTTATATCGTTATTCTCAAGCGTTGCTTTGTTCACAAAAGCTATAAACAGTATTAACCTACCAGTTGTAGTGGTTGTGGCCTCAGTTGTTGTTGTTGTTGTTGTTGTTGGCTCAGTTGTTGTCGTTGTTGCTGCAATGGTTATTGTTAACATATGTTTATCATAATTATGTAATATTTGAAAGTAGGTTATTCCTATTAAAGTTGTTTGTTATTCAGTGACTTGCTTTAAAAACCAGTTTTGAAAATAATAGATAATACCCTTTTTATATTTCATTGTCAATTGAATCAAGTCGAATATGCGATTTTCACGTGTTACTTAAATTTTCATCATATCGAGGACACCCCTTGTTTTGCACAAAACTTTAACATATTTTTAATGGGGCTACTTGTTTATTATCTGTGTATTCAGATTTTAAGATATTCTCTCTCTTTTTGGTTAATATTTAAGCCCTAGACGGTCATGTGAACATATATCAAGGTTCAAATAAATTAATGACACTTCAAAGTCAGTTATGATAAAAATAAAACATAATTATGATCAACTACTAAGAAATCAGATATGAGTTGAAACCGACAAAACGATACTAGTATTCTAATCCAACTGTATAACATTCACAATAAGCTCAAAATTGTAAAAGAAAAACATACACAATAACGGCAAAATGGTGAAGAATTTTGAGTAATGGAAATTGCATTGATTGACATTAAACTCCACAATAAAACTGACTTTATCTAAGCTCAAAAAGGACCTTTAATTCAACTGAGCTCAAAAAGGCCACTGAACTTATCTGAACTCAAAAAGAGACTTGAAATCTATCTGAGCCCTAAAAAGACACAGAACTTATTTGAGCTCAAAAAAGACACAGAAGTTATCTGAGCTCAAAAAGGACATGGAACTTTTTTTAGCTCAGAATGTATTTGTCTCTAATGGAGCTCAAGAAAGGTCATTGAACTTATTTCAGCTCAAAATGACAGCGTTATGTATTTGTGTTGCAGTATCTAATACTTACATGTAGTTGGTTTTGGTGTTGCTGAAATGTTAGAAAACAAGATATCAGATAATGATAAACAAGATGTAATAACAGGGTATTGATAAACAAAACATGACATTATACATACATGTATTGATAAACATTTAGGAATATTTTAAGCGGAAGTTTTAATGAAAAAATGAAGGATAATATCAAATATGGCAAAATGAAGACCTACTTGTAGTTGTAAGGAGGTCACAGAATGGGTCTCGGACATGATTTTCATTGTGATCCCAACAGTGGTCAGCCCAGTCTGGTCCGTTATTGTGAGAACGTTTGTGGATAGATGTATTGTCGTCTGCAATAATGAAAAATAAATAGAGGTGTAATTTCTGTATTTGAATTGTAGTTTTCATTGCATGATGGTCATTTAAGCAAATGTTTCTGATATTGTGCTGATTTATTTAAAAAAAATCAACACACAAAGCCGCACGCACACACACACACTCACATACAACATAAACAACAAAACGACAGAAGTTTTCTAAAAATAATAAAAAGAAAGAAAAGATGTAATAAAAATTTCACTGTAATATGGCCAGAATAAAGATATACATGCATTTCTATTATATTGCAATCATTTCTTTGTGCATACTATTTATGATTTATTAGATAAAAACGTTAAAAAGTTATCTATAGCATTGAAAGAACTGTTGTCATAATATGAGAATAAGAAATATATGTATATGTTTAACAAAATGAACAGGCATACCGTCACATAGTCCACAACGTTTTGGGCACACCTGACTTGCAAGAACGTCATAGGGGGCGCTACAGTATTTGTCTTGAAGCAGCTGACAATTAGCAAGCGTGTCCAAACATTCTGGTAAAATATAGAATAACATATATTACAGTGACATATAGAACAATTCCGCCACATACATTGATAGCTAGAATGATATAATAGTATTAAAGTAACCATGCAATTTAAGTAAAGAACGTACATCTCCATCCAGCATGGGGACACCATTTTTTCCCTGAGCAAAAAGCTGTAAAGTCATTGCTTACTGGTTTGTTCCAGGAACGGATCCGACAGTGTTACAATAAGCGTATTGCTTTCAACTATATCGGATGAAACAATTTCGTATAAGCTTACATCTTCTCATTGAGTTTGACTTCCCCATTGTCATTGTGTATACAGTAAAAAAATTAGTATACTCGTATTTAGCTTGTATTTTATAATATTATATGGAATAATGTGTAAATGAACTTACATATATGATTTTATTTTACAAATTTAGCAGTAAATTTCGATACTTAAAAAACATTTTCGTTTTTACACAATTCATGTCATGTAGAGCTGAAACAGGAAAGATGATTTTGACTAACCTCGGGTGTTGCAAACCATCTCACCTGCTGGAGCTAAGAGATTTATAGACTCCAGTAATTCAAACCCATTTAGAAATTGTTTTGCAAATGGAATAAAACTCGTGAAATCTTACATTTTTTCTAGTTCAGGTTTGTAAGAAGAGCACGTGTGAAATAATATAAAAAGACGGAATTGGCCATTTATAATTAATGCTTAAATTTTTTATGCGGTCATTCTTTTTTTAACATTTTACTCTTTCCGAACAAGATATACATTATTTTACTTCGACTATTATTATATTAAATAATTATTTCAACAATATAAGTGCTCTAAAGTTTTCTTACCTCCGTTTGCCCATGCAGCTAATGCCAAAAGGCAAAAAGTGGTTGGTAATAACATGTTAAATATTTAACTCAAACACCTAAAAATATTCCTGATATATTTGTTCTTCAACGTTGTTCCTTTAAGAAGAAATTTCCACTTTTTGGCCAGCAACTGCGCCTGTGAGACTAGCTGACGACTTTTTCAGACTGACCCCTTTTAGCGATTGTCTTTCTACCTAAAGGGCAGCGAGACCGTGACGATGAATTGAATAAGTGCCACCTGGCGAGTTTCTCAGAGCCGAGAAGAGCCGAAAGATAAGACACGTATAGCGTCGACGACAGAAATTTGTTCGTGTTATAAAGTATTGCACCGTTTTTGGCAATATCACATTCAGATATTGTATATATCCTAATGTGAGTGATGAGACGATAAGAAATGATAGAAGAAATTACATAAAAATTATGTAACTAATATTTAACACTATTATAATCTGCAAGAAGGAAGGTTCACAATAAAGTATGGTTGTCTTCATGTTGGAAGCCAGCTTATATATGTTACCAAACTACCGCATTGTTACCTCAATTACGTCAATGACGTAGGTTATTTTCTTCGCGGCATCAGTTGTTGTTCCAAATATAGAATTATCTGCAGTCACAAAAAGTGGACTCTTTCAACCCGTTTACGAGCATGCATACTATATGACCTACATTTGTGGTTTTAATACGTGCAGTGTGGCCAAATAAACATCATAACACTTACTGTCGTTATATTAGCTCTTCAGAAAATAAATGATGCGACTTTATTCTTAAGAATCACCCACTGAGAAAGAAAATATCATAACAAAAGTTAGGCCGACGTATCTTTTTGTAGCATTTCTTTTATTGTGTTGCAAATAGTTAATAGTATAATTTTTGACGAATAAATAGTTTGTAAATGGTGATGCTACCACATATATAATTTAGAATATGTGTTTAGTTCTTGCTACTTCACCAAATAATATGAAACATACATTTAGTTAACTACCTTTTATTTTGATGCCAGAAACGAAATTATAATTGCAAACTCAGTAAATTTGATAACGTACTTTTTTTACCTCTTAATTTTGAGCATTTTTACAAATTGTATTAAAGATTTTCAATTACAAATGTCTTTGAGATCGCAAGAGAGACGTAGCTATAAAACACGAGACCATGGATCGACAAGGCGAAGAGACCTTCCCTAACAAAATCCAATCACAAAGGGCCTCCGGGATTATACCCGGTAGGGCACCGAACAAAAGGCCGGAGAGGGCACAAAGTCCTTTAAGGGCAGGAAAAGCAAAGGTTTGGGAGGAGTTTGAACGTATAAATTAGTTGGTGTAACATGAAAGATACCAATGTTGACCTTTTAACTTATCTTTATCATGCCAGATTGTACAACTTTGACCTATAAAACTATTTCAGTTGACACTATCAAACTGTATCTGACATTAATTAAAACTACCGAAGGTCAGATATCCCTCAAACTTTATATATAGAAGTGTTACCGTTAGTTGCAGTCTGTATTGTGCCGAATTTGTCACAGATTGAACATGGACCACATGTGATGTTGCTGACGGCATACGTGTGATATTGTAACGCACATTTAACTTTTATGATACAAAAATCAGCATTTTACGAAGTTTTCAATGCTGGCCAACTAACAAACGAATATTTCACTTTCTATTAGGAGAAAACAGCAACGCATAAGTGCGAAGAATACGTTCGTATGACCGTCGTGCCGGACAGGACAGTTGATTTGCATACGGTCGCGATGCAATATATGGGTATTCTTTGATAGGAAATCTATTTTTTTGTCTGGTATTTTAAAATGTAACGAAATACAGTAGCGGTCGCTTAAGAATAAATCAAGCTCAAGCAGGATTTATTTCAAACAATGAAAACAACCTGTCAATAATAGATTTACAATAAGTACAATGAGTAAAAGGTTTAGAGCCGAAAACTACAAAGCTTATAACGGTCTTCTCCTATACATTTGTACAACATGCACTGAGTCGTCAATTGTATTGGTAATATTGTTTGAAACACAGATTTTTATAAGAATAAGAACATATACAAAGAAAGAAAAAAATCAAATATTAAGCTGCGAATTAAATCATAGTGAAACTAGCAATTGTTCAAAGGGTTCTAGTTGAATGAATGATTGAATGAAAAAAGAAATTTGTGAAGATTCATTCGGAAAGGTCAAATTTTATATTTTTGTGAAACTTAGATCCTGGAAATCGGTAACTTTCACGTATGTTAACCTGGAGTGCTTGTTTTTTATAATTAATGTCATGGCTAATATTCAGGTCGCCGTTTAGTAAGGTGTGTCTTAGTACAGACTTTAGAAAAAAACATCAAAGAGTCGAAGTCTGATATAATTATACAAGAGACATCCAAAGAAATAGTGGTTGTTACTTTCAAGGAGGTCACATGGACAATTTGGCGAGGGAGCATATTTTTTCTGTTTATGTGATTGTTTAGAAAGCTACATTCTGTTCAGAGCCGAGTGTGAATGACTTGTCATTTTCTTCCACCTATGTAATATCATTTAGGGATTTTGAAGTTAACTTTTAGTTGCGTTTTAAAGGGGGACAACGATGATGAGTTTTGATTTTCTCTTGTGAGGGAGTTCCAATCTCTCAAAGTAGATAGCAGAAATGCATTATGGTAAAGAGAAGTACTTGTTCGTATTGTTGGCATATCAGAAGCATTTCGTAAACTGTACCTGGAAGTTTCTCGACTAAAGACGATTTTCTAGTGAAAAGGCTATTGATCAGTTAAATATTGCCTTGATGGAAAATCATATAAATTGAAACCGCCACCTGGTCGGTTACCTAAATTAGTTCAAATGCCATTTACACATGGCGTGATGACTTTAACCGAGTCATACTCAAATTTTCCTGGTTCTATCGTCTTGGTTGTTTCTTTTCTCTGTTTCTCCATTAGCAGTGGTATGAAGATAGGCCGATAGGAGGATAAACCATCATTGATGGTATATGAATGAACTTTTTTGACAAAGGAGTAAAGATTTGAAGTCCATATGCTTCCATGATTGTATAGCTATTTATCTGTGCCCTAGGATCTTTAACTAATGTATGCATGGTCTTTAACTAATCACGTGACCGGTCAGGTTCAACACTGATTAGAGACGAGTAACAATTATAATAATAATGATAAAATCTTTATTTAAAGAAGGTAACAAATTAATATAAATACCACCGTAGAAAACAAATAACATATCTTAAATTTAAATTTGGCTTTCTAAACAATATATATAGAAACACAAACACAAAACATCATAAAACAACTACAACTTTTGCCCTCTAACTTTTTCAGACAAACGCTTTTTGTAGATATTAAATATTTATAGATTTTCATATACAAATATATTAACAAATATACATGCATAATAAGTATGATAACAAAATGACATAGTTATGAAGATATTTATTTGCTCTGCAAGATATGTTTTATATTTATTTTTAAAAGATGTCAGAGAATTAGAAGAAGGGATATTAGATGGTATTCTATTCCAAATCTTTGCACCAATGTTACAAACAGTGTTTTTACCATTATTTGTCCGTTGTTTAGGTATAGCTATGTCATCATGTGATGGTGATCTTGAATTGTCAATTTTATTGCTAGAAAAAGTCAAATTTTCAGATTTATAAGATGGAGCTAGATTAATGCAAGCTTTACAGTATGAAAATTGCATCGTTCATTGAACGGCATCCACCCAAGTTCTTTCAGTATAATTACCGGTATCTTGATTTCTTATTCGAGATGTTTTGCATTTTACCTATTCTATTTAAAGACCTTAAATTTTCTTTGCTCCAAACAGTACAGCAATAATCAAACTTCGACATTATAAAATAACTATTTCATTTCATCTGTCAAATATATACGCCTCAATAATGCTATTTTTGAGTTAAAATTTGAACAAAGCACTTCAATTTGGTAATTCTAGGACAAGTTATTATCAATATAAACACCTGATATTTTTACATTTTCTATTTTTGTTTTGCAATACATATAGTAAGTTCATTACAATAATTACTTTTTTGTTTCTTACATAATATCATGCATTTTGTTATATTTGGATGGATTAATATATTGTTTAAATTGCACCCTCGATCTATGGCATGTAAATTTTGTTGAAGTTAACTTTCTACTGCATTCAAATCATGCTTGTGCAAAAATCTTTCTTATGCTTATATGTATTATATACATTAAAATTCTAATAATGACATGATCATAATCGTTGTATCTTTAACCAAAACTAACTTTGAAGAGTGCAATACTGACAAGTGTACTTAAAAACATCTTGTGTATTGTTTACAAAAGTCTCTAAACTAACCATGACGTATTTTTCTTTCATTTTAGTATTTGTGGTTTAAACACAATCATGCTTTCAGTAAATATTTATACCTTGCACTTTTAGTTCATTTATTGACCTCTTTGATAATGATGAGCAATATAGGTCATTTTATGAATTTGACACGTTTATTTACCGTTTTATGTTATATAATAATACACTTTTTTTTCTTAAAAAAATCCAAATTTTCATTACTTGTAGACTCAATTAAAAATTTGAAGTTGTAAATTTGACAACATGCTGTTTCTATGAGCAAAATTGAAAATGGCATAGTGACTTCATTTCAAGAGATCGTTTTAGAAGAGGAAGTAAAAATCTGACCGATAGGGTCACGAACAGTTACAATGATTCGGATCTTATCATATATTCGTACATGTTATCTGTGAAATGTCGCACAGTGCTGTCTGGTTAATAGTACTGGATGACATAAAATAAGTCTTATAGTTTTTTCTCCCCATCATTTATAAATTTTGCTATGGTATAAAACTATAAATCATTGAATTATGTAATATAAATGTTGCTTTTCGTAGTTTTTAGTATAAAAATATTGTTATATTTATTGACCTTTATTGCAAAAAGTAAAGAACGAAAAACCTTTATTCACTTTGACAATTGAAATATACATGTTTTATTTAATCAACAGATAACCGTCACTGTACAACCGTTGCTTGGATACGAGAATCATACATTTATTTTTGTATTTATTTATCATAAGTTAAGCCAATGAAACCTAGATACATGTATTTTTTACGCTTTGCAACCAGCCAAAAATCAATTCAAAATCTTTTTTATATACCACCAGGATAAATTACAATGTACATAAAAATCATTATTTGTATCCATGGTCCATTTTTGCATGTTAAGATCCACTGTGCTACTGTTACTTCATACAAAACTATTTTTTCTTCTTGTCTGTGTTGTTATTATCATTAGAATTGATAAGATACAAAATGGCAAGACATAGCTTCGGTTTTAGTTGAGCTAGGAAGTAAACTGCTTCCTTTTATATTACAATTATGTAAACATTATGACACAAAAAATAAATAATACATTGATGAATGCAAAATAAATAAAGTTTGTTTATAAACATAACAATTGTACTTATAAATAATGTAACATAATTACAGAAATTCTCTCGATAACCATACATTGCACTGAAACTTAATGTATACAAATATTCGCCCACATCTTTCATGTTCATGCATAAAATCTAACAATATGATAAACATTTTATGCGTGCACCAATCTTATATAAATTATATAAATTTTAAAAGTATAGCTGATTACAAAATGGTTAACTTTAATCTGCATAACACCATTCTGCATATCGCTTACATAAAACATATTTTCTTGTCTACAATGTCCAAATATGTAGTCAAATTTCGTATTTTCTTCACACATAAATTTTCATTGATTGTAAATCACGCGAGGATCTGAAAATGATTTAACAAATGTTTAAGCTGCATGCCAGATAAATAATATAGTTTTTGTTCTATGATGGTTTAATATAATTATCCTCCTCAAGACATTGGATGATTTGCTCTTCTAAAAGCCGTGTGACACCAGCCATTCCATGTGTATCATCTGAAAAATACACAATTCGAATTTGTACAATTATCACTTACAAGCGAAATTGTACGTTGAAAAAAATCATATCTTAATGAAAATATCTAATCATAAGTGTGTTCTTATGAAGGAAAGAAAACAAATGTCAAGGTGAATGCTGGGATAAGCTATTTTTTCATAAAAGTGATTCAAAACTTTGCCTGAATTAAATTTAAACATCCGATCGATGGAAAGGCGACTCACAGAATGAGCAAATAGAGATGGTACGAATAATTAAAGAGGCGAATCGTTTTATAATATTATGAATCAATGTATATCTATTAACGTATTGTAACAATATAAAGAAATGTAGTTTGCGTTTTATACGGTCTTTTATTTTGTACGTATGTATGAAAAAGATATGAAAATTTGAAAAATCATTTTGATAATCAAGAATTAAAATAAACCACTTTTTTGGAAAGGAGTGAAATTACAAAAAATAAAGTAATCAGTTTCTTTTCTTGAAAAGAAGATTAATCAAAGGCAATGAAAATAAAACTTTATCTGTGCAAATCAAACTTGGGACTGTTTTAGGGTGTGTATGTGAGACTATGTACAGTGCAACATCACTCCCTTATCCCTACCTTTGCAACGGTCAAATGAGCACTAAAAGGAACCAAAAGATTCCATAGGACTAGAAACTGACATTGAGATTTAGTGTTGGTACATGTATTTGCTGCGTGTTTTTAAAAATAGAAAATCGTGACGTGTTATGTAATAATAATGATGATAGTGCCGTTAATATAAAGTTACTTAACGGGAAGTCTTATTTAACAAGAGTTATCAAACCTTCAAAATAAACGATTGAGCATTTATCCTTCACATCTCCAATTTCTTTGTTGAACTTTTCGTGTTTCATTATTTCATTAGAAAACTCTGCGAATTGTTTTGCCTGCTTCTTCATTTCCGACACGCTTAACCCGGCAAACGGGAGTCGGGTCATGTCGTTCAAGGCAATAACTGGCGTGGCATACTCACGGGCGTAGCAAACCCTCTGAAATCCACGCAACGTTAAAACAAAATCGGATTGTTTCATAAGAATGCAGCTTTAAACTATTTGCATGAGTTTGAAATTCTCCTATTGCTGATCTTAATATAATTACATGTACATGTATATAAAATCATCTGATTGTGTCTATTGAAAATATAATAATTGAACATGGACAAAGTAAATTGGCTGTTTATTAATATGATACACAACTATTGATACACAACTATTTTCTTCCCAGCCTTCATTTAATAATTCAATATTTGGTAAAGTATCATTTAAATACACAATTAAGAGAGTTGGGAAAGAGTAATCAATTTTATCAAATAGAATGTTTGCTTAAGATTTTAAAAACAACAACAATAAAAGCAACACAATTGTATAAAGTTCAAAGATCCTTTAAAGATGTATCCTGTCTAAGACGGTGCTAGGGGGTCATTATCAGGCACGGTCATCATGCATTTCACGTCATAGGACACATAATCATGTTTAGTCTGCATCAAATTTATATTTAACATGTAAGACGGGCTTAAATGCTCTTAATTCACTTGTTTATTTGAAATACAGTTGTAAAGCAATTATTAATCATAAAGAAGTGCATAAGTTATTAGAAAAGCATAAAAAGAGAGCCAAATTACCTGTCCCTTCCATTTTCCAGGTTTTGATAACGTCAGAACATAAAGTTGAAGAAAATATTTACGAGAGCCAATAACTATTGGTTCCAAAGGTCCGATGTGTTCCTCGTGTTCAAATTGTGTGCCAGGTGGGGGGAATTCACATGACTCCGGTACGATAACAAACACTTTAGGAACAATATGGCAGCTAAGTTCGCGCTTTGTAACTGCATCCGTAAACCGTTCTTTGAAGTCTGAAAAAAGTTTCCAATTTCTTTATTCGCATTTAGAACCCTTTTTTAGAATTTTATCCTCGCAATAGTGTTCAGCATATTTTGTTCTTGTCATTTCGGGATCATTGATTTCAATACAATATTAAATACAGATTCAGGCGGTGCTGGGGTGCTAAACGATTATGCAGATTTTCAATATCTGTCATGGAGAGATTCGACAAAATCGAATCTGCAACTTTGAAAATTATTTTCATTGCTCAGAAGTCTTATAAAATCTGTGAAATTATTGATTTTAAAGTTATATTGAAATACAATGTAATGCATATTTTTCTTTTTATAAAAACAATATTATTGATATAAAAATGAAATTAATAAGCTGGAAAAAAACCAATGAATTTTCAGAACTACTAAGTGTAACTTACCTTTTCCATTATCAGTTTTGCCGACGAGATTAAAAGACATATAATTTAACATGTACGAGTACGCCAGCCCCTCATACAATGAGCCTGCAGGCAGGAGCTCCTCCAAATTCCTCTCATCTATACCAATAAATTATAAAATTATAACTTAACATTCACATTTAAGACTTAATATATTGTTGCCTTAATTTTATAGGAGTTAAATCGTTATTGAACTATGATGGTGTGAAAAAAGGTGAAGGATATGTTAGAAGAACTGCAAAAACAAGAGTCAGCTCTTGTTGACTTATATGGCCTATTAACAATAACTTTGTGTCAATGCGGGTAAAAATAACCTAATTATAACTTATAGATTCATGTTGCTAAATTTAACTTTAACTCTGTGAATATTTCATATTAAGAAGATAAAACTCGCATCTTTCCGAAGAGATGAAGTGTTTAAATAAGCTTAAAGCTTACAACACAATCGAACTAAAATAAATGTGTATAAACTTTATATACTAGTATTTTCATTTTGCGTTACCCAACATTTGCCTGATACTTTCAAATTTTTATACCTTGCATAGTACTCCACATAGTGTCTAGATAGCAAGGGTCTTCTTCACTTAAAATAGTTATCCATTTTAAACTGTAAGGAATATCTTTCATATTTACACCTTTTGCAACAATAGGTATGACCTGAAAAGAAATATTTTCTTGTTGTATAATATCTTAAAATTGTCTTTTACATATACTATTCAAAAATCTTATTATATCTATATGAAGAAGAAGAACTTTTATATGTAAATTTGAGTTATCATGTCTCTTTAAAAATTATAAAACACAAGTTTGTCCTTTTTCAGAGAAAAAGACAACATTGTTCATTTTGAATTTTGAAAGTGCCTTTAAGAATATAACAACAATAAATAATAGAAAATTATAAAGGTGTTTCAGAATGTCATTTGAAAAGTACAATTACACAATATTTTACCAATATCTTATTTTACCAATAACTTATTCTATCAATATTTTATTTTAGCAATATCTTTCTTTACCAATGTCTTATTTTATCAATATTTAATTTTATCAATGTCTCATTTTATCAAAATGTTATCTTACCAATATATTATTAATAATGAAAAATAATACCCAGCGTAAATACTTTTTTCATTATTGTCCATTTTTTCATTTAAGGCAAGACATTTGCGTAAAACTTTAGACGAAAGTTGAATTAATTTAGCTAATTAGTTGAGCGTACATTAATTTGATTTAATAATAAACCAACCTGCACTTTGTTTTTGGAAATGCTAATTGACATTGCTTCATTAAATTCATGTATCATATTCCCGTCTTTAATTGAAGTGTCAGTCAGAACAAAAATCCTCCAATTTGTATCTGTTGCTTCAAGGTCAGTCTCATCTGACTCGTCGCAGGTAAAATTTACATTGTGCTTTGTTAGAAAGTCTGTTATTTCATCAACCAATGGCTGATTTGTGTTTTTATCTGCAGAGTAAGTCACTGTCACTTTACATGTCTTGTCCTGTAATTAGTTTGTATAGAATGTAAAGTGCAAAAGTATAAAAGTACTGATAATATAACAAAATAATTTGATAAAAAGATAAATTGTATTATCCCTTACAACAATAAATAAAGAAAAAATAACAAGTTATAAAGAAAACCAATTAATAAAGAAAACATGAATTAATAAAGAAAACAACTAATACAGAAAAAAACCAATTTATAAAGAAAACAATTAAAAAAAAGAAAAAATAATTAATTAAGAAAAAATAATAAAGAAAATAATTAATTAAGAGCCAATTAATGTTTTACTTCACAGCCTGCTTAAGATTCGTTTATAAAAAAAGCAGAACATTTCTAAATGTCAAAATGTTACAAAATTGAAAAGTTTTATAAAATGTTGTTTGAAGATATATAAAACTTACACAGTTTTCAAAAACTCCATTTCTTTTTTGTATTGCCTTCGGTTCCTAAAATTGAATAATTTTACTTATAAATTCTGGAATTTGCTATATTTCCAATATAACAGTGTTATGCTAGCCTGTACATCCGTTAAGCATGACTATTTTTTGCTATTCAAATACATGTATATTGTTGTGATATATAAATGACTTTCATTTATAAATCAATAATCATATTTAAGAAAACATTTATTAAATGTTAATAGTAAAAATATTCGAAAAAAGAGAATGTTTATAAGGAGTAAATTCATCAGTAAAGATTTATAAAATTTTCAGTTTACCAGACCATTGAATTTAATATGACGTTAAACTTACAATGTCTGTTAAATTGTTAAGTTCGGCCTCTAATGCTGTCCATATATCCTGAGCAGGACTTGAAGAAAATTTTTGTTCTGAAGTTAAAAAAGAAGGAAGTGTTAAACATTAAATCAGTACGCATAATAAATCCTAAGCAGATACACTTGAGTGACAATTGTTTTAAAAGTTTATATAGGGAAGACAATTGTATATTCTTCTTAACCACACAATATTACTATAATTAAAATAAATAATCTCGGTCTATGGCGATTGATTGTTAGGAATCATAATTACCTTATAATAATATTTTGTTACAATCTATAATTATTAAACAGTATTGCAATCTATTAATGGTTTCTTTTTTATGCAGTCGGCAATTTTAATACTAGCAGTCTTTTCTTTAATGTACAGTCTTTAACACGTTGAACTTCTTCTGTTTATTGTAATCATTTGTTTATTCTTTTCATATCATGTAAACACGGTGATATTGTATTAATTGTATGCAACGAGATCTTTTATAATAAAAGTTATTAAAATAATACAATTATTATTTTCTTATAACATTATAATACTCATATTTTGTAATCATTGACATCTTAAATGGTGAAAGTTTTGGAAATGTTACTGATCTAATTATTTACAATTTAATTATTATATGTAATGGAACATATTTTAAAGTAATGATCCATAAGGAAACTTGCAACATACATTTCTTTATGTCTTGATAAACTTACTATTAAACATTATAATGTTTGCAGTGTCCTTGCATTCCAGGTTACTGCGATGTTCGACTAGTTCCTTCAGTGTCATATAAAACCTGATCACCTGATAGTGTAAATCAATGTTGGCAAAACCCATTGTCTTCATCTTTAACATTGTAGCAATTATAAACGGGCAATCGGCGCAGAAATAGTAAAACTGAAACAGAAAAGGGACAAGGTCAAAGAAAGCTGTATGCATTTGAGCCGTGTCACGACAAAACCAACATAGTGCGTTTGCGACCAGCATGGATCCAGACCAGCCTGCGCATCCGCGCAGTCTGATCAGGATCCATGCTGTTCGCTTACAAACCCTATAGCAAGTAGAGAAACTGATAGCGAACAGCATGGATCCTGATCAGACTGCGCGGATGCGCAGGCTGGTCTGGATCCATGCTGGTCGCAAACACATTATGTTGGTTTTGTCGTGACACGGCTCATTTAGTTTGATAATAAAGATAGATAAAAGTTGACTTTATTTATTTAAACGTGAAATTTGAATTTGGACGTTCTTGACCTTTTTCATGCCTTATTAACATTTTTGTCGTGTGTGAAATTGTTTTATCTGAGAATGAACGGATTGTGCAATGTTATTCATTTTGTCTTCTTTTTTCACTTGAAAAATGTTGGATATCAATGACTTTTACCTCGCTTCCTTTCGTGATTTTGTAAATAGTCAAAGTATATTTTCGTCTCTTGTCACCATGCGTGGCATCAATATCGAGCGTTTTGTCCATCTTTTCTATCACGAAGTTTTCATAACTACCTTCCAGTGGTGTGACGTCACACGATTCTGGTATGACGATAAACATCTTCTTTGAGAATTTGTCAGATGTGAAAATGTCCACTTGCTCAACCGATTTTGAAATGGCTGAAACAAAATTTGTCTTTTATTTTTAATTCGTTGTATGTTTTTCAAATTATGTTTTCTTTTATTCTTTTGTTAACCTTTTCTCCCATTGTTTACAAAAGAAGTTGAAAATTCTGACAACCAACATACGTCATGACGCCAGGAGAGACGTTTAAGAATTGAAACATTATGCAATTTTATCATCAATCTTTATTCTTCAGTTGAATAATTTGTTGGCTACCATTGGGTTAGAACCTTTTTTCTAGTTTAAATGAATATTTCTTGTACTTTCGTTATCATGTTAACTTCAGTCTCTTGTAGGTGAATTGGGATATGTATCATTGCTGATTGATAAGAAATATGTTTAAAATCAGCCCTACTCTATGCAAAAAGAGTTTGTAATGATTGGTTTCATAAAATCTAACAGACTTTAATATGCTGTATAAAACATAAGGTAAATAATAGGACAGAATTAATATTATTAAAATTAGGCTGCCTACCTGGAATTCTAAAATTTGACTACATACCTGGCAGAACATATGTTAAGTAACCACTGAAATAGTTGAACACAAGACCATGTGCAACATTTCCTGCCGGGAGAAGTTTCTGTGTCGGTATGTTCTCTATACATTAAACATAAGTCAGAAAAATAATTATTAAACATGATATTGATGTGACAATTTGAATGGTTTGCCAAATGATACTAAATGATCATCTATATTTGTATAAATATTCATTTCATGAAGTTGGTGTTAAATCATCTTAAATTTAAATTCTTTACCACATACCCCCCCCCCTTAAAAAAATAGCCCATCCAAACAAAACAAAGCAAAACAGAGCTACTTTTTAACACTCTTGACACAATTATTTTATTATTTACATCCTTATTTTGAAACCTGTATTGTTAAAAGTAATAAAACTAGATACATTATATAATTTTAAAAATGAAGTCATTTTTCGGCTATAGTTAGGGAAAACCTTTAAGGACTGCAAAATGAAAGAAAAAATCAAATTACCTTTAATCATTTTTATAAAGGACTCTTTCCAATGCTCTTTGTTAAAATCCACTACAATATCAGGTATTGTGGCCAACATTCCGTGCTTAAATTCCAACCTATCTTTTTCTGAAACGCCTGCAAAAACCAAACGAACGCTCAGAATGTTTCCACGTTGTGAATTCTCCAGTGCTACTTGAGTTTCTAAAGACACCCAATGAGATTTCATGGAATGTTCTGTAACCAAAATCAGCACGATTTCCGCGTGTTTTATGGCATACACAATATTGTCGAATACTGGTTTCCCGATGGTGAATGCATGGCGTTCACTTTTATAGTCAAACGAACTCAGTCCAAATTCTTCAAGTGTTTTGTTTATAATAGCAGCTTGTGAAGAGTCTTCAGCACTATGCACAATAAATACATCAGCTTTTGCTGACTTGACAGTGTCGGTGTCTTCTGATTTCATTTTGTTATTTGTGATGTCTTACAAATCCGTCGAAATTCGATTAAAATGTGTACTGAAATTGTTTTTATAAATACCCTTAAGGAAAATGTTGATGAAACATATTTTATTAATCAATTCAATCAATATTTCAATAAAACATAAACAAATTAAAGAATACAAAAAAAAATAAATGTTATGAATAATCAAATTAATATATATAATAGATTTCAAAAGAATTGCAACGCTTAACCTTCATAATTACTTCATCAAGAACAAGTCAATTATTTGTTGTTTTAATTTTTTTTTATATTTATCAAATTATGCAATCATTTTCTACGAGATTGTTTAATACCACGAATAAAATTCCTAATCTAGCACTTGTAGTCAATTTATGCCGTCATTTTTTTTTCATTTGAAAATTTGCAAATTATATAAATAAAATTCATTTCTAATATTATTTCTAATATAATCTTCATTATAAAATATGACAACAAAGATCACCAATCACGGAGGGCAGCTCCAAATAAGGTCCAGCAATGCACACTTGACCACAGAACAGACTTTTGTACAACTGTTTTGCTAATATTTAAATCACTTATTTTTCTGACAACCTTTTTTAAATTTGCTTTAATTTAACACATGAGTTGTTTTTGTTTTATTATTATTTTTATTAAATATTTTGTTTTATTATTATTTTTATTAAATATTTCGTCTTAAAAAATGTTGAATATATAATCAAATATCCTAGTCCATCTGTTGCTTCTAAAAAGTTATATTTAAAAATCTTCACGAAACAATGATTATTTTTTGTGATCTGTGGTATTATTTGTTACATTATTATTAAAAATGATAAATTTATCACCATTACAAATTAAAAAGAAACAATTCACTTACAATATGCGTCTGTCAGTTATAAATAGTGAAAAATATAACAAATTATTTCCTCGTTTTAGATTAGTAATTACATTATAAATAAATCTATTTAATAAAGATATTCTTTCTAAAGTTTTTTGTCATTGCCCAATCCAAAATATCATTTTCATATTAAATTATATCTATTATCCGAGAATACTTTAAGATTTGCTTTTTAATTGTATGCATGTATATTGCATCGTTGAACACTTTTTTATTATTTCAATTATAACTTTTATTTATTATTTCATTTTCATTTATCCTACAACTTAAATTTAATTTAATAATATTAATTAAAAGCTATAAGTTACCATGAGCCGCAGAAACAAATCATAAAATATAAAGATTTACTTGGAAGGCACGCGGAAATCTTTTAACAGTTCGGAAAGTAATGTGGAAATACCATACGGAAAAGTTATCAGTACGCATGCGCATGTGTAAAAACCTGTTATCTGCATAAATTATGTTGATGTCGGCCATGTTTTCTTTTTTGTACATACGAGTTCATGTATTTGTTTACAAAATAACTTTATAGGTACACCCAATACTATGACTATTTTTTCTCTAATTTAGTTAATATTTAATACATAAAAATAAACAAATTAAAATATTTCAATTTACTTTCTTTTGTTCCATACTTAACATATAGACAAAAATCACGTTGATTTCATACTGTTAAACAATAACTTTTTACTTGAAAAATGTAACATTGCACTCTGAAAAATTAAGGCAAATACGAGAAGGAAGAAAACAGATACAATACTTTCATGATTTTGTTGTAGTTCATTTGAAGGTGCGACACGTACAAATGAAATATAAATGTATTACAAAACTTTTAACATACCAAATACAAACTAAGAATAATAAATCATTGTGATAATTTACTTCATGTGATGACAAAATATATTGTTTCAAGATTTTTTTTCTTATTTAATCCAAAATGATAGTTTATTTTGTTCGGGGCGGTGGTTGTCTGTTGACAAACTGTAAACGATACAAAATCAAGTTAAAATTTTGAAGCAATATATATTTTAAATTCTTTATTTTTTAAACAATCTAAATTAAACAAATGTCCACTTTGAGCCGAAAAATAAGTGCATTACAAAATAACATGTATGGAGTGTGCTTATATTAATATACTTCTTTAATAATCTTATACTGGTGCTTTTTATTTATTTATTTATTTATTTATTTATTTATTTATTTATTTATTTATTTATTTATTTATTTATTTATTTATTTATTCATTTATTTATTCATTTTTGTAGATATGAATAAAAACAGACGTTGATTATATAAAAAAAATTCCTTAAAGATAACATGTATTTTTTTATTCTAGAGTTAAATCACCTTAAATTTGATTATCCTTTGTTTTTGTTTGACATCTTTAAACTAAACAAGAATTTGTCTTGCTAAATATTTCCGCTTATCAAATCTATAAAAATGATATCTACATATATATGAGTATAAATATTTCTGTCATCATTGTACAGTTATTGGATAGATAATTCGATTGTTTAATTTATGTTTTATTTATATTTTGTCAAAATATAACATGTACATGTATATAAAAAAAACGACAACAAAAAATGAGAAAATTGAAAATCGAAGACTCTGTTTTGTTGTTTTATCGAGACATTTCAAGAAAGATATGAACTGTGAAGCGTCTCTCAGCGCCCCCTCCCTGGCACAGCCTAAAGCGATTTTCAAATTTCTATACTTAACGCAATGAAATCAATCATGCCAAAGAGATTTTTTTAAATCTTAATTCTCAATATTTTCAAGTTAGTTTTTACCTGCCTTTTTTAAAAAGTGTTATACTTTTTCAATTCTAGAAACAGTCGAATGCTGTAGTAATTTAATTGAATGCAATTCCACTTTTAATCAAAATTTAAATTAATGTTCTTTTACACACAAAAATACGTTGTCCTAAAACTACAGCACAATTTAACATTTTGTCACACTCTTTTATATATATTGAAGGAATTGACAAAAAACCGCTTACAATTCGTTCTTCCGTCGTCGCTCTAAACTGAAATGAAAAGAGATAGAATTATGAAAAATTAATAGGATATGCTTTACAGGAAACGTAAAATAAAATCAGAAGCTTAAAGAAATTATATATTTATCTTAAATATGACGTGAAATACAGTTTATGATATATATTATCCAAAAATATGTTAGAAACTATGACATTTGTAGTTAGTACGTTTCAAAAACTGCGGTTAAGAAAATTTCTAGGAACTTTAATTTCTTTTCAACAAGCATTTCATTTCCACCAGATGATTTATTGTGTTTCATATTTTGTTACACAAAATATTCCTACCATTTAAATGCGCATTATGTAAATCATGTTTTCCCCTAATGCATTAGGCTTGTAGGTAGTCCGTGTAAAATAATCGTCGTATGAAGTCAAACAGTATTATTTATCATCTCTACTGGTAACGTGTAAACTTCCTCGGTATTCCCATGTTTCATTCCATAGATTTAAATGAATTCAGACACCTTAAAATAACTATGGATATTTCCAACAACTATATATATTTATTGTTTATAACATACATATTTTTGCAATACTTGGCAACAATCTGTCGTTTACGTATTTCCTTTGTTTTTTTTGTTTTTTTTTTTGCTGTTGTTGTTTTTGTTTTTACAAGTTCGTGCATGCATTGAAGTTCTTTTCATATTAAATAACTTAATGGTTCATATTGTGTATTAACATTAATCTTAAGCCAGTACGTCGCTCATATTTAGCTTTTACACATATTAAAGATACTGATAAAAAGAAAGTCAAAATAAAGAAATTTAAATACTAGTAAAGAATATATATGTTAATTGTCATGTTTTATAAATTTTCTGCCCAGCTGTCTGCTGTTCCGGCAGAAAACAATCTAGGGTTATATTCTATTCCAGAAATCACAAGTTATAGCTCTTCATTTAAGCCAAACAACATTTTCATGAAATAAGTCTGATTGTAGTCGTAACCTCATAATTGTTTGATTATGTTTATTAAACATCATGTATATAAAAATAATCACAGTTCGTTATTGTGTTAAAAGTAAAAAAATAACTCTTCACATTTTATATACTAACCACATTTCATTTGAACCAAAAACGATCGATTCATAAACCACAACTTCGGTTCAGTACGCCATCATGCAACACTATCTCTTATCATGCCATACTCCACGTATACATCATAGATAAACCACACGATTATTATAGTAGTGGTGGAAGTAGTGTTACCCCGGATCACGACAGTTAGCAAAGTGACCTGCACCGTCCGGTTATCGAACAAGGATCGATCGATTTTCAGTCCAACGATTAGTTTGTTTTTGTTTTATTTATACTCGACACCGGAGTTTACCGTATGTCTCAAACCTACACGACCTTGTCGATCTGCTGAGTGTAGCTGCAACCATCGGGGACGTCTTGAAATACTGCCAAGGCATCCGTGTTTCGTAACAACGATACTTTGCAGGACCACACTCTCCCGAGTTAGTCACGAGAGGTCAACCAATCATCCCTGGTACATCGGAGGAATTGACCTTGACCTGCCGCGTAGAGGAATCTGGACCTATGCTCTACCTAACCACACGGTCTTCATTAACCTCGCCTACTTAACTTCATTTTTTACATTAACAACACCTCCTTTCATGAAACACACCAGCTTTATATATTAACCGCATCGTTTTGTAACTTTAACCACACTTATATTTTTACATTTACCACATCAAAATTTGACATTAAAACAAACCACATTTCATTAACCACGCCATTTTTATACATTAACCGCAACGTCATTTTACATTTATAACACCAAACTTTTACATTCATCACCTCGTCTTTACATTAACCACAGGTACGTATAATATTAACCACATCGTCTTTTTACATCATTCACACCATCTTCCGTTTATCATATCAGCTCGATATATGAACAAAATGTGTTTTCTTTAACTATAAACACAATTTACATAAACCACATCACCATCTCGCATTAACTACATCATTACATATATCACACAAGCTCTTGATTTCATCGTGCAGTCTTGAACCACACGTCCTTAAACATTTACCACATTAACTTGTTATACTAACTAAAACATCTTTTTACATTTGCCTCATCTAATTTTTCACATTCTTTTTTATTATGTCGCACCTTGCGACCTTTCTGAGTTTCAAGTGCGACGTAAAACGCAGCTGAAACGTCATGGACACCGTAAGTTCGTGCTGGAAAGGACTCCAGCCATCGCGAGGATCCAATCATTGTCTCAGCATTACCACGGCAACAATACACAAAAACAAGGTTCGGCGTTCTCAGAGCATCCCAGGAAAAGAATACTCTAGGCCGTGGCCCAATAGTCACGGTAGACACATAATGAACAATCAATGTGCGCACTGTAGATGTCGCATAGTCGTCGTGTTAACGCACACAAATTACATTGTACATAAAAATCTATGGCGGCATCAGTGCGTTTGCAGTGCAGCCAGGTAGTTTTCTTTATGACGTTTCTAGGGCGTCCTTGCGGTCGTGGTGAAGACGCCTTAAAACGCCATAGTTGCCGTAGCATGGTGGTGTTCACTATAGACACACACAATGTCGTAATAATGCCATAAAAAACGCCTATGTACTTCGTGTAAATGCAGTACAAACTCCAAAAACGTTATGTAAACGCACAAAGCGAGACGACAATGTGACAGCTGGCTGAATTTTGCAATTAAAAAAGGACATTGGGGTTCCTAGTGAGAGAAAAAATACCGGGATAATACCATGTCGGTGTCACGTTGGTTCTATCTGTTACTGGACTCACTATTATCATTGGAAGATGTAAGTTTTTATTTGCAAAACATTTAAAGTCATCTTTAGAAATTATAAAAAAAACAACATAAGTATGCTTCTTATAAACAGAAAAATGCAAGAAGACGCAAACATTAAGTTATTTAATTGGCCCCCTTAACATGTTTAATCACCATAGCTAGATGTGACATTGAAATCTTCTGCGATAGATACAATTTTCATTGTTCAACTTAATAAAGATTTAAATGATATTAAACCATGTATATAAAAAATGACACGTAGTTTGTACGGAAAATCCAACCAAAATTTATTAAGTATGGCAACAGTTTGTGGTAATTTATCATTAGCTGGTAAAATTTCCAGTGGGATATTTTAAACGGAATCGTGTCAACCGTACAAGGTAAAGTATAGAAATCGTAGGCTATTTATAATACATGAATATGGATTTTAAAATCGAAACTAGATTAACATTAACTCCGATATCATTTATTCAACTAACAAAATATCCCTCAGATAAGTTTTATATATTGCCAAATGTTTTCATTCCGTAACCCCCCCCCCGTCCCCTCCCCGCCATTCCACACAAACACCCGGATGTATAAAGAAATTACATGTTTAAAGGTACATGTAGGTTAATTACGGGAAAACCCAAATGGAATTTAGTCGCGTATAAACCAAATAGGAAATAATGCTATATTTATCTCGGTTAGGATTAAGTAAGCATACATTTGTTTAATATTTTTCCTGAATAAAATAGTAAAAAACAGGAAATTAATATTCTTTGACGTTATGAATTTGATTATAAAAAAGCAATTTTGAGTGGTTTCAATTATTCTATTTTCGACTAGGAACTCGACTTGAGTTACAGATAAAAATCTATTGTTAAATAGAATGTCCTGTTGTTAATGTCGTCTGCTTTTGGACATTATGTGATATTTGAAAAGGAAAAAAAAGGTATGTGTTTCCTACTAGTTTCGAATTTATAAGTTTTATTTTAGATAAGATTTAAAATGACGCAAATAATTTTAGTTTTAATTCATTCGGAACACTTATCATATCTAATTAAGCATATTAAATATCAGGGGCATTTAGTCAAGTGTAAATGTATTTCGTAAATGATATAGATATAGATATTCGATTGGAAGAATTAATGGACCGTGCTGGCATATAATCCGTACATTCGAAATGAAGAGGGGTATCTGGGTCAGTCTTTACTTTCGGTTTGTTCAAAAGTGAAAATCAGTCAATAAATAATGTACAAATATTTTACATGATAGGATGACACCGTTTTAGAAAACAATAAAAAGGGTTAGATGGGATAAAAAGATCAATAAGTCGTAATAATTATGTACGTGCACTATTTATATTTTTATCGATTGAAATAATTATTGACAAAAATCAAGTTAATTATTTGAGCCGCGTCACAACAAAACCAACATAGTGGGTTTGCGACCAGCATGGATCCAGACCAGCCTGCGCATCCGCGCAGTCTGATCAAAATCCATGCTGTTCGCTATCAGTTTCTCTACTTGTAATAGGGTTGGTAAGCGAACAAAATGGATCCTGAACCAGCCAAAAGTACACCAGTACTGGTATCATATCTTGAACCAGCAGGTTTCGAATCCTCTATCCCTAGGGTAAGAGACAGGCACCTTAAGCACAAGAATTTTGTGATTTTATATAAACTATTAAACTTTTTTAATGGTGTCATTATCAGTTGCACATGGTTGATTATTTGTATTTATATACCGACAGATTAAATTTTTGTGGCTAAAATTATAGCAACATTTGATAAAATTCTAAGAAAGTCGGCAAGTCAACTTATTAAAAACCTTTAGACAATCGTAACCTTTCGGCACTTTCCGTCAGACTTCGGTAAAGAACTTACAATAATGAAGGTATGAAAACAAAATTTATCCGCATAATCGTTTTGTCATTATACTTGTACAAGTTATGTTAAAGTTAACGGTGGCAAAATCTGTGAATAAAGGCCATCTAAAGGAGCATGGTCTTTATTGCCAAGTGGTATCTATTTGGAGATGATAATGTACTGTTTTATCAATGCAGGTTTGTCCAAAAGTGTCCTTTATTCACATGGTGATCTTTATTCGGAGGTGGTTTTTAACATAGGTTTGACAGCATTATATTTGTGAAAACACAAAATGAATGAAGTATATAATAGTTCGAATATTTTCTGACCCCCCCCCCCTTTCCCCGCCCACTGAATTTATCGCGATGAGATAAATAGGGATTGTTAAACCCTTGGCAGTGAAAGAAATTCGTGATTTCGAAAACGCTAATCTCTCAGACATGGGAAGGCTGCCGTTGTTGTAGTCAGACTCTACGGACCTACTGAATGAGGCTGGCTCCATACCGGTGACCTTGACCTGCCACTATTGTCTCTAACGTTCTATCATAGGTTAAACTGGTATCTTAACCATCACATGTATCTCATACTGCATGTTTTTAAATAACTTTATTTCTAGATGTTAGGAAGTTTTTTCTGAGAAGACTAGCTGTCCATTTGTAGAAGAGTGGGTGACATAATGGCGTGTCTCACAAAATCGGGTAAAGAAGTCTATTTTAATCTTACATATTTCAATAAAAAATCTGTTTAAAGGGGTGCAATTTAAACAATTAAATTATCACAATTCAGGTGTGTTTTAATAGATTGTTCCCTATAAACTTACCACGACTCTCTTGCGACTCTCTTGTTTTACTCGACTCTTTTGTTTTACCACGAGTCTCTTGTTTTAGCACGACTCTCTTGTTTTAGCACGACTCTCTTGTTTTACCACGACTCTCTTGTTGTACCTCGACTCTCTTGTTTTACCGCGTCTCTTTTGTTGTACCTCGACTCTCTTGTTTAACTCGACTCTCTTTGTTTTACCACGAGTCTCTTGATTTAGCACGACTCTCTAGTTTTCCCGCGAGTCTCTTGTTGTACCGCGAATCTCTTTGTTTTACACGACTCTCATGTTTTACCACGACTCTCTTGTTTACCGCGACTCTCTCTTGTTTTACCGCGACTCTCTTGTTTTACCGCGACTCTTAGTTTTCTTTGTTTAACCGCGACTCTCTTGTTTAACCGCGACTCTCTTGTTTTACCGCGACTCTCTTGTTTTACGACGACACTCTTGTTTACACGTGACTATCTTGTTTTACCGCGAGTCATATGTTTTTACCGCGACTCTCTTGTTTTACCGCGACTCTCTTGTTGTATCGCGACTCTCTTGTTGTACCGCGACTCTCTTGTTTTATCGCGAATCTCATGATGTTCCACGACTCTCTTGTTTTTACCACGACTTTGTTGTTTAAATTGCGAATCTCTAGTTCAGCACGGCTCTCTTGTCTTACCACGACTTTGTTGTTTAACCGCTAGTCTATTGTTTTACCACGACTCTCTTGTTTTACCTCGGGTCTGTTGCTTAAATGCGAATCTCTAGTTTTACCGCAACGTTCTAGTTTTACCACTACTCTCTTTTTTAACAGCATCTCCCTTATTTTACCGCTACTCTATTGTTTTACCACGACTCTCTTGTTTTACCACGACTCTCTTGTTGTACCTCGACTCTCTTGTTTTACCGCATCTCTTTTGTTGTACTTCGACTCTCTTGTTTTACTTGACTCTTTTGTTTTACCACCAGTCTCTTGATTTAGCACGACTCTCTAGTTTTCCTGCGAGTCTCTTGTTGTACCGCGAATCTCTTGTTTTACCACAACTCTCATGTTTTACCACGACTCTCTTGTTTTACCGCGACTCTCTTGTTTTACCGCGACTCTCTTGTTTAACCGCGACTCTCTTGTTTTACCGCGACTCTCTTGTTTTACCACGACACTCTTGTTTACCGTGACTATCTTGTTTTACCGCGAGTCATATGTTTTACCGCGACTCTCTTGTTTTACCGCGACTCTCTTGTTGTATCGCGACTCTCTTGTTGTACCGCGACTCTCTTGTTTTACCGCGACACTCTTGTTCACCGTGACTATCTTGTTTTAAACCGCGAGCCCTATGTTTTAGCGCGACTCTCTTGTTTTACCGCGACTCTCTTGTTGTTATCGCGACTCTCTTGTTGTACCGCGACTCTCTTGTTTTATCGCGAATCTCATGATGTTCCACGACTCTCTTGTTTTACCACGACTTTGTTGTTTAATTGCGAATCTCTAGTTCAGCCACGGCTCTCTTGTCTTACCACGACTTTGTTGTTTAACCGCTAGTCTATTGTTTTACCACGACTCTCTTGTTTTACCTCGGGTCTGTTGCTTAAATGCGAATCTCTAGTTTTACCGCAACGTTCTAGTTTTACCACTACTCTCTTTTTTAACAGCATCTCCCTTATTTTACCGCTACTCTATTGTTTTACCACGACTCTTTTGTTTTACCACGACTCTCTTGTTGTACCTCGACTCTCTTGTTTTACCGCGTCTCTTTTGTTGTACCTCGACTCTCTTGTTTTACTTGACTCTTTTGTTTTACCACGAGTCTCTTGATTTAGCACGACTCTCTAGTTTTCCCGCGAGTCTCTTGTTGTACCGCGAATCTCTTGTTTTACCACGACTCTCATGTTTTACCGCGACTCTCTAGTTTTACCGCGAGTCTCTAGTTTTGGCACGACTCTCTTGTTGTACCACGACTCTGTAGTTTAACCGCGAATCTCTAGTTTTACAACGACTCTCTTGCTTTACCACGACTATCTTATTTAACCGCATCTCTCTTATTTTACCGCGACTCTCTTGTTTTACCGCGACTCCGTTGTTTAACCGCGACTCTCTAGTTTAACCACGAGTCTCTTGTTTTACCGCGACTCTCTTGTTTTACGCGACTCTTTTGTTTTACCTTGAGTCTCATGTTTTACCTCGAGTCTCATGTTTTACGCGACTCTCTTGTTTTACCACGACTCTCTTGTTTTACCGTGATTTTCTTGTTTTACCGCGACTCTCTTGTTTTAAGCCGCGACTCTCTTGTTTTACTGCAACTCTGTTGTTTAACCGCGACTCTCTAGTTTTACCGCGAGTCTCTTGTTTTACCGTGACTCTCTTGTTTTACGTGACTCTTTTGTTTTACCTCGAATCTCATGTTTTATCTCGAGTGTCATGTTTTACCGCGACTCTCTTGTTTTACCACGACTCTCTTGTTTTACCGCGACTCTCTTGTTTTACCGCGACTCTCTTGTTTTACCGCGACTCTCTTGTTTTACCGCGACTCTCTTGTTTTACCACGACTCTCTTGTTTTACCGCGACTCTCTTGTTTTACCACGACTCTCTTGTTTTACCGCGACTCTCTTGTTTTACCGCGACTCTCTTGTTTTACCGCGACTCTCTTGTTTTACCACGACTCTCATGTTTTACCTCGAGTCTCATGTTTTACCACGACTCTCTTGTTTTACCGTGACTCTCTTGTTTTACCGCGAATCTCTTGTTAGACCCCCTTTATTTATCTTAACTGATTTACAATATGAACTGTCAATACGAGTATGAACAATATTGCTATCTTTTTAGATAGTTAACATAATAATGCGAAAATTAAATTTGCAATATATTTAGTCCAGGATGATAATTTAGCATCCAGATTACTTTTTGTGAACGTCAATATGTTTAATTTAAAGATGGATCACCTACCACCGCTTGTACAACAAACAAGAAGGAGTATGATGCTTTTATCGTATACAAAACGGATGCTGATTATGAAATTGCCCGTTGCATAGGCACAACTCTTGAGGAACATTCTTTAAAGGTTTTAGCACATTGGAAACAAGAGGCATTCCCTGCAGGCCAAAACATATTTAATAGTATTGTTAGATGTGTGCATAACTCAGCAAGGACAGTTGTCATACTAACGAAGGATTCGTTGGAGAGCCCATGGGTTCTTCTTGAAATGGTTCAGTCAATTGACCAATCGCAGCAAAGCAATATTTTGACCTTGAGACTTATTGTAAATGACGTCAAAGACGAGGACCTAGATTACCTGAAACGGGGTATACTAGCGACAGTTCCACATTTCCGTCTGAACTTTAATGACAACAAATGGGAAGAAATGCTGGTTAAAAATATTACCCGTAAGTTTCTTAAAGTAGTGTACAGTATGGCAATGCCACGTGAAATATGATGTCAATTGTGGTATAGCTACACTGGTGTATGTTGCAGATTAGCGTCCATATTTAAAAGAGACATCATTACACATTAGGCTTGATTTCATTGTAAAACAAAGCATGTTCCCGAAATTTGTTTTAAATAATAAGATATTGATCGAAAAAAGAAGTTAAACACAGCAATTAAAAGTAAGAATTCCTATTAGATATTAGATTTTTGCATGTTCATGCCATTTCCTCATTTTAACGAATGTATTTAATCTTTAGGTATTAACCACTGATACTTTTTTAAAATTTATATTAGATCTGATCTTAATCTGACCAAGTCACATAGTTTTTCACTAATAGTGACTTTTTTATTATACTACAAGAAGCTATCGTAGAACAATATTACATAATACTCTTACTAGTGTATGGAACACCGCGACTGTATTACAATGATCACATAAGACAGTCACGGCGTTCCATACTTCCATACTAGTGTATCTTAACCCATCTACTTTAAACATTCAATTGTCTTAATCCATGCCAAGTTCTGCTTGCACGGGCTATATTTAAGCTATTGCTTGCTGATCTTGATCGTTCAGAAATGATAACCGGTTAAGATCATATATATTTTATTTCACTATACAATCGCCATCTACTTTACTCGTATTAGTAATGTCATGTTATTATTCACTTAAGGTACACCACCCCTAATGGGCAGTATAAGGAACTGTAAAATTGACAACATACTACAGTTATATGTCTTAAAGGTCACCTGTATGCAAAATTTAAACAAAATTTACCGTGTGGTTAATGAGTTATGGGTATTTTTCTAAACTATATTCGCTATAAGTAGAGCAACTTTTCAGAAATGAGGAAACTCTAAATTATCTAAAATATCATCATTATGAAAAATGTTTTCCTATTGCTCATTGTTAAGAAACAAATAATAACATTCAGGTAACAAATAACACGAGCAAAATGATTGTTTCTATCTAAAGAAAATGTTTTTTTAATATGTTTAAAAATGTTACCCTAAACACTTATTTGACCATTTCTCTATGTTAAAAGCATTATTCAAAATATCCCTATAAATATCATATACAGACTTGTATTATTTTACAGAGGATGTACCATTGCCAAATATTTTGCCACTAGAAGGAAGCCTTGCACATGGTTTGGTATTTTCTCATTATGTTGGATATTTGTCGCATGTTCTTCCTGGTAAGTTATTTTCTGTTACAAAGGATTGTGTGTTTTTTCTTCTTAAAAATGGATTATTTGTCATAATTGATGAATGTATATCTAAAAAAATTAATCTTGATACATTTTAAAAATATACATGAATGAATACATTCATCTTATAAGAAGAAATAACATTCTCTATATTGTAGTTCTAAAACAGACGATAGAGCAGACTTCAATATTTAGAGCTCACCCTCAGCGGGTATCTAGAAAGTACCACATCTTGCTTCCAAAAACATGCGACGTTAATGGAAGTTTTGAAAGCTATGATGACCAAAATAAAATCCGTATCAAAAAGCAAGACATAACAGAAATCAAGAAATCCCATGTCGGTAAACCAAGAATATACAAACTAGTAATATACGAGATTACTAAAGAATGTGAAACTGGGGACGAGGTATATGTAATTCTATAAAAGTTAAACTTTTTAAAGTCGCTCAAAACATTAAAAAAATATGTATACTTTGTAAATAAATTTGATTATATTGTGGATAAAGAAAGGTAAAAATACAGCACTTTTTGTAGAAAACATTGTGATGGCAAAACATCAAATTTAATTAACTAAGATCTTTATAACGAGACTGTAACGCTGTGATGTCTGATTAATTTTGTCCTTTACATGTTACAGACTGCGTCGAAATATGTTCCAGATTTGGACGTTATATGTTCCAGACTAGGAGAAATATGTTCCAGACTAGGACGTAGTATATGTTCCAGACTAGGATGTAGTATATGTTCCAGACTAGGACGTAGTATATGTTCCAGACTAGGACGTAGTATATGTTCCAGACTAGGACGTAGTATATGTTCCAGACTAGGACGTAGTATATGTTCCAGACTAGGACGTAGTATATGTTCCAGACTAGGACGTAGTATATGATCCAGACAAGGACGAAGTATATGATCCAGACTCGGATGTTCCAGACTAGGGCGTTATATGTCACAGACAAGGACGTAATATGTTCCAGACTTGAACGTCATACATTCTATTCCTGGATATAATATATTTCAGACTTGGACGTAAAATGTTCCAGACTTGGTCGTTATATGTTTCAGACTTGGACGTAATATGTTTCAGATAGGTGATATGCTTATCGTTCTCGTTTATTTATCTAGATATTTAGATATATTTATTTATGATAATATGTCTCTTAATAGTTTTCTTCTATTTTATTTTTATTTTTTTTTTGTTTCAGGGCTATTTCTTCTTTGCCGATTGTCCGTATATACTAAATGCCATGTTTGTTATGAACAAGGAACGTTTGAAAGTAGTTGATATGCGTCACCAATTAGCGCAGCTTCAATATATTCTAGGAGAAGTTATCAATCATGCTGAAAATAATGATTGTTTTGGAACAGTGAAATTAATTCTATATGATGGTATTTATTGTTTTTTTCTATTGAATATTCTTATATTATATCAAATAAAAATCTGAAAATTGTTGAAACGTAAAAATTATGACTATTTTAGTATAAGGTAGACCCCTCGAACGCAAAGAAAAATTAAGAAAATGGGTGAAAGTCAATAACTCAATTTGATTGAGTGTGCCAATGCGAGAGAATGGAAAGAGCATCAGCCTACTCTGCACTGGTTTTGTCAAATCTATTTATTCAATAATAGTAATAACTTACAAACGCATTTCCATAAACCTTGTGATCTTGTCGGCTAAATACGTACCTGCGTGTGCAACTCTTTTCCTTTTAATCTTTAACCTATATAAGTCGTTTATTTATTTGATTTTACAACTATTACAATTATTATCACTTAGAAAATGAGGGGACGATGCAATCAGCGCTGTATAATGCTGTCAAAGAAAGTATCGAAGCGGAGCTCAAAGAGGATACGCAAACCGAGGATCTGTCTGATACTTTTGAGGTAAATCAAAAATTTATGTGTGCTGCCATACAAATATATTCTTTTTGGGTGCTTTGCAAAAGATATATTCATCAAACAATAAAATGGTTTGATCGTTAGACCAGACCTTAAATGGGTGAATAACAATGTAAGGAACTTCGGTGTCGAGAGAAAATGATACTATAATGTAAATAGTGTTTTTAGATATTTTTGAAAGCATCACTGCTACTAAAATTACAGAAAGGTGTGTATATACAAATGTACCATCTTTAAACAGTTACCCAGTTCAACATTTTGCTAATCTGTAGATTATATGTACTGAACAGTTACTTTACTTTACTTTTCCTTCTTTTACGTAGAAAGATTTGTATGTTCGCGAGGTTGATGCGAAAACTGAAATTTCTGCTTCAAAAAATACTTCAACATATGATGACCATGAGGTTGCCATTAATTACATGAAAGATTCACATACTGAATGTGAAGTGGCTGACAAGTTAAACAAGTTTTTTGAAAGTAGAAACATGTCTGTGTATCTTGACAGAGGCAATGAAAGAGAACTTTCTAGACGTCCGGCTAAATGGCAAATTTTTCTGCTCTCAGAAAACACCTTTACAACGCCAAATACCTTATTATACAGATGTTCTGTAATGCTACGTGAAGGCCTAATGGATAATGCATTGCGAGTTATACCTGTACTTAATGGCATTGAAGTAAAGGACATACCACGCTATATCAAATGGGTGACCGTAGTTAGTGCGTCAGAGCCAAAGTACTGTGAGAAAATCTACATGACAATGAAAGGTAAATACACCGATCAAGGAATATAAAATGTATTTGAACATTTTAACAAAGATTTATACAGCCTTTTGGTAAATATAAATTATTTCTTTAATTTATTTGACTTTTCCTTATTTTTGTATTCTACAAAGGTAAATTATAAAAGCAAAATATTCTGGCGGATTGAACCACGGTAGTTAATCGCCCTCGATCATCATGGCAAACCATTCGTAAACCAATCAAAGACATACTTATGTATCATCCCCAATATATTAATTATATAAGACGGGATTTGAAATTGTTCAGTTTTTTTTTTCATTTCTTTCATATTTTTAAAATTATGAAACATTCAGATATTGGTTTGGTGATTTAGGATACAAAAAGTGATTTTTAATCCATCTTCCAATTATTTGCATCTATTTTCTAATTTATTAGCGGAAGTTTCTTTTGGAAATGGTGAATTTTTAACATGTGTAGTTTAATAAAACATATTTTAATAAAGACAGTTACTTCATAACCTATTTCGTGGGACACATTTTTGTCTAAATACCTTTACAACTTTATACTGGTAATTGATGGGAAACATGGTCATGTTCCCAAATTTGGCTAGAATTAATGATTCTTGAAAAAAAGATACCTTTATAACTTGGTCAACGCTGCACATTCTATTATTCACTTCAGGTGGTATTGTAAGAATGGAGCACCGCTTGCCATCAGGTGATGTAGCTACAGGTTTAGCATGGGCTTATGTGATCAATTACTTGATAATCACACTTCTAGGTTAGTATTTTTATTAAATTAGAACTATTAAAGAGAATTTACAAGAAACTTTACACTCAATGCTTAGTTCTAGTTGGATCCAGAAACGGGTTCGAGTGTTTCAATCAGCTTAAAACATTGAAGTAAAAATCAACAAACCTAGCTAACCATCCAAAAGATGTTAACATATTTATAAAGGATGTATGTGTAATTCTGTAGTGTTAATGTGATATAAAGTCATTAAACCTTTCAGGATTAAATGCTACTCTAGGCATTTGAAGAAAGATTTTGAATATACCGTGTGCAATATTGAAACTTGAATTCTTATGATGCATATGTAAGTTTGTAGCATGCTAAAACTCCATAAAATATTATTTCTGATTTTCCTCATTTATTTTAGATGTTAGCAACCGTGTCAAGGAGTTTTTGACAGAAAAGAAAATAGATTGTGGATGTATATTGAAGATGTTCCCGGTGTTACCAAAGTCATGTACAGTAGAGGATTGGTTACTCAAGAAAGCAAACGAAGGGTAAACTTTGCTGCAGTCATGTTTTTTCATTACATTTTAAAAATATGACACTCTATCTTTCTGTCTATAATCATACGATAACTTATAACTAACTTCTTTGTTTCTCAATGCATCAAACTTAACTACAGAAAAAAGGTTATAAACAGAAAATTTCAGGCTAAGGTTACTTTACCATGTCCAATATCAATAGTTTTCCTAAAATCAATTTGGTTTCAGAGTAAAAGCCAATGACAAAGTTGTTGAACATCTTGGAATGTTGAAGCCAGTGATCAAAGACACCGGTGGACAACTGAAACGTCCTTTCTATCTTCATGTTTACAAGATAACCGATCATGTCAGCCGGAAGGTTTGTTTTGATTTACCTTATTTAATTATAATGTTTTGTGTGTAGGCAGATTGCAAATAGAATGAAACATTCATTAGATACACTCAAATTATTCCCATAGGTATCAGGATCTCTTGAAAAGTATTAGCGTTTCATCGATCATTATTATTATATAAAACAGGTTAAGGAAATATCCAGGTCCAATTGCAATAATGATGAAAAGTGGAAGAAGCAAGATAAAGTCTACACCGATAAAATTTAGATTTAATGTTATTTCTGATGTCAAATCTTTTTTCAGTTCTTTTATTACATTTTCAGAATTAGTCTTCTTCAGATAATAACATCTAAGCATGTATTTATGGAGAGCAGGGCTTTTAAAAGATGGCATACAACCTTAAGATGCATGACTGCGTTTCTTATTCCTCCAATACTGTTGTTGTTTTTTCAGTCGGTGTGCTTCATAGCAGAGTATTTTACGCCAGGACATTGTCTACATGGGATGGCATACAGCTATCCCTTTGCTGGACTAACGACAGATGAAATGTTAGTTCAGGGTAAACGTACAGTTGAGCTTGTCACAGACATTTTACAACTTCCATCTGTGAAACATAAACTTGGTGACATGTCCAACTTAGTTGATATCATTTACTACGATGGTAAGAATTATCTTTCGATATTTACATTTATACATTTAATACATTAATAATTTTTTTCTGATGTTTTCTCATGTTTATTTTCATATTAATACCTCGATTCTGTGATAATAAATTTCTCATTTATAGAAAATTTCACCTTTGTACATACAACCTATACTGTGTTAATGCGACGAAAAACCAAACAACAACAACAAATTATCATGTAAATCAAATGTTTATGTATAAAGTATTGTTTAAACTCATATTAACAAAAGAACAAAAAAAAACAACACAAAAGCACCCATTTTCATCTTCATATCCCCGCAATTGATAATGGACAGTTAGTACAATGGATAAACTAGACAAAGCAGTTGGACAAAGTCATTAGAGGAGGTTTAAAAATGTTTCTGAAGCGTTTCTTAACTCAACGTGCATTGACATTTAAACATTTTTAACTAGTTTGTTATTTGATGCAATAAAAATCCTTAATGAAAAGAAGAAAAATGTGTTTTTTATTACCTTGAGATGGTTAGGTAATTTTCTTTCTTTTAAATTATTTTTCATAAAAAAAAACAAACACTTTAAATGTTTGAAACCGACTGAAACATATATGTCCCATACATATTTTGATGTATCTTACGTAATTATCGTCGAGCTTGAAATATGAATATACTTATGTGTAAATAAATATACAGAATCGCATTTATAAGATATATTTATCTGGTTACAGATGGTCAGGAAACATTGATGTCGGCATTTTGTAGACATATTTTTGAAAGCAAGAATGGAACACAGAGCATGATATATGCAGAAGGAAGAGAATCAAGTATTAAGTAACATAAGAAATTCACAGTCGTGGTAAAAAGGAAATGATCTGATTTCAGCTTTAATGTAAAGTGCAATGAAAACACCTATAAAGAAGCAAATATGAGCCTTTATTTCAACTCATTGTGATATTTATTAAATCTTGGGGAACATTTATTACACATATGTACATGCAAAACAGATAAATGAGGAAATGACCAATGCCAATACTATTATCATTCAAAAGATATCATTAACAATATGACCTATTTTGCTTGACAGTTTTTGTGTGCGCATATAATAGTTATTTAAATGGTTTACAAGTAGAGATACACTCCTTTTATGCACTTCAAATACTGAAAAGCTTTCTTCGAGTGATTTGTATTGTGAGGGGTGGAGATATCACATCAGTGAATTTAGCTGTCGATACATGCGTTTGCTTACTGCGAGTAAGTGAATAAGTGGAAACTGATTAAGCCATTGTAACAGCATTTATATGACAAGGGTCTGGCGGTTTTGGCGATCACTGGTAAACCAATTACCAAATCAATTCATAGATTTATAGAAAACTCACGTGCCTATTGGAACAACATGAACATGCTGTTGTTTTTTAAAAATGAGTTGCAGTCACGGTGTAGCTGGGTGATCACTGTTATAGCGGGATGATAACTGGTGTAGCTAGGTGATCACTTGTGTAGCGAAGTGATCACTTTTATAACGGAATGATCACTGTTATAGCTGGGTAATCACTGATGTAGCTAATCAGTCCATCTATGATTTGATACAGCTAGAACATGCGGATTGGGTTTTGTGTGTGTTTTTATTTTATTTTATTTTTTTTTATTTATTTTTTTTTCTTTCTTTATTTTTGCAAATTACGAGTATGTCTTACAGTATAAGCATTGTGATATTTGTAAGAATGTAATGTTGTTTATAATATATGTTGGTATAATACTCATATCATTCTCATGTCTGTATATAACTTTCACCATTGTATGACAATATTAACTACAAAAACAAATTTCGAAGATCTTGTGGTTCCTTATCATCTCGAAAATGAAAAGAAGATTGTCAGGTTTGCATAAGAGTTAATGATCCTGTATAATTTAATTCAGGTTGTATACCACACTTAAGTGAAAAAATATATATATGTATATAATTATGCTTCTTAAACAATTTTCGAACATCGAAGAATATCTAAAATACGTACTGCAAATATTTGTCAACATTATATGTAATCATTAAAATATATGCATTCATTGCTTATTGAAAAAATGACTTAGACTTTAAAGAAAATAAATTTCTAATGACATCCCTTTATTTATGAAATGTAATTTCGGTAATATCTTTACAAATAATGCTTTTTGGAACTTAAAATTTAGCTAAATCTTCATTTGAGCATTATATTTATGATTTCCAGTAAACCATAAAAAGTTGAGCTACAGGAACTTTAATGTAAGTTGATGCCAAATTACGACCTTAAGTCTTCTTTTTAAGAACACTTTATTTGATGAATCTATAGACATATAAACATTGTAAACATGTTTTGTTGCTAATAAACAAAAATTGATTCATTTTTAACTGGTTGTTTCTTCTCATTTTTGTTCAGATGTTATCTATTACATTAGTACCTCGCTATCAATACAGTGTTCCGTTTGGACATTAAAGACCTTTTTGACATGGTCCGTTGCTACGCAAAATTGAGGATGAAGTATTTGCTCACGCATGCGCAATCTGCGTAGGGTAAAATATCATAGTCATGCATATAAGTGTTATAGACAGTCATATACAATCCCACGGCACCGTCCAGTTAGCTCAATATATACAGCCTTGGACTGTGAATCGGGGGACCCGGGCGATGCACATCATATTCGTTGTGATTGATCATGAACTTTCTATGGTCATTCGCTCTGGGAGTTACGAGGGGTGTTCAAATATGAATGCAACTAGGCCAATATCTCGCTTTTAACTACGTTTTGCACGAACTATGTACATGTACCGCATAATTAGTTGTGTAAGCTCTCAATTGATATAATACATGTGTAAATCAGTTCAGTCTAGCTTTGACAATGGCTCGATTAATGCTATCTACTCGTGTATACTAAAGCTAAAATGGTTAGGGAAAGGTCTCCGTTCACTGAACAATACGGTCCTATATAAAGAACCGCTGTATTCTCGGTATACAGGCGAAATACATATTTAATGAATATGTCGTGTTTATGGGAACAATGAACTTTTTCATCTGTCACACGGTGGTGTAAGAAATTTAAAAGTGGTGTGGATTCAGTTAAAGATGAATCTCATTCTCGCCGTCCGAAAACTACAATTTCGCCAAAAATGGTTAAAGATTACAGGATTTGATTGTTACTGATTCAAGATTTACAACTAGGTATATAGCGAAATGCGTAGCTATCTCTGTGGAACCGCACATACAATTCACAGACGTGATTTAAAAAATGAGAAGGATGAGTGCCAGATAGTTACCCCATCTCCTTACAAAAAAGGAAAAACTTGCTCGGGTAAGAATATCCAAAACATTGTTGAAACAGTTCGTCGATCTTTCGCAAATTGTCATCACTGGCGATGAGACGTGGATCCCAAGCGAAAGATACATACCAAAATACGGGCAACCAAAGGAAGTCAAAACCTTGCATAGCAAAACGCACCATGGCCATGAGATTCAGAAAGGACATGTATGTAATATTCTTTACCAATCAATGTCCTGCTATTTATATTGCCGTACCAAAGGGAAAATCTGTAAATGCCAAGTTTTACAGAGGCAAGGTCCTTCATAAATTAAAAAAAATATTTCAAAATCCGTCGACCAGCAACTGGTCTCCATGGGTTCAGGTTTTTGCATGACAATGGTTGGTCACAAAAAGCGGCCATTGTACGATAATATCTGTTACAGTAAAAGGTTGTCGAGCTTCCTCGCCCTCTTATTCACCTCATCTTGCCCCTTGTGACTATTTCTATTTCCGAGGCTCAAATAATTATTTTGGCACTGTTTGTTAAGCACTTCTGAAAATTGACCCAGTTGCAGTCATATTTGAACATCCCTTCTGACAACGTTGTCTGTTGTTAGTCGGGGAACATAATTTCGAATTGTACTCATAAAGACAACTTCAATGAAGTAGAACTAACAATTAGGCGAACCATTATTTGTAGATGTATACGATGCATACCAAAACATTAACTTAAAGGCGACATTGATTAAATTGTTTATCAATACAGTCTAGTCTTATTTTCAGAAAGATAAGTTATTATAATGGCGACCTTTTCATTGTTTTTGTTGTTGTGTAATATGATATACTCTCTAGTCACGTGGGTTTATCTCAGTGTAGATTTGTCTCTCTGATAACAGTTTCATAGAATGCTTTAACATGTAAACTTAGAATAAAACTTATATATATTTAACAGTGTTATGGTTATAACTGACCATCGGTCATTCAGATAATAGTACATGGTGTCAGAAGTAAACACAGAGAGGCACATGTGCAACAAAAGTACAGAAGAAAAACATGGACCTACATGAAATTGTAAACAATGAAAAGGACTTACATTAAATTGTTAAAAAGGATTTACATTCAATTGTAAATTAATAAAACATTGTTGATTGGATTAAAATTGAAAATTTCTAACTGGACTACATTAAATTGTAAAGTTACAACCTCCAGAAAAAATTTGTCAAGCCCAAATAAATGGAATAATTGGAAACAAAAATTTTCTTTCTACAGAACAGCTTCAAAGCTTCATCAAGAAGATGAATATATACAAGTCGCTACACAGGTATATACCATGGGAAAAGATGCTGACAATTTATTAAAATCTGTTTGAATTATCAGAAAGTAACGAGAAAAAATATGACACTGTCTTAACAAAATTTGAAGAACATTTTAATCCAAAGAAAAATATAATTCATGACATAAGAGAAACCAAATGCAAGGTGAAACAGTAGAGACATTCATAAGATCTTTATACGAGTTGGCGGGCTGTGCTGTGAATTTGCTGCCGGTATGAAAATCGAGCAAATAAGGGATCGAATCGTAGTTAGAATTTTAGATAAAAAAAAAATTCAGAAAAACTGCAGCTTGAATCTCGAAAAATCCGTAAACAGCGAAATAGTTAAAAACCAAATTCGATCACAACAGGATGTAGCTGTAACAGACGAGGTTCGTGGCGGGGTAAAGCCAAAACGAAGTTCGTACCGCAACCACACGTTTCTTGACAGCAGAATGCGACGCAGAAATTTCCGGGGACACAATCTAGACAATCGAAGAAAATTGATTATAAACGGTGTTCAAATTGTAATGAAAATCATGCACGACAACATTGTGCAAAGTATGCCGGAAATGTGGACTTTATAATCGTTTTTCGCAGTGTGTTGTAAAACTATAAAAGTACACGAACTGTGTGCAAATGACGCATTATCATATTTAGGAACTATTGACTGTGCACCAGATGAACCTTGGACAATAAAACTTCAGGTGAGAGATTTCTTTGTCTACTTTAAATCAGACACTGGTGCTGATTTGACTGTTATTCCGGAAAGTCTTTATAATACTTTAGGCAAACCAAAATTGAATAAAACACACAGATCGTTATACGGTCCAGGTAACAAAAATTGATAGTTATCGGTTCATTAACACAGACTCTTTCACACAATAGTAACTCTTCGCAAGAAAATATATACGTTGTAAGAGACATAGATAGATGTTTATCAGGGAGACCTGCTATAAAGAATCTCAATTTTATTAAATTTGGACGAGATTCAAACCATCGAAAATATCAAACAGAAGCATCCTAATCTATTTCGCGACCTAGGGCAATTAGATGGTGAATATCGTATTTCACTCAATGAAAACGCGCAGCCATATGCTTTACCTGTACCAAGGCGCGTGCCTATACCTTTGCTACCGAAGTTTAAATCTGAGCTCGAGCGTATGGAAAAGGCAGGCGTAATTTGAAAGTAGATGAAATCACAGATTAGTGTGCAGGAATGGTATGTATTCCTAAAAGCGACAATAACGTGCGCATATGTGTTGATATAACACAGTTGAATAAAAATGTGCGACGTAAAAATTTTCCTCTGCCGATTATAGAACAAAGCTTAGGTCGTTTAACTGGAGCAAAATATTTTTCAAAATTAGACGCTAATAGTTCATTTTGGCAAATTAAACTTGCTCAAGAAAGAAAATTATTGACTACATTTATCACACCTTTTGGTAGATACGCGTTTAATCGCTTACCAATGGGGTTATCTAGTAATTCTGAATATTTCCAAAAAAGAATGTCTCAATTACTTGAGGGCATTGAAGGAGTTTTTTTGCCAAACAGATGATGTCCTGATATTCGGACGGATAGAGGCCGAACATGACACTATACTTAGGTCAGTTTTGGACAAACTAGACCAGTGTAACACTGAATGAAAATAAGTGTGTCATCAAGCAAAAAACAGGTCAAATTTGTTGGATACTTAGAAGGACAACATGTAATCTCAGTAGACCCGGACAAGGTAAATGCCGTAAGAAATTTATGGCCTCCAAAAGACATACATGGGATACGTAGTTTGATGGAATGGTCAATCAATTTGGGAAATTTTCTCCATCTTTGGCAGCAGACTTGAAACCTATCAGAGATCTGCTGAGTACGAAAATCAATTTTACTGGGGTTCAGACCAACAAGAAGCTTTTGATAAAATCAAGCTTACTTTGACCAGTACTCCAATGTTAGCTCATTATGATCCAAATAGGGAAACTGTTCTCATGACAGATTCTTCAAAATATGCTACCGGAAGTGTAGTCCTTCAAAAACAAGACAATGGTGACTTTAAGCCAGTATCATTTGCGTCATGGGCATATACACCCACAGAGGTTAGATACAGTGTTCTTGCACTTTCCAGTACCGTCCATGAACAGGCTCAATCAAACCGAGCCTGCAACATTTTCAATATTGTCGTGTTTGGCTATCTTTAGGGATTCTGTTTTACTCTATTTTGAAAAAGAAGCACTAGGCGTAGTTACTGGGACTGAACGACATAGTGACCTTTTGATTAGAAAACATTTCCATATCAAAACTGACCATAAAAGTCTTGTTAGTCTTTTAGAACAAAAGAACTTGAGTGATCTACCGGTAAGGGTACAAAGATTTAGAATGAGACTGCTGAGATTCTCATACTTATTAAGCTTTGTGTCTGGAAAATTGATGTATATTCCTGATTACGTGTCGCATGCTGAATGTGACACCTTAACATTTACTGACTATCAAAATTGTAATGAAACCGAATTGTATGTTGACTCAGTTGTCACCAGTCTCCCAGCTACAGAAAAAAGGCTGGAGGAAATTAAATCAAAACAAAAATCTAAGTGTGCAGCAAATTAATTGAATATACTTATAATGGGTGGCCTTATACAGAATAGTGTGCAATTGCCGAACTGTATAAACCTTGTAGGTAATTGAAAGAGCATCGAAACATCTGATTTGTACGAGGGGGCGTAGCCCCCGAGTATTAATCAAATTGCCGAGTGTTTTGATGTTTTTTTCTCTTTTGTATCATAGTCAAACATAAAACACGTTCCCTGTTGTCACAATATGAAACCCCGGGAAAAAGTAACCAATGAACGAGCATCTGAATATGATATTTCTGTCGCTTTCCTTTCTCTTCCGTCACAATAAGTGAACCCCAGCAAAAATTAGCCAATCAATGGACATGCTCAGGAGTGCGGGTAACTAATGTTAACGCATTGTGCATGTATATATGTATGCGATTTAACTGTGACACATTTTCAACAGATAGGTACCCAAACTATGATACAATTACTAGATATGACAGGCTGAGTAAACCCCCAGATATATTATTCCTGATTTAACAAATGATTACATGTTGACAGGATTTAATGTTTAATGTGTGTTTAAAAACATAAATGATAAATATTTTCTCACAGTTAATGAAATATTTGAGGTAATAAATGAATGAACTTACAAGCTATAGTAAGGGGGTGTTGTGTAATATGAGATACTCTCTTTAGTCACGTGGGTTTAAATCAGTGTAGTTGTCTCTCTGATAATGCTTTAACATGTTAACATATTATTATTATATATGCTCTAGTACTTAGAATAAAACTTATATATATTAACAGTGTTATGGTTATAACTGACCATCGGCCATTCAGATAATAGTACAGTTTTAATAAGATTTTATCAGAGAAATGTACATGGCAAAAACTACGCGTTATGAAGAACAGCATGACAGTTATCAGATAAAAAACAAGTGACAGTAATAGGAACATAAACGTGACAGAAAAAAGAACGTGACAATTTTTTCTAAGAATAGTCTCGTCACATTCTCTAAAGAACCACGTGGTATTTAGCAGTACTGCTTGAAAGTTATTATAAAAAATACGTGAGTTATTTATGATATGATATATGATATGATTATGGCTATCGAAGATAGTGACAAGATATCACCTGTACATTTTGTCCTTCATAGGACGGTTTGTCTTCATCTAACTCGTGTTATTATATTGGAATATGAACAAATATGTTTAATTCGTGTAACTGTACAGTGTTGTCCTGTGGTGTTTTTTACAAAATCGATATACATGAGGCTCTTTTTCTATAAATAAATAATTCAGGAGTGATATTGTAGATCAAATATTATACAGTAACACTCTATCTATATAGATAATAAACTAAAGGTATAACTTTGTAACTTCCTCTTTCGATTTGTTTTCAATAAAATTCCATGGAGACATATTTAGTATGACCTTAATTAATGACGAGTACACTGTAAGGAATACCATATATATATTTTGGGGCTTAATTTAGATTAGTTTTCTATTTTGATAAAACTAAAAATCTAGCTGCAAGTTTTTAGAGTGTATGGGGCTGTTAAAAGAAGTGTTGTTGTTTTAAATAAAGTTTAATATATAGATTATAAGAATAGTTGGACTTTGGCAGGGTATAGATATATATCATGTATTTTATCGTCGAAACCGAAACTAGTTAGATTCAATATTTTATCTTTATCAGCTTTTCGATATATATGTATGCTACTAATAATAAGCTATATTCTTTTTATATTAATTATATATTTAGTGTTAAGAATTTATAAGGTCTAATCACTGATAAGGATATTCACAGTTTGTATATATAATTGATGACGTATTAAACAAAATATATGAAATATTCAATTTATATTTTATGTTAGGCATATATATACCCGAGACTGAAACCGAAAGAGGGAAATAAGATTACTCTTGGAAGAGACTTATTGTGGCCAACACTAAGATGTCCGATCGTAACTTTTGTACATACATGCATATGATCTAATTTGGCACATTTAGGAGTACAATGATAGAGGAATGAATGAATAAAACTGGTAAATATTGTTATTAACCTCTTACCTCATAACTATCTTACCCCTTGAGGTCTCACACAGTGAAAAAATGTCCTATTTATGCCCCAAACACAGTTCTTCGTTTGAGAAACTATTTCGGCGCGGTCCCCAATCAAAATTGTACATCAAGGGGTTGCCAGAATTGGATATGCCCCTTCTGTTTCGGGGGAGGGGGGGTGAAGGCTGCGGCAGTCCCTTCATCATGTTCATCGCCAAGAAAATTTTGGAAATGTGACAGACTAAAAATGGCCTCAGATCGATCTTGGGGTAACTAGTAACCAACGCTGAAAAACCTTTTACTCTATCTCAATTCATTGAGAAGTTGCAGCACTTTGAACTCAGTTTTGACGGAAAAAAGCAATGCAAAATAGTGTTGTTTTTTCTCACAATTTTGAGACGTCCTCCTTTTTCCATGGTAACAGGATATTTACGACTGAGCATGCTGTTACAGAGGCTATGGTCTAGTCAATATTTGTGCCAAGTTTCATTAGAATTGAAGCATTTTTCATAGTGTCATAGCAGTTTGAACTTGTAACGGTCATTTTTCACAATATGCTCATGAGGGAAAAGGTTAAAGGACAGTTACTTATTAACATGACAAACATTTCGTAATAAAAACGTGACAGCTTTTGTTTAAATATTGTGACGGCCAGGAATCGGGGTTACAGTGTAACACAATTAAACAAAACATATACATGTAACTGAACAATGAACAATGAACACACACATGGAGATGCGACATATCACTGGCAACACTAAGATGATTATCATAATCCGAACTTTTTATTTAAAAGATTCAAAATGGATATTGTTTTTCTTACATTTTCTGCAGATATTTTTTGTCGATATAATCAGAATCAATAAAAATCAATATAGTCTCAGGGGCCACTAAACTTGTATCTCTTCAGGAACTTCAAAGAGAAGTTCTTTGGGAATCGCTCGAAAGCCGTAGACAGAATCACAAACTTATTTTGTTTTACAAAATGAAAAACGGTCTCACACCAGATTATTTATCGTCCTTAGTTCCACCATCAGTTGGAGAAACGTCTATGTACAATTTACGAAATGCTTCTGACATGCAAACAATACGTACAAGAACTTCTCTTTACCATAATGCATTTCTGCCATCTACTTTGAGAGATTGGAACTTACTATCAACAGAGGTACAAAACTCAATATCTTTGTCCTCTTTTAAAACGCAACTTAAAGGTAATATAAAAAAATGCCCCAAATACTATTATATAGGTGAAAGAAAATGGCAAGTCATGCATACACGGCTCCGAACAGAATGTAGCTCTTTAAACCATCACTTATTCAGAAAAAATATGTCCCCTCACCAAATTGTCAATGTGGTCTCCTGGAAAGTAACCACCACTTCTTCTTTGAGTGTCACTTCTATAATGATATCAGACTCAGACTATTTGATGCTGTTTCTAATATTTGTACTATAACACTTCATACCTTACTAAACGGAGACCAGAATCTTAGCCATGACATTAATTCTAAAATTGTTCAAGCAGTTCATGTATATATACGTGAAAGTAACCGATTTTCATGAGCAAATAATATGCCAACTTGACCTATCCGAATGAATCTTCTTTACCTTCTTTCTTATTCTTTTCAATTATTTATATTCTTTAAAAAAGGATCTTTTGAACAATAGCTAAAATCTTCGATTTTTTTCGTTTCAAATATGTTAAAAATTAACTTCATTGTTTCAAACAATATTGCAAACACTGTCATAATTTAACTGCATTGTGCAAATATGTAGGAGAAGACCTTTATAAGCTTTATAGCTTTCGGCTCTAATCCTTTTTCATTCGTGTATCTAATTATTGTAAATGTATTAACAACATGTACTTGTATCATTGTTTGAAATAAACTATGTTTAAACTAATAAAAATCAACATGCTATAGAAATGTTAAAGGGCCTCCAATACGTGACATCATGGTGTGTAAGTCAAATGATTTTGATTCGATTTAATTAGACGTTTTTAACACAAATCAGTTTATCTTATTAACAAAGATTATACAAACGTTTATTTCGCCGAACCTTTTGATACGTCTGAAGTTTCTGTCAAGGCAAAAAGGTATATTTTCGTCTATTGTATAACCTTTTTTTAAAAATTCGCCCAGACAAAAAAACTTCAAGCATTTCGAGAAATGTTACTGAGAATGACAAAACAAATGGCAAAGTCTTTGTGAATCAAATGAATTGAATTTTTTAAAAACATTTGATAAAATCGAACACAAATCAGTTGCTTTACACCTCATGATCGCACTACATCATTTCCGTATTATTCAAATGAAATAGAAAATGTTGAAGGATTGATTGAGCCTTTCATGGACGGTACTGTTTCACAGACGTATAGGATGTGCTTTCAAACAGATCTTACATCATTAAGATTAACTTAATGTTTACAAGAAGATCAAAACTAATTTACAGACCTGGCGAGATGTTGTTCTCATATGTATCACTCTGTTTTAACACTGATATTTCATATGTCTTTAATTTTTACTATTATTTATGCTACTTTTTAGATAAAACAAATCTAAACCGGCTATAGTAAACTCCTGTTTGCACCATAAAACTGTTTTTTGCTACATTATATTCATAATTAAACCAGTAAGGCTTTCGTTTATTTTGTTTAGGGTGATTGCAAGTAACAAAATGATGCAATAAAAATATTCCTTGATAATGGTACATTATTTTTACAGGTGCTGAAGTCATACGATTTAGAAATGTCTGACAGAAGAGAAGACGTTAAGAATAGTTATGAAAAAGATAAAAGAACAGGATCAGTTGACAACCAGACTAAAATATTTATTGTTTACAACACCGGGGAAACAGCGGAAATTAAAACCGCCCAATTTGTTGCACATGCATTAACAAAAAGGTCGGTTTCTTGCGTTTTTGATGTTGAAGACCACCAAGCTTTCCCTATTGGAGAACCAGTGACAGAAAATATTGTTAAATGGATTGAAAACTCGGAAAAGACTTTGGTGATTCTTAGTAAAGATTCAATAAAGAGTACATGTCAGCTACTGCAAACTATTCTTGCTCTGGACAAATGTAAGAAGAAAAACATCTTTTGTCTACGGCTATTACTGCACGGGGTAGATGAAAATGAAATACAATTTTTGAAAAGGGATTTCTTGCAATCAGTTCCATGTAGAAAATTAGATTTCAACAAAGATGGATGGGAGGAGCGTCTTGCATCTTACATAAATGGTCAGTACATTACATGGATACAAATTTACTTTTCATATCAATTTTTTATGTGAAAATGTGTTTTATCATGTTTTTTGTCACTTTAGCAATAGACAAAGAATAATTCTTTCTCATTTTAATTGCATCGCGTTTTAATTAATACCATTGCATAAAAAACCTATTGCAAATACATGCATAAAATATTTTTTACTTATTTTTGATTACAAATAACGTATAGAAGTTCAGTCTAATGTATATAAATCATGTAACAAAATATTTGATCTTCCAGAGGAAATACCTGTTCCAGACATTCTGCCTGTTGGGAGCCTTGCACACGGATTGGTTTTCTCACATTTTAATGGCTATTACAGATATGTTTTGCCAGGTAAAATTTATTACAATACTTTGATCAAACATTTTACACTCGTTGCTAAGTACTGGATGGTTCCAAGAACGGACTGAGAATATGTCTATAAGCAAGTAGCTTCATACACAATGAAAGCTAAGTACTGGATGGTTCCAAGAACAGACTGAGAAAATGTCTATAAGCAAGTAGCTTCATACACAATGAAAGTAAGATAAATATTAAATAAACAAAACATACTTTAATATATAGGTATATAGTTATGCAAACTATTATTATAACTACGTGGGTGCTTCAAAAAGTAATGTTTCTTATGTGTTTCCATACTTAAATCGGATGTTTATTCAGGTATGTAGTCCGATTTAATAGCTACAAAGGCACAATATCCGCTTGCAAATTTCTTCAAAAATGACAAACATATCCATTTGTAAATGTAAGCTAGTAATATACACTGTGCAATTTTTCGCTCACCAATGAATAACCAAGGTGGTAAAATAGAAATTCGTGCCTATATAAAAGGTCGTGATGCTTTATATATGAAAATCAATACAAAATAGACAAAAATAATGATTTTTGAACAAGGAAGACATTCTTCTTACGATTTCAAACTAAATAACGAATCATTAGAAATTGTAGCACAATTCAAATATTTAGGAGTGACTCTATTCAAGAACGGTCATTGGAATCGCACCAAAAAAAACTCTTGCGCAACATTCCCTTTACGCTCTCCATAATTTATTTATTTATTCAATCAGTTAGAATTAAAAGTCGTGGATAAATGCAAACTTTTCGACAGTCTTGTTAGTTCTATTCTTAATTATGGGGCGGAAGTATTTGGATATGACGAAGCAAAGGATATTGAATTAGTTCATTGTAAATTTTTACGAAAAGTACTTAATGTTAGGAAGTCAACAAATACGGAGAGCTTGGCCGACATCCAATGAGAATTCAAAGAAAAATTATACTTGTTAAATATTGGCTAAAGATTATAAATCTCGAAGAAAATTGTTTACTTAAACAAATGTACAACATACTTAAAATTGACGCTGACAACGAAAATTCATATAGAGGGAAAAATTGGGCCTACCATATCAAATCTATTCTTCAGGAGATCGGGATGTCTAATTTATGGTTAACTCATACTGCTAATCAAAATAATTTCATTTCTATAAAAAACAGAATTTTGGACATATATAAACAAGACTGGTATAGAAAAATAAATAATTCAAGTAGATTATCTTCCTATTGTATTTTCAAACATGATTTTAATCAAGACTTATATCTAAGTGTTATAAATACGAATAAATTCAGAATAGCTTTAACAAAATTTAGACTGTCAGCACATAATCTTACCATTGAAGCAGGTAGACATCAAGGAACGCCTAGGGAAGAAAGAAAATGCCAAAAATGTACCATGAATGTAATTGAAAATAAGTTGCATTTCCTCCTTATATGTCCAAATTATTATAACTTAAGGAAACAATATCTAAAACCATATTTTTGTAGGTGGCCTACTATTAAAAAATACGAATTACTGATGACAAGTAGAAATCCTAAAGAAATTATCAATTTATCAAAATATTTATACTTTGCATTTCAAAAAAGAGAATTACAAAATATAGAAAAAAATAAACTGAAAATATATAGCTTTTAAGAGGTTATTTATTGTTCTATTCTGTTCAGTAATAATTGTTGTTTTGTACAATTCTTCTGTAAATTGTTAAATATTGTACAATGTTTGTAACACGTTTATCCCTTTTCATATGTAATTGAAAGTATATTGGCTATATGTATGCTCATGCTATTTTATGCCAAATAAAGATTATGTTATGTTATGTTATATACCACCAAAACAAATGTATAATGAACTGAATGATATTTATTGGTCTTCCACGGTATCATATATGACAGTTTGCAGATGGGTAAAAAATTAAAGCTGGTATATCCAGAATTAAAGATGTAGGTAGAAAAGGTCACCCAATCACATCTGTTACCAGAAATAATGTGTCTCCTGTTAAGGCACTTGTAGAAGAGGGGTTCAGTAAGGTATGGATCTTAGAAGGGAACGCTCATACTATTCTGACCCAAAATTTGGGAATGAAACAGGTATGCGCTCATTTGGTCCCACATTTACTGACCACGAACCAGAAAAAACAGAGTCGATTGTTAAAGAAAGCTTCTCAAAAAGTTCAAAAACTGTGATGACAGGCTGATTTCTAATTTACTACCAAGAGATAAGACTTAGGTCTATATGTTTTAGCCACAGAGAAGGTCAGACAATAGGCAATGGAGAGGTGAAAAACAGAAATGTCCGGTCATAGCCAAACTACAGTATAGCGCACAAAATTTTCTTTAATTTTTCTGGTCCAGCGGTACAAATACCTTCAAAGGAAGGGATATCTATTAGTGGGAATTTCTACACTGTTGAACAAAATAAGCAAATTCTATAAAAAGAAACACCCAAGTGTGGTTTGAAGAGCATTTGTCTGCTTCATGACAATGCTCCAGTCCATAAAAGCGGGTGGGAGTAGACTTTCTGAGCAAACACAAAATTAATGTTTTAACCCATCCTCCGTACTCTCCTGATTTAAGTTCATGCGACTTTTTCCCTTTTCCAACGACTCAAAAATATCTTTCGGAGATATGTTAGCAGGAGTGCACTTGGAAGCACTGTGCATCATTGCCTGATAGATACCAAAGGCAGACTACTGTGTGGCTTTTAAGCAATGGATTTGTTTGAGATTACAAAAGTGCATTTCGGTCAAGAGGGATAATTTTGAGGGGTTGAAATAAATCATTTTGAGGCACTTTTATCCGTATCCATGTTATTTATTCGTCGTATTATTATTAGTAGAAATAATCAAGAACTGTACATCATATACAGCCATAATCAATTAGTTGTTCTTTTTGTAATTTTGAATTATTATCATGTAGGACATTTTTATTATGTGTGTTGTGTTTTGATTTTGTATTTGTCCATACGAATAAACTCACTACTGTAGAGTGTATTTTTTCTTAGAGCTTCAAGAACATCTTATAAACAACGACGTGTATAAAAACAACCCAGGGAGAGTATCGGTACATTATTATTTACTCATTCCAAGTACGTGTGAGGTTGTTAGCAGTTTCAAAGGTCGTGACAGCAAAAATGATATCACAATAGAAGAAGAAACAAAGCTAATGTTTACAAGGCACCATGCAGGAAAGCCGCGAGAATACAGTATTATCATTTATAGAATAAAGAAAGGTGATGAGGTAAAATTCTTTACGTATTATATTCTATTATCATTAAACCTATTGTAGTTGGTTATAATAATAATAATAATAATAATGATAATAATAATAATAATAATAATAATAATAATAATAATAATAATAATGATGATGATGATAATGATGATGATGATGATGATGATGATGATGATGATGAGCACTACAAAGAAAAATATGTGGACTTTTGTACTGACTTAAAACCATGGTGTTTATTTCATTTAAAATTTGCCAATGTTTTTATCACAAAACCTCTTTCTATAGAATTGAATATATTGTCTATAGATGAATAAACAGAACTTTAAAAGAAAATAAAAAAAATTGTGTATCAGTTAAATCTGAATGTTTTGATAATATCATACTGAAATATTCATTGTATTTGCTGTCCATATACCGTTTAACTACATGTAACATTCAATTTAAAAATTGGCATTGGAGTTATTATCTATTATTACAGGACCCTTACTATTTTTTCGCTGATTGTCCAAACGTGTTGAATGCTATTCACACAATGTCAAAGGAGAAAATGGCTACAGTTGATGTACAGTCACAGGTGGCCCGTTTCTACCATACCATGAACGAGGTCATTCATCATACAAAGAACAAGTTCTGCAAGGATGATGCTGTAGAACTTCTTCCGTACAATGGTAAACTTTTTGAATTAAAAAAAATTTGTACAGACCAAAACGTGTTTAAAAACTGTGAAATACTTTTTGTATTCTTTGAATTGAATGTGTTAATTAATTAAGACAATTTCTTACCATTAATTATATTTCCATGAACATGATATTAGTAAATAAATATGAATATGACTATTAGCTATTAAACCGATTTAGAAAGTACATTCCATACGTGACGTCGCTGCAATGCTTAACAATATTGCACATATAAAGTAACGAAACTCCACTTAGGCCAAAAGTCAGAAAAATATAAAATTTGAAAATATTGCATTGATCAATGGGGATACCTATAACTAAAACCCATATGGTAATAAAGGATTATAGTCAAAAAGAAATTGAAAGCTATATTTAGTTCAGTTCTTGGTCTTTGGACTTAAACGTTTTTCAATTTGGTAATTTGCACAATATTATTGATAATTGCAAGAAAGAAATGAGCAAATGATGTGAAACACATTAAATAGAATAAAAATCTTGAAAAATATTTTCAATCCAGACATAACCAAATTCCTAAGTGTGGGCCCTTTAAGAAAATAATTTTTAGAAAAGTGAGCATAGTAATATAATTTTCAGAGTGACACAAATCTAAGTAAACTCGTTTAAAATGTAAGGCATAATTCTTCTGGCTCCAACATATATTGACTGCCGACCTTTTAAACTAAATGTTATCAAATTACGTAATATTAGCATAATAAGTATGACTATTAATGATGAGTCGTTTGTTCAACTTAAGACAGATCATCTTTCAGATATATATTTGTACATTTAATATATTAAATAGGTGTGTAAAGTTAACCTGGTATAATTTTATGCTCTTCAGCTACAGACGAAACTATGCAATGTGTATTATACGACGCCATTAAGCGAAACTTGAGTATGACGGTAAGTACTAAATTATGATAATAGTGTATTGCAAAAATATCTTGTTTTTATTTATATGCTGGATTGTGATGATGATAGTAAAAAAAGCTTACTGGTACTACCATTGAGTCCGCTGGAACTAAACCGTTCTAGCTCCAAATGAGAGAGTGTAAAGCTGGCCCAAGACGGGCTTAAATCTACAACTTTAAAACATTTAGGTGACATTAATGATTATAATATAATACTATATTAAAATCTAAGAAAAAGGTTATTTTTTATAATTAAAGCGCGTATTACATAAAAAGCATTTAAATAAAAGCAATATCATTATTTCACTTATAAAAAAGGAAGAGCTTCATATTGGTAGAGCGAGAACTTATTGGTACTGTCTCTTACTAATACAATATATGATAATGGTATAGAATACTATAAATATTAACGTACGAAATTAGTGAAACAAAATTTCTAAAAATGTAACTATGATTGACAGATTTGTACTTTTGAACAAGACTTACAAGCGCGATAAAAATCATAACAATATCAATCACGTGTGACACTATTTGAGTGGATTTATTGCTATAATTTTTAGATGGGCCTTCTTGCGACAGTTCGACTTGTCTAAACGTCAAAATACTTAAAACAATAACTATCAGATGCGTGAATGTCATCAAATTTTTAATTAAGTTATTTCCTTGATAACATTTTACATTAAAGATGTTCTGGATGGATTTTCAGTGTACTACCATAGGTATGTGCATCTGGTCGTTAAGTATAGGGAGTAATCATATAAAGTTTTATAAATCAACACACTGAAAACATGGCTGTCATAAGGACATCCTTTACATTTATAATTTTGTTATCAACATTATAGGACTCAAAACAGCAGCGCACTCCACACAGACTTCTTTCGCCTCATGCAAATCAACCTGAAAACGATGTCACAATACTGTGCCACCCTGATTGCAGTAATGATCTGCTTCACGCAGATAAAATTGAAGAAGAATTAGTTAAAAACAACCTTAAAGTTGTAAAGGATTATGAGGGAGGAAATGAATCAGAGCTGAGAATAATGCCAGCGAAGTGGTACATTTTGGTGATATCGAAAACAACATTGAACTCGACCAATCTTACTGCTTTCAAATGTGCAGCGTGTTTAGACAACAGTATAACAGATGATTCAGTTAGCGTTCTACCTGTCTTAGTTGGAGTTGAACCTTGCGAAATCCCGGCAATGATCAAATGGGTCACAATGATCAGTGTGAACGACCATAATTACCTAGAAGCCATACTACAAATTGTGAAAGGTAAACGTTTTTGTTTGTTGATGATAATTTATATTCTTCATATTTTACATATATTTATTACATATTGATTTTTCGAATTGATGCTTAAGCAAATAGTAGCGCTGTTAGATTGTATTTACTGAGTGTAATGTGTTGTATTCTTCGTTACCTGCTCTTTACGACTCATGTTTTTTATCTGAAACATAGGACAGCCTGTCAGAATGCAAGACAGAATACCATGTGGAGATGTTGCAACAGGTCTAGCGTGGGCATGTTATATTAATTACTTGTCAATCACAATGGAACCAGGTATATTCTTGAGACAGCAATTCTTAAAACATTTATAAATGATATTAAAATGAAAAATATTTTTTAAATTTTTGTTTTACAAATTGCGGTAACACTTTTTAACAGATTAAAGTATTTTTGAGTAAATCAGCATTATCAATATACACAATATTTAACTGATTTATGATCACTCGCTCTGACTAACAGCATGTGTATATAACTACTTATTCTCAAATTTTGGTCTATATAAACTGAAATCATAGCATAACAAATTTGTAACATTAATATTGCTAAGCATATTTTATCAAATATCTGGAAAAGTGATATATATTAAAAAATCAAATTAAAACGCATGAATGTGGTTTATATGTTGATTAAAAAACTATTAAGATAAAATAAACACAAGTTTTTGATATCACATACATTCCCAACATGCTTAAAATCTGAATTAAAACCATGTCAAGGCGCAATAACACATGCGAAATGGACGTATAAAATATACATTTTTTTATACAAACGCAAAATTATGTCTGACCAGATGTGTATTGATTACTTATTTTATAATTGTAAGATGTCTTGTGTTGTTTGATAAAGGTTTACGTGACAGAATAGTGAAACTGATGAAAAGTAAAGGTGTCATGTGTGACTGCATTGAGAAGTTCTTTATCATAGTGCCGCTATCTTGCAAAACAGAACCAAAGCTTGCAGAAAAGGCAAATGAAAAGTAGGTCAACGTTATACTGAGTGGCTTTAATATAAAACAATCAATATTAAACTGAGTGGCGACTTGAATGTTTTCTTGTATTAAAACAAACACTGTTAAATTGAGTGGCGACTTAAATATTTGTCCCGTACACAGAACAATCAATGTTTTACTGAGTGGCGACTTTAATGTTTTCCTATACTAAAACAAACAATCTTATATTAAGAGGCGTCTTTAATATTTGTCCTGTACATAAAACAATCAATGTTATACTGAGTGGCGACTTCAATGCTTTCCTGTAAAAAAAAAACAATGTTATATTGAGTGGCGACTTAAATATTTGTCCCGTACATAAGACAATCAATGTCATACTGAGTGATGACTTGAATGTTTTCCTGTAATAAAACAACGTTATATTGAGTAGCGACTTTAATATTTGTACCATACATAAAATAATCAAAATATTCGGTCCTTTTATACTTTTCATAGAGTGACCTTTGAATTGATTTCTGCTGAGAAATTTGATCTCAGTAGTTTCAATTTGAGGTGTCGGACTGGACCTTCGATAATTATCTACTTGTTCTAGGCACATTGAAATAGCATTAAAACGTTTATATTTGATTCTATCTTTTTTAATTATAAATTAAAGCATCAATTTTTACTTTCTTGTAAATTAGTTAAGCTTGGACTGGTGATCTTATTTAGCTTTTAATATATAAATAATTTGCTGTTATCTAAATTGTCCTCTCGTTTTTGTTGTTGTATATATACTGTTGATGCATCACCTAACGATTCAATTTTAGAAGTGAGACACCAGTTATACAATATGTTGGGATAAGTGAAAAGGTGGAAAAGGAAATGGCTGGTCAACATCGTACATTTTATATTCACATGTATAAATATACCGACCCAAGAACTAAAAATGTAAATATCTTCTATAATCTAGATTTCCACTACTTATTACTTTTACTACTATTATTATAAATAAATTTTTTATAGCATTCTTGTTATAATTCTAGCAGTCTTTATTAAAATCAAACAACATTAAATTTTTCTTTTTCAGAGACTTTTCGGAGTCTCTCCGTGTATACGGGTATACATATCTTACATATGATAACGAATTTTTTCAGAGTGTTTGCTTTATGAGTGAATATTGTGCGGCAATCAATAATATCAGGGAAATGGGCAATCTACCATTTTCTGGAATAACGAGGGAGGACATGAGCAGACAGTGTGAAAATTTTGTAGAAGTAATGGAAGATATTATGAATAGAAAGGCAGTGAAGAATAAACTCGGAGACATTAGCAAACTTGTTCACTTTGTTTTCTATGACGGTATGTTTTTTTCGCAAATATTAAATAAATGCTTCGTATGGAGTAATGTCAGAATGACCTTTGTCAGTGCCAAATTTGCCTTTGTTAACTCATGACTTTTTATCTGAAGGATAACATCATTACTTTAAATAAACATGTATATACTGCTTCGAAAAAAAATCATTAATTTTCTACTTATTTTTAATTGTTTACAAATTATTAATAAATTTGAAAGGTATTTTGCATGATTGATATATACTTTTAGTAACAAAAAAAAATGGAATATAAATGTTGTTTATTATTTGTCGTTTCTTCAAAATCAAAACTAAAATTACATAAAAAAATGTTCTTGTATTTGCTTATACTGTTATACATGATGCAATGGAAATTACATCACTTACAGGAATTTTCAAGTTGTATTACATCCATGCCCTATTATATCCATGCCCTTGGAAATATTTTATAAATGTTAATACGGTATAATATAAATTAAATCGCAAAGGCTTTATAGATTTTATCAAGGTAAAATTTAGATGAAATCGCAAAGGATTTATAAATGGTTATACTGTACATTATTGATGCTATATGGATATCATTATGAAACATGGATACTATAAATAAAATCTAAAAGGCCTTTTAGATGTTAAAATGGCATGATAGTGAGGAAATCAAAAAAGGCGTGGTGGCGGCGTGGCCGAGTGGTTAACGCGTCGGACTAGTAATCTAAGGATTGCTGACCACGTGGGTTCAAACCCTGTCAGGGGCAAGCCGTTGTTTCCTTGAGCAAGAAACTTTACATTCATTGCTTAGTACTGGTTGGTTCCAGGAACGGATTCGAGAGTGTTTCAATAAGCTTATAGCTTCCAACACAATCGAACTAAAATAAATTTGTATAAACCAAATCAAAAAAGCTTAATAAATATCAAAACTGCAACTTGTGTCAATTAATCACGTTTTTTGTTGTCCTTTTGTTTTCAAGATAACTTAGGACCAATATGTAATTTGGATTTTTTTCAATATTTATGTCATTCTTTGGAGTAAAATGTCTTAACCCTTTTTTTTTCTTTTTTCATTTTCAGATTCGAAGCAGACATTGATTGAAGCTATAAAGGAACAGATCATTGGGGGAGATTACAATATGATTTGCAGAAAAGATATTGTCTAAAACATGTGAAATGAACAAGACTCGTCGTGTGATAATTAATCCTGTTGACTATCCTCGTTATCATCTTGACATTGCAAGTCTGTGATATGTTTCAAACACCAGTATCATTATTTTCTACGTAATATCATCCATCATCATCATCATCATTATTATTATTATTATTATTATTATTACCATCATCTTGACATTGCAAGTATGTGATATGTTTCAAACACCAGTATCATTATTTTCTACGTAATATCATCCATCATCATCATCATCATTATTATTATTATTATTATTATTATTACCATCATCTTGACATTGCAAGTATGTGATATGTTTTTTTACATCACTATCATCGATATCATTATTTTCTACGTAATATTCTTCATCATTTTCCTTATCATCTTAACATTTCTCTGGTGGTTTTTAGCGTCACTATCCATTGTAGTGTTCCTTCAGAATCACTTTTTTCAAATATATAGACTAAGATAAGCGCACTGTAGTTTAATGCATTCATTTGAATCCGAGGCCAGTATTTGTGCAGACTGGATTCACATGTCATGGAATGCTTTTGTAAATTATAATTTGTTATCTTATTGCAGTCAAAAATATCTTTGGACATTGCCTTGTTGCAACACAAATAGAAGGCACCTGTTCATGGTATAAATTACAAAAAGACAAAAAAAAACATGTCACGTTATAATTCATTTATAAAACAGATAAAGCACCCCTATTATAAAACAAGACTAGTACTAGTAAGAAAATCAAGTTTTTCCTCTCTTCTTTGTCTAACCATAGTAAGCATGACTGGATTTTTTTTATTGTCAACTGTTTGGTTTATGATCATCAGAGTTAACATGACCAAATTCTTTAATGTCAAGTGTTTCATTTTAGGGTAAGCAGATTTAAAATGATTCTTTCGTTTAAGTGTAAGCAGAATTAAGATGATCAGAGTCTTATAAAAGGTAAAGGTAAAGGTCTTGTTTATTATAGTGTCACCCCTACTGAAAGGGCCAGCCATTTTGACTTATGAGACACCTTTTGCTTGCATACCATGTACCTCCCAATTCCTACCACTATGCCAGGCGCCAGGCGGATAGAAATCGGTAACCATTCATTTTAACTACCTCGCGGCTCACGAAGCGGCCATTTCGGAACGAGTCCCACGAGAAACATTCATCCTTCAATTAACGATCCCCGTGGGGCTCGAACCTTCGACCTCCCGATCCGAAGGCGGACGCCTTAACCACTAGGCCAACGGTATGTCAAGACTAAGTGTTTTCGTTTTAATGGAAGATAAACATATTCTTCATTGTCAAGTATTTTGTTTTATGATAATCTGAGTTTAGATGATCAAATTCTTGAATGTCAGTTGTTTGGTTTTGAGTTTAAACGGATTTTTTATGTTAACTTTACGGCTTAAGTGTAAGCAGAGCTAAGAGTACCAATTATTTAATATAAACTGAATGGCTTAAGTATAAGCAGAGTTAATATGACCAATTCACTATCAACTGTACAGTTAATATGACCAAAACTTTAATATCACCTGTTCTTCTTAAGTGTAAGCTGAGTTAAGTTGACCAATCATTTGATATCAACTATACGGCTTTAGTGTAAGCACAGTTAAGATGACCAATCATTCAATGTTAACTGTACGGTTTTTAGTGTAAGCAGAGTTGAGATGACCAATCATTCAATGTTAACTGTACGGCTTTTAGTGTACGCAGAGTTAAAATGACCAATCTTTCAATGTTAACTGTACGGCTTTTAGTGTAAGCACAGTTAAGATGACCAATCATTCAATGTTAACTGTACGGTTTTTAGTGTAAGCAGAGTTGAGATGACCAATCATTTAATATCATATGTTCGTCTGTTAAGATGACCTATCATTTAATGTCAATTGTCCGGCTTTAGTGTAAACAGAGTTAAGATGCTCAGATTCTTTATTGTCAATTGTTCGATTTTAGGTTCAGCAAAATTAATTCAATCCATTTTATATCAATAGTTCGGTTAAATAGTCACCACAGTTATCATGACCAGATAATAAAATGTCAGCTTTTCAGTTTAATGGTCACCAAAGTTAAGATGTCCAGATTCTTCTTTGAGGATTGAGAACATGGTTAAGACGGTCGAGCTATTTATTGTCAGTTGTTCCAGTATTAGAAGAAGCCGTATAAAATTACTTTCAAAGAATACATATCATTTACATTTACATATCGTTTTAATTTGTGTCATTTAATTTTCAATACCTTTTATATGAAAATATCTGCATGTCATTTGTTACCACATCTATTTATTTTGGTTTTGTATGTCTATTTTTCCCCTGGTCATTAATATTATATGTTCATTGTAGTATTATTTTTATTTTCATTATTATTATTGTTATTTCATCACTGTTATTGTTACTATTGTTGTTGTTGCTGATTGCACTATTGTAACCAGGGAAGAATGAAAACCACAAAAATGTGTAATGTCTACAATCGATGCATTTCATTCATCTAAAGGCTAATAATCACATTGCAAAAATTTTATATTTTGTTTTCCCCTGATTTATTTACAATACCCGGTGATTTCCTCTAACACAATGGAGAATTCTATCCTCCAACAACTTTACTAAACATTGCTGCAAGGCTACAACGGTATCTTCGAAATAAAAAACCATGCACGTGAACTTTGTTAAAACTGAAGACCCTTTTTTCTGAACTTTGCAGAATATTGTATCCACGCAGGCGCGAGTTGACTAACGAGGGTATAGGGGTCGAAGTCAACTGTTAAAAAAAATGGAGATTTTAACAAAATGTGGAAAAAAAGGTTTGTCATGGAATTATAAAAAATGGATATTCTGTATGATTTTTTAAAGATATGTGTTAGTCTTTGAGATTTCTCTCACTCCATGTCTATTTTTTTCAGTGATCAGCCACAAACTCTTTTCTCATTTTTGAATTATAACCATGACGGTATAGGGATTGCACTGTTTCAATAATGTTTTATACATGTTAAAGCTCGGATTTATAAATAACGTATGAAGTCGCTTTCTTATTTGTTTACTTTATTCGCATGCTACATTCATTGTCTAATTTAAAACTCAGCCCATATCCATAACGTCATAATTGCCAGATACCACGTCAATACCTGTTACTGAGAGAGTTTTCAAAAAAGCTTTACAAGCTTCCTACTCAATCCGTAAATTTTATTTTATGTAATTTATTATGTAAATGTGTGGATTATAAATAAATATTGTTTAAAACTAATACCTGTTACAATAAGTCAACTTATTTTCCACGTTCACCAGTCCCGGTTTAGTGTATGCAATATAATTCAAATAAATTGGAGCATTTGATCGGATAAGAAAGTGGGACAAACGGTAAATGTACATACAAACTGTTCCAATGCTATTAAATGAACTCCAAAGAAGGTTTAAAACCATAACATTTGAAAAAAAATACAAATATCTAGTGAAATACTTAAAATGTAAAACCCTGCAGAAGATAAGAAATATACTCAGAATTGAAATGTGTGCAGTTCTTAGCAGGTAACTGAGTTAAAGGCTTTGCAACGCTTTTCATTTTAAGGTCATTTTCACAATAAAAATGATTATTAATTCTAAAAAATAAAATTTTAACCATAAGAAAATGCATGTTCTTATGTTCTACAATGATATTCTTAAAGTCAATACTATCTAATTGTCACTGTACATCTACATTCTAATGAAGTATTTCTCTTTTGCTTTTCGGTGGTTTATAGAAATATATCAGTGAATTAACTATATGCATTCAAGAATAAAAACAAAACAATATAATAATAAAATATATATTCATTCAATATAAAATATGAAGGCCAACAAATAATCATCAAAAATATTCATCCATTACATCACAATAATTATATTTTGGTGAGTTATGATCCCTTTTTCAACATATTTCATGACATAATAAAATAATTAAGAACACTTTAATTGATATATCTATAGACTTTCACATATGCGAAAGAAATTAGTAATTTGTAATTTAATACAATGATTATTTTGTAAACATGTCTTGTTGCTAATAAACAAAATTTGATTCATTTTTAACTGGTTGTTTCTTCTCATTTTTGTTCAGATGTTATCTATTACATAAGTACCTAGCATAAAGTACGATGTTCCGTTATGACGTGGTTCGTTGCTATGCAAAATTGAAGATGAAATATTTGCTCGCGCATGCGCAATATGCGTAGGATAAAAGATCACCGTCATGCATGTAAGTCTTACAGACGGCCATATACAATCCCACGGCACCGTCCAGTTAGCTCAACATGTACAGCGTCGGACTGTGAATCGGGCGATCCAGGGGGCTACCTCTCTTCATTTGAATTTTTATATCACAGGTACCCTCTCATTTTTTAGCACATAGGTACCCTCAAAGCACGACATATGCTTTTATTTGCGTAAATCGTTATGTATGAATGTAATATTTCTTACTTTTATATAAATATTACATACTTAGCGATTAACGCACATAAAATTTGAGGGTATCTATGTTTTAAAAAATGAGAGGGTACCTGTGATATAAAATTCAAATGAAGAGAGGTAGCCCGTGCCGCTGCAAAACCGAAAGTTGGGAGTTTTTAATTAATTTTTGACAATATACTGCCATTTGTCCGAAGATGATATGTATATGAACATATTAAATATGTATGATGTATACATAATCAAGCCACAGGTTGATTTCAGCCCGAAAAAAATATGTCGAGGTGATGGGCGAGGCAAGACATGTCGATTTTTTTGTAGCTTATTGTGAAGTTGCAGTACATGAAAAACCGGCACATGACAAACAGCACATAAATAAAACATTCTAGTGTTCCGTGGTGTACATCTTTTCTACGTGTCATACCTCCTTTCCTTATTACAATGAAATTTTACTGGATTGTTATCCATCGCTGGTATGTTTTCAGCAGAGAATGACTTGTGCATGTTCAAAGAGGGTACCGTTTGAGCAGATTTCGCAAAGAGGGTACCGATATGGATATGCACCGTGGGATCAATTCTTCGTCTACATTGGATGCCAGACGGACATGTACAGAATTTGTGTACATCAACATCATTCTTATAGATCGAATCGATAATTCGTCTACATAGGATGCCAGACAGATATGTACAGAATAGTGTACATCAATTTATATTAAACAACTTACACGATACAATTTCGTCTACGTATTAATTAAAACAAAAACAGTCGTGTAAGAAAAATAAAAAACCCACTGCTATCATTCAAGTTCGATGTTGTCTGTCTACGACGCAAGACAGACATGTACAGAATTTATGTACACCAATGTACACCAATATATATGCATTTATTAAGGGAGGAGGACATGATGATAAGTAAACGAGAAAAAAATGTAATGCTGTTAATCTGAAATATTGTTTACAAAAATAAAACTCCGTTCAAAATTGATTTATTCAGTTAAACTTACAAATAGATTAACAACTAACAAAACCTCGTGTTTTCTTATTCTAAGCGAATAGCTAAAACTTTACTATTAAATCTTCTGGAATCAAAAATACAGTTAATGCAATTTTTGTTCATGAAAATATTTTGACCTGCTTTAAACTCTAGAATATCTTTGATAAAATCTTGCTTGACGCCATTGTTTTTAAACAAAATTGGCCAAAATGACGAACTGTGCCATTTAGGAACTATCAGAGTGCCTTTCCCTTTACATGCTACAAGGTGAAATATGGTTCTACAAACAAGATATATAGGTGGCACAAGCCAATTATTGCAGTCTGACCAAGACTGTGTAAAAGCATCGATTGCCTCAGACTTATATTCATAAAACAAAGAGTTAAACCGATTTAATTTGCGATTTTTGAAGCTGGCAAACATATCTACTTCATGAGGACCCCATATTTGATCAATAAAATTGAAAAATTCGGTGGTACCTCCCACTCATCTGAACTATATATTTTACTTATGTCGTCTGCAATCTGATTATGCTCACTTGGTACCCACTGAATGCTTAAATCTATGTTCCATTTTAAACATAATTTAAAGATATTAAGCGACTCAAGTTGTAAATCTAATTTCGTGCTACCCGACTGAACAGTTTTTACACATGACTGAGAATCAGAAAACCACTTTACTTTAGAATTTTCTAACAAACTTCCATAAGCTCGTAAAGCAAGATGAACTGCTCTTAATTCTCTAAAAGTTGAACTCTTAGCCTGTCTTCATTATTCCAAACGCTATGTAACACACTGTTTTTGCAGTCAACGATATAAGAACCACATGACAGATGAGTTGCATCAGAATATACCAAAGTCTGTAACTGATTGTAAGCCGACAATTTTCTTGACATTTAACTTCTCTATATTTTCAATCCAAAAAATTACTTCAGTAAGGCAAGGGTGATTTAATGGCAATTTATAACAAAAATCCCACGACTTACTAGTCTCTATCTCTTTATACAAATACCGAGTCATCAGTCTTGCTATATTCCCAATAACAGGCATCATAGAAAAGACTTTTCCTGCAAATTTCGCTAAATGTCTAGCAGAGACATAAAGGAGAGAACCCAACAATAACTTGAGAGGTATGTTAAAATCATAAATTCTTCTTTGAGGAATGGATATACAAAATTGTGTGTTCCAGAAAATACCAATCCACTCCAATTCTTGAACTGGGAGCCATATTGATTTTTCCTTATTAATTAAAAAACCTGCCATCTCAAGACTGTTCTTTACAAAATAAGAATCGGCTTCAGTCTGTTCAAAAGTTTTGTTGCTACCCCAACCATCATCTAAAAACATTACAATTTTTATTCTGTTCAATCTCCAGTATTTAACCATTTCCCTCAACACTTTTGTAAAAATGTAAGGGGCGCTACTGATGCCAAAAGGTAAAACAGTAGTTTTTCCCCTTTACCGAAAAACCTAAAAACGTTTGATGACTTGGAAAAATGTCTAAATAATGGAAGCCCTTACTTAAATCGAACTTAAACATATACACATCATGTGTAAAATACTCAAGTCCAACTTTCCAGTCCTCAAAAGATATTTTTTATTGCCAAATATGTTCATTAACTTTTCTCAAATCTAAAATCAATCTCTTTTTTCCTAAATTGTTGATTGAAACAGTCAATGGATTGATAATATGTGTGTTGTAAATGGAACCTCAACAACACAATGATTCTTTAAAAGTTCTGAAACAGTTTTTTTTTACGAAATCCATATTATCTAATGCAGACTTGTTATTTTTAGAAATTGACCTTTGAGGTACAGAAAATAAACGTAATTTGTATCCATTTCTCAATGTATCTAAAATTAGCTCCATTTTTTCCCCAAAATGATACATTTTTCTTGAGACGACCCTTTACATTTCCATTTAAAACCTTGCTTTTGCAAAATCTAATTCCTGCATCTCAAAAAAATCTTTTGAACATAGATACATATCTAAATACTTAACATTAACTGGTGGCTGTACTTGTACTGGTTCCGGTTGTCTAACGTATGTCGATTCCGTCGGTACCCTGTTTTCCAGACAAGAAACGGTTGCATTGACGCCGGAAGTGCCCTCTGTACCCACATGCGTAGCAGACGTCATTTGGTGTTGCTCGTCCTTGGCCATGAAAAAATTGATTGAAGTTGGGACGTGGTGGTAACCAATATCTTGAATCATCTGCCCTTGGTGTGGTTGATTTGTAACCCATGAAAGAAAGAGAATCACTCTTATAAGGATGAAAACAAGCTTGTTTTGAAGAAGTTGTCTTAACCTTTTTAATGGCTCTAGATTCGGCCTGCTTGAGTTTCCGTTTATCATCGCTATCGCTAGCGAGAGAAGGCTTCTCATATTCTCGGACCGTAGACCAGCCCCGGGGGAACTATCTGCTATTTGTATCAATTTATTCCTGTGTTTAATCTTACTTATCAAACCTTTAACATCAGCCTTCAAATCTGATTTAGACAACTCCTTCAAAATCGACTCCAAACCGTCAAGAATTTCAAGGTTAAATTCGTGTTGAATTCTATGCGACTCTTTATTCAAAGTTACTTTTT